ATTTTCCAGTATGTGGGAATGTTAAATTGCTGACCTATGTATCCGAGTACCCAGACAGCAACCTCCATTTTGCCAAAACCCTTCAGCTTCTTGTTGCTGCATATTTTACTTTCTGACATTTATCTTCATAAAAACAAGTTGATTATTGATCTCATTAGAAAAAATTATTTATTTTTTAATGAATGAATTTTATGAGACATGAAGATTGGTTGTTTGTTTTCTTTTAGTTTTTTAATACTGTATATAAATATTGCAATATACAATCAGAATTGATTTTGAACTTTTTCTTCGGTTTGATAGTTTCAATTGTTAAATATATACTCATTTATATCGACTATGTTTGCTGTTACTATACTTTTTTATGTAATTATGTTATAACGAGGAATATAGTATTTTTCGACACCTGTAAAATGTTCAAAAAATGGGCAAAAACAGTTAAATCTAAATACATTTAAAACAACTGTAGTTTAAATTTCTGTTATTATTTTGATTGTTCATTTGGTTGGCATTTGACATAAAATACTTAAATTGTGAAATACCATTGTATTTCTCACCCTCCTTTTAATTTAATATCTTAACTGTATTTCCGTTATATATATTTTTTTTTAAGAACTTTTTTTAAGAGTTTTTTAAGTTTTTTTTTTACTTTTAAGACTGAAAATTATACTCATTCTCCATCTATTCTGTGTATTGTTCCTAAACATTAAATAAATAAAAAAATTATAAATAATATAAATTATATTATTAGTATATAGTATTATAAATTATTAAAAAATACACATAAATAAATTAGGCTTAAAATATTTTTCTCCATCAGGCTAAGAAAACAACATATTTTAGTTACAGCTTGGTACAACAGATGGCGGTAGAAATACCCTGGTACTTGACTGGTACATTATGTACATATTTTCTTATGAAATTATTTGATCTAAATAAAGACAATTTGTTGTTCTCCATTTTTTTTTTTTTTTTAATATTTGGGCACCGCGGTAGCCTAGTGGTTAGCATGAGAGACTCTCACGCCGCGGTCGTGGGTTCGATTCCCACCGTCTCCTCTGGCCCTTTTTTCCCGATAACCCCCAATTTGAACACACAAGAATTCCGTACCATGGCTAATATGCAAGATCATAAGGCCAAAAAAAAAAAAATATATATAATATTTGGGCAACCATTCTTTGCTAATAGAAAGCTAATAGTGCATTAACCATTGTATTAATACAAATAAAAATTATTATTTTATCATTGGCAGTCCTTACACATTTATAGTAAACCAATTAATTATTCCTGTATTATTATTCGCTCTCTCATATTAAACAGAAATTGTACATATTTATACATTTTATTATTTTAATTATTTCCAGAGATAAATGGTAATTTTCTCATAATTTTTGTTGATGTGTGTTATTTGATATTTGTTATATTGAAGCAGAAGTAAAGAGCAGTAGCAATTTATCTCAAAGAAATAATAATATAGAAAATATCAGTACAATTGAAAGCACTTAATAGAGTCTAGTTTTTGTTAACAATATTAAAAAATTGTCCAAAACCATTGATGAATTTATTATAATAAATAAATACCTAAAGGAATCTTTCCTTGCCAATTCCAAAGTTTACTAAAGTTTTGACTTAAAAGGAAAACTTCCATTTGATGCATTAGTCTGCAATTTAAATAAGAATTCAGAATTCTGCCCCAGTTTGACTTAATGATTTTAGGGTTTTGTTTGTAAATCAGATATTGTTAATCCCGGATTTTTGTAATACACTAAAAATAGTTTTGTAGTTTAGTCATACCCAATCCTGGTATGCAAGAAAGTACCCATACTGTTGCCAATAGTTTGCTTGGATTAGGTACTTTGTGTGTAAGTAAAAGAGATATTTTCAGAATCATTTTTATCATCCTGGACTACTAGAAAGATAGAAGAAAATTAAACTGCAGGTACTTTACCTTTCAGTCTTCAACATAATAATTCAGTAAATTATTTTGATCATTTTTGACCATACTGGTGTGCTGGAAAACTCAAAAATGATCGAACTACACGTGGATCACATTGCAGACCTAGGCAAAGTATTTCAAAAAAGTAGTTTGATCATCCTGATGTTCCAGAAAGCTAAGAAATGTTTACAGGTGCTTTGAATTACAAACCTCGAGAAAGTATTTCAATAAAATCATTTGATCATTTTTGTTCATCCTGATGAACCGGAAAGCTAAGAAATGATTACTACATGAGCATCAAATTGCAGACCTCAATAAAATTAGTTATTCAGATATCGTGAGATGCGGTCGGGTGTGATGTAGGTTTCAGAAAAACATTTTCTTTATCGTGCCAACGTTTCGATCTTTTATTGAGATCATCTCAATAAAAGATCGAAACGTTGGCACGATAAAGAAAATGTTTTTCTGAAACCTACATCACACCCGACCGCATCTCACGATATCTGAATAACTATCGATTAACGGTCACTAATCTCTACACACCTCAATAAAATATTCAATGAAACCATCTGATCATTTTTGATCATCCTGATGATCCGGAAAGCTAAGAAATGTTCACATATGCATTGAATGCAAACCTCGATAAAATATTTCAAAAAAATCATTTGATCATTTTTGATCAACCTGATGAACTGGAAAGCTAAGACAGGTTTACAGGTGCTTTGCATTATAAACGTCGAGAAAGTATTTCAATAAAGTTAGTTTGAACGTTTTCGATCATCCTGATAACTGGAAAGCTAAGAAATGTTTACAGGTGCTTTGAATTACAAACCTCGAGAAAGTATTTCAATAAAGTAGTTTGAACATTCTTGATCATCCTGATGAACCGGAATCTAAGAAATGATGACTACAGGAACATAAAATTGCAAACATCAATAAAATATTTCAATAAAGTAGTTTGATCATTTTTGATCATTCTAGTGTACCAGAAAATTCAGAAATGATTAAACTACAGGTGGATCACATTGCAGACAGATAAAATATTCAATGAAACCATATGATCATTTTTGATTATCCTGATGAACCGGAAAGCTAAGAAATGTGCTTTGAATTGCAAACCTCGATAAATTTCAATAATATCGTTTGAGCTTTTTGATCATCCTATAAACCGGAAATCTAAGAAATTTTCACATGAGCATCAAATTGCAAACCTCGATAAAATATTTCAAAAAAATTATTTGATCATCCTGATGAACCGGAAAGCTAAGAAATTTTCACAGGTGCTTTGAAATGCAAACCTCAATAAAATATTTCAATAAAGTAGTTTTATCTTTCTTAATCATCCTGGACTACCCAAAAATACAGAAGACAATTAAACTGTGGATTCTTCATCTAGCAGACTTCAACATAATATTTCATGAAAGTAGTTTTAAATACAGAAATAGTACAGGATGCCATTCTATTTAAATTTTGCAATAGGTAATGATAAATCACGATTAGGGATAATCAAAATATTATATGAAAACGAACGGATTTATGTAATTAATATGGTTTACAAAATTAATAGAAATGGTTTGTAGTTGCACTTTGTGGTGGTCGATTAATGCATTGATTATTTGAATATGGTCTTTCTAAAAATAGGAAAATGTTAATTGCATTTTCTATGTGGTACATGACGATTAGTTTTTCACGTAAATAAACAATAAACAATAGCAACTTTTTTCGCTTGACAACAATCAATGGCTTTGGATGTCCACATGGTCCCCGCTTTGGAAAGGACATTAATAGATTTCAAGGACTAGTGTAATTAGCCACATTATTTAATTACCTTTCCAGAGGTAATAGCTTTTTGTACAATTCGCTTTTAACTTTTAGCCTGGGAAAATGATTCCGCCCATTCACACCGATGTAGAAAGGCAAGGCCGACGGCCGTCCTGAAATGACAATTTTTAGTCGCGATTTATGTAATGTGTTTTATGTCCAACATAAGCCCTTTATTTTTAAGTGATCGATGTTTAATCGATAAAGATTTGCGATGGGGTTCTAGCCTGTAACCGACACACAAAAACAAAAAGACGGGTATCTAACAGACGACATATGGATTAGATCTATGGGGCACCGCCAGTCCTTTCAATCCAGAGTCCTCAGAACCATTGCCAGCACCACCTTTCATAATCACTTTCAAATACCCTTCGTAAATACTACCGATCTATGTCCAGCCCATCCCTACAACCCAGTCAGGCGACTGAAGTCGATATCGCCCCGAGACCTCGTAGCCCATAGCATGTAATTATTAAGAAAGGAGACGCAATGGTCGCAGTATCTCATCAGAATGGCCAGAAAAGCGTCTGCACGACCATATACAGGGCCCTGAACCAGTACTTTAGATAACAAAGACAGGCTTCTCGATCTCAGAATGGGCCCACACAAAACAAAAGTACGAAAAAGACGAACTCCAGAGGCAACAGGCGCTGTGAGATTATGATTAAAGAACCCTCACCAAAACTGACAAACTCATTGCAAGGAAGGGGGTGTTGGGACTATATGCCGGTCACTGAGAAAATTTACCCAATTTGAGTATACTCAATGAAGACTACATAGGTTATGCCAGGAGGAAAAAATTGTCACCCGTGTTATCTTCGAATGCGAATCTAGGGTTTTTCAACGATCAACAGACACCGCTTCCATCAAAACTTCATTTTCAAGGTCCTAGGTTAACCAGATTACGTTTTAAGGTTGATGTAACCTGGGGATGTTTGATCAAGAATACACGGGAAAAATTGCAGCAATGACCTAATTCTTAAAATTCTTAATAATCAATTGAACTGATCTAAGAAACAAGTACAGAAGCTAGAAGGCTTCAGTGCTGGAAATACCCTCGTTTACTAGTATTTCTTCTCGTCATCATCATTCACCAGCTCATCAGGCATGTTCCAGCTCTTCGCAGGACCCGTTGAAAGATGTCGTTGCTATTGCAACGACCAACCTTAACAGCTTCGCTTTCAGCGTTTTTTTTCTCTCTAATTCTAAGAGAAATAGTGTGGAGTTGGTAATAATAATAAATAAAAAAAATTTAATGATGATATTTGTTAAAATAACAAAATGGTAGTGAATTTGGATTATCCAACTCATAACATCTAATCGCATTTTAGACTACTCATTTAAATATAAAAAAATATATATATATTGATACCACCTTAATGATAAGACGGCTTTTGATACATGACATTAATATCATACAATATCATTTGATCATACTGTACATAATGCTATCATTTATGTTTAAAGTAATTACAATCTCAGTCATTAATGTTCGGTTCGCCTTGTGGACCAATGAAACTACATCGTCTATCTATATTAATAAATAATATATCGTTATGTAACAATAATGGCAAGTAATGACAATAACAATCGTTAACTAGCTTGGCAAAATTATGACGCAGTCATTGCCAGAAATCACGATCCCTATCATAAAACTAAATCACGTAGATATTTGTTTTTATACAAATCAACATCCATATAGAGTTGAATTGTCGTAACAGATTGTTTTCGCTTGGCGCTTGTTTTTCCCGTATTGTTTCCAAAAGTCGACGATCATATCGGCGCCTTTTTCACCGATCATGATGACGGGAGCGTTGATGTTTCCGCTGGTTATCTGTGGCATGATGGACGCGTCGATGACTCTCAGATTCTGGACACCGTACACCCTGAGGGACGGGTCGACGACGGCGTACGGATCATCGACCGGTCCCATTTTGCAGGAGCCGGACATGTGATAAATGGTCATCGTGTATTGTCGTATGTAGCAGTCCCAATAGGAGTCTGTGAAAAGCGGGTACTGCTTGCACCCAGGGACTGGCTTCCTGTGAAATCTCGCTCCGAACCTCTTCATAGCTGCCGTTTCTGCGAATGCCAACGCTGCCTTGACGCCTTCCCGGAGGACCGCCACGTCTTCCGGGTGGGTAAGGTAGTTGTGGTATATCAGCGGGTAATGGAGAGGGTTGGAACTCTTCAATTTTATCCTTCCCCTGCTCTTTGGACGTAGCATCATCGGAAACACTCCGAATACGTCCTTATTATTGATCTCTCCGAACACCTCGTTGTAGAACTCGTCCGTCAAGCAGTGGGCTCGTTTCACGTTACTTCCTCCGTCTGAATTCGTACTCGCCGAAGTCAGCATGAATTCGATGTCGGGCCAGTCGTCAGATTTGTTGCCGTATTTGGTCGTTATGAAAGCCACAGTCTCCAATCCGACGCTCGAAGTCAATGGACCTTGTCCGGAGACGGCGTAACGAAGAGCGGAATTCACGTTCACCAGTCGGTTCATCACCAAACTGATCTGGTAGTCGATAAGGAAGGCCATACCCCCGACCGCTATGTGGTCCATTACGTTCTCGCCTACTCCCGGAGAATCCACCAAGACTGGAATTCTGTGCTGCTGCAAATGCTCCTTGGGTCCGACACCTTAAACATAAATGTGGATTGTATTATATCCATTATAATCGTTAATTAAACAATAAGTCTTTCAGTCCACGTCGAATTTTGAATGAAAAGCTCCAACAACTATTTCGAAAACAGGGACAGTCCTTAGTTATGTTATAATTATTATGGTAAACTTAAAGAATACCTGACTTATATAAACTCAGCTCCGCACATGCGTGTACATACTATAATTTCTCGCAGCCCGTAGGCTATTCCAGATTTTGTTTATTTTACAGTAAATTACCGCCAGGCCATGAGAATCACCCACTCTGGTTTGGCAGTCCTGGTCAGACCCCGGTCTTATCCCTCCAACCACCGAGGTTGGGCTCCAGGAGCTAACAACAGCTAGGACATTTCAACCACCAATGCGATCAGTTCCTTAATCCAAACACACTCCACATTCTCACTCACTCTTTAATACATTATTTTCAATTCACATAATTGGCGTTCCGCAAGGAATATCCTAGGTCCAATCATCTACACATTTATACTGCTGATATAACCACACATCCAAACACCTAACTCACAACCTACGTTGACGGACACAGCCAATACATTCCAATCCTAGTGCAACAGAAGCAATCCAACATCTGCAACTCATTACCGACTCGTGCACTCGGTGGAGGATCAAGAACGAGCAAAAAAGCCAAGCCCACTGTTTACAAAACACTCATCAACCGTTTCAACATAAGGAATCGAACTGTGGGGCTCGACCAAATCGGCCACCATCCATCCTTTCAACCCAAAGTTCTCCGCCGTATCCGTTTACCAACGATTCATAAATATCTAAAAATCCCATTCGAGAAGGATCTGATCCACAACATCCACTCTAAACTATCCCTCCACCTAACCCACTATCCCAACCTCCTTACCTCCTATTCTTCCCTGCCTATCTTAATCCTATCCCGTTCTCAACTAAATGAAAGAGGGTCCCATGAAGCATTGGATGGCTTGATATTTCTCTATCACCCTCAACACATATCATATAGCTTATCCAAATGAGGGTCAGTGGAGTACTAGATATATCCGCCATCGGCCCTCTCACGCTAATAAATACATTCAATCTCACGTATATAAAATGGAACAGAAAACGAGATATCTATCAGTACTATGTACAAAAAACATCCATTTTTCCTGCAAAAATCGGAACAGGGGCCCAAATAATCTCTGCCCTGCTCAAGCTTAATTATCATTTCGGGTGACATTCCTATAAAGAATAAGTTTATTAATTTAGAGACATTATTGAGTCTATGGAACTTTTTGATTGCCAATATCTACTGGAACAAGTTCGAAAGAAAATAACAATTCCAGTTTCGCTATCGCAAATTGGTTCATTTCCCTTCATTACTATCCTTCGTAATATCAAATGAAATCTTATGCAATTTGCCATATTAACTCATTATTCGCCATTTTATACTAAGTACCTAAGAATGACAATATCCAAAGTCATTGAACTTCATCCTCAACAAACACCAACATGTAAAACTAGTGATTTGCTGTTATTTTGGGAAACGACAGTTATCTTATAATATGACTATTTAGGAAATTCATTTCACTTTTATCAAAATTAGTGTTTTTTTAAGTAATTCGTCAGTGGGTTACCTGAAAGCATCAAAAGCTGTGGTGAGTTGACAGCTCCTGCGGAAAGGATCACTTCTTTTCTCGCGAGTGCCACTCCTTTTTTACCTCCTCGTATATATTCGACGCCGTAAGCTCTTTTTGTCGCCTGGTCAATCAGAACTTTGGTCACGAAGGTTCCAAGGGCGATGTTCAGATTCTTCCTTAGTCTGATCGGGTTCAAGAAAGCCTTAGCTGCGCTGACGCGCATCCCTCTTCTTGTAGTGAACTGGTAAAGGGCGAATCCGGTTTGTTTCTCGCCGTTTATGTCTAGAATCTCGTAACCCATTTCCTCGCCGGCTTGCAAGAAGGCTATGCCTACAAGTGACGATTCGGTTAATACAATTATACTGTACAATAATATTGATTAAAACAGTGCAACGTACCTAAAGGTGTAAGCCAAGGTGCGTCGTCCACGGTTAGAAATCCGCCTGTGGCATGGTATTTATTTCGAGCCAGGTAAGGGTTCCTTTGATCCTCGGATTTGAGGAAGTAAGGAAGGACGTCTCTGTAACCCCAGCCAGGATTTCCCAAGGCTTCCCAATGGTCGAAGTCCCTCCTGTTTCCCCTCACGTACAGCATGGTGTTGAGCACGCTCGATCCTCCTATGACCTTGCCTCTAGTCCAGCAACAACGTTTTCCCTTCATCGCCTGGCACGCCGTCGTTCCAGGTTCCGTTTTGTACTTCCAGTCGTAGTTGCTGCCGTGCAAGTATAACGAGAGGATAGGGACATCCGTTATTATAGATTCCTGGCCGCCGGCTTCCAAAAGCAAGACCGACCACTCCTTGTTCGCGCTGAGACGGTTCGCGACGACCGAACCGGCCGAACCGCCCCCGACGACGATAAAATCATATTCCTTTTTTATTACGTTAACATTAATGGGCTGATTTTCGGGATCATACAAATCGTAATTATAATAGGTCAACGCCGCTAAAAATGTCGGTATGAACCAAATTTTGCCTAAACCGAAAAGACCGGAAGCGGTTTTTAAGGCCGTCAATATTACTGAGCTTATGTCAACCATGTCCGGCCAATAAATAGAAAGTTGTCACTGCGAAAATTATCAAAAACTTTGACTTTTGATTAGTTCATTCGGATAAAACGTCCCTTTCTCGTCGTTATGCTGGTAGGGTCTGATAATGCGACACTTTCTCGAGTAGGTACATCTTTCTCGACGTCACCTAAAACAAAACGAAACCAAATAAGCTGGCGGATTATTGGCTTTGTCTTGGGAGATTATTCTCTTGTTTTATTTGCAACAAATTGAAATTTATCAAATATTACAAATATGTAATAAATATTACTACAATACGAAAGGTGTATTTTTATTTGTTTATTTTAACCGGTTTAGCTTTGGGTTACACAATCGCATAAATTATATTGATTTCTTGGGGGCGATAAACCTGTAGTTTGGCCTTTTTCCGATCATTATGGCCTACCTATCGCTACTGTGTTGATCTATTGTTGTTTGAACCAAAACAACGGGAATAGGCAGACCAGAATGATCAGAAACGACCTAGCCACATATCCAGTGTTATTCGAATAAAATGTCATCAGTGATCCTTCTCTATCAGCCGGCTATCGCATAGACGCAGGTATATTTCAGGGAAGCATCTTAGGACTCATACTCTACACTGCATACTCTGCAGATTTTCCTAACTTTTCTTAAAATATCCTTATCACCTATGATGATACCGCAATTCTTTCTTCCCAGAAGGTTATCGTCATCTCAATCAGACAGCTACGTCAACCCATCCTTCATTCTCGTAACCTTATAGAAATAAGGTAATTTGAATACTCTTTGCTCATTCCTAGATGAGAAGCGAGCCTTCGGACTAGTAAGTACTCGGAGCTTCTCTGGAAGCTTAATAGAGTACACCCTTTACTTCCAAGTTCTCAGTGGTTCCTTCTATCAGCCGGTTATCGCACTGTTGCAGGTGTACTGCAAGGCATTATCTTAGGACCTACCCTCCACACAGTGTAAACTGCAGACATTTCTATCCTTTCTGAACCTATCTGAACCACCAACCATTGCTCCTATAAAAAAAAACTCGTCATATCAACCAGAACCCATGTCACATGTGTTGTCTTAAGCAAGGGTGGAAAATGACAATAAACAAAAGATTGTGAACACGTCACTCACACCCAACGAAGGTGGGTAAAACTCAACAGACGCTTCAGTCTTCTTAAGACTGCTGGACAATCAACTCTACAAATCGCCTTGTTTACATGAAGTGGCATTCCGAAACCTATTTCATCGACCTTATCCAGAAACCAAACGTTATTTACAACCAGGCATTTGTGATCCAAAATCTTCCAAACCTCAATGCTCCTTTCTAAGAACCAATCCATACCACTCGTAACAATCTTAATAACCAATAGTCCAAGCCTTGAAGTTGCCAAAAACAGCTACATGAAGTTTCTCAATTATCCTGTCAGACAAACCCGTGTGTGAGAAACCTGAAGCATCACTGATCAAGCGACCTCATAAGCCCTAAGTGAAGGTCACTACTTTAATTTACTAAATAAACTTTTTTTTATAAATACTGCTAAAATAATTTACTTATTTATTGTTTTAATTTTTCAGGTATGCTGCTTGTGATTTCTCTATGAAAATCAATCTTGTATGTAGCGCTATTTTACATCGCCCTGCTCATAAGCTTGATAGTCTCCGATCGTACTCTCGTTTTATCTGTGGCACATGTGTCGGCATTTCGATGTCTTCGGTGGTTTGTCTGTGTTCTGTTGTCATCCGTGTCCTATAGACCATTGAAGATGGCCATATTAAACGGTTTAAATCCTTCAACAATAGGCAATTATTTTAAATTCTCCCGACGTTTGGTGTGTTTGCCGATTCCTTGTTTGCAATGGAGCTTATAACTTATAGATCAACTAAGTCGGAACCGCAGGGAGACTTTTAATAAATTAATTAATTTAAATGCTGGCAGTTTGGTCGCTCTTTTGATGGGCGATTGGCCGACTTTCTCTGATAAGTGGCTTTTTAAATCACGTAATATTGCGGCTCACCGGCCCGAGGATAAACCGTTCTGCCCTTTTGAACTAGTTTCGTTTTTCAAACTGTAAATTATTTGACTAATGCCGTTTGACTACCCATCATTTACCCGTTTATGAAACAGAAGCAGATGAACTGATCCCGAGGATGGCGCAGAGAGTAAAACGCTTTGGACCGAGGGTAAACACATAAATTGTACAAACTGGTCTTTTTTAAATCACACGCTCATTAATAATTAGTGTAGAGCGTTAGAGTGAGAGATACCAACGAACTGCATATGTATGTTCGAAAGTTGTTATTTCTTCAGAGATGTTTCGTTTAGGGGAAATCGCGTACGCACTTACATAAACGTAACACCGATGCGTAAAACCGTCGGCGGTATTGCTAAACGAAAAGGAAAATCACGATCCGAAAAGGGTTTCCAAGTTTCACCGAGCCCTTTTGCTCCTCTTCCTTTAGGGTAAAACCACTCGTGGGAAATTTTCAGGGAATTTGGAAATGTTTGCTATTATGTCTGGGCGAATAATAAAATTATTGGCCAAATAATCAAAAGTAAAAGAAAGTACTCTAAATTGTTGACCTGATAGTTGTTAGAAATATTTGTCTCATTTCATGTTTTTAAATATGGTTTCCTTCCTAAGTTGTTCATGTATTTCAAGGTTATTATATATCAGTCTATTTCGACATTTTACACAGGATCGTATTAATAATTAGATATACAAAAAGTTACGTAAGTAAATTAATGCACTTCCAAAAAAACTATACTAACAAAATAGAAAAAAAATCTATTTGGATTCGTTTTAAGCATCCTTCAAAGCCCTTGTGCACGAATTTTTATAGTAAACAAAAAATAGACGAAATTAGAAAAATAGAGAAATGTTCGTTGTTCTACTTAAAAATTCATAACTCATCTGGATTTTATCCAAATTCAACTTTATTGCAAACTTAAATCCATTATATTTCTGTCTGTATTGTATTACAGTCTGATTGACCAGATAACTTCTTCTAATTAATTAATCTATTTATGTAAGGTATTGGTTGAAATGAAAAAGTTAGTGTCACTAGCGGGATTCGAACCAACTCCCAATCTCAACCTACAACCTTTCGAATTTTCCCTCCTTTTTGCCAATTTTTCAAATGTCGTGAAATCAGGATTCGATTCTCGGCGACAAATGAAATGGCCACGGAGAGCTTTTAGTGAAGTTATACTTCGTTTGACTTATTAAATCCATTATATTTAGTGGTCTATTGGTCAAATTACTTCTTTCAATTAATTAATAATTTTATGTAAGGTTTTGGTTGAAATGAAAAAGTTAACGTCATGAGCGAGAATCGAACCCACGACCTTCGGCTCAATACGCCGATGCTCTAACCACTTGGCTTATCGTGACTTTGATCCACTGAAAAATGGTAAAAAGAGTTTCCATCGAAAGGTTGTAGGTTGAGATGGGAAGTTGGTGACCGAGTGAATAGAAGTCACGATAGCTCAAATGGTTAGAGCAGCGGCGTATTGAGCCGAAGGTCGTGGTTCGAATCCCGCTCGTGACGCTAGCTTTTTCATTTCAACCAAGACCTTACATATAAAGAATAATTATTACAAACGTTAGAAAGCTTAATAAAGTAATTGCTTATAATTAATTGCTTAATTTTCGCTAGTAGACAAATTTTAGCTTTTGTGTTGTTAAAAATAAGAAAAATAAAGATGAATGCAAAAACTGCTAAAAATTATTTATTTCAATATCTATGATACCCATACTTTCGCTGATATTTTGAGCGAACGACGTAGAAAAGCAAGGTTAAAATATTTTTTTAGCAAGAAACAAAGTTGATAAACGTTTCCCACACCCTGACAAACCCCCGAATACAATATTTTGTGAAAATTAATCAAAAAAATTCTCGAATTTTTTGCTTTTCAAATAAAAATTGCTTTCGCTTTACCGATCCTGAAGAAACGACAGGGATTTTAAACCATTTTACCACCTATACGTAATGGAAAAACTTGGCCTCCGTAAATAAATCAGAATCGGAGGTATAAAATAACAACAATTGAGAAATTATTGTCGATTTCATCCTGATTTTTCTCACTTTTAAAAAATAAAAAGTCATTGAGATAGGCTGAAAGAAAAGAAATTTTAAAGTTTTTAGAACATTGGATTTGGATAAAATCCAGATGAGTTATAAATTTTTAAATGGTAAAATTGACATCGGCGAGAAAAAATCGTGTACCCGGGGGAATCCAGTCAAAAAATGTCCAATTCTTTTGCGATGAAAATTCGTGTTTAAATGTTTTAACAGTTGTTTAAAACGAATCCGAACTGCTTTTTCAAAAAATCCATTTCTGGCCTGCTTTACTGAAACCATCTTTTGATTTTTGTTACATTTGTATATCTAACCTCATTTAATACATTCCCACGTATTATTTTGCTATCCTAAGTTTAAAAAAAGAATTAGATGATATGTAATATTGAAATACATATAGAATAAAGTCAGAAAAACATATTTAAAAAAGTGTTTAAATTATTTTTTTTTAAATTCTAGGCTGTTAGTTCGCAAGAACACTGGGACACGTGTCTAATATTTTTGGACCTAGTATCACAAAAAAAAAGTTTCATTAAAATCTGCGATAAATTTGAAACGAATCCACCAATCCGCAGGGAATTTTGCAGTTCTTTAGGACCCTTTTGACTATACGGAATGGTACAAACGTGGCCTTCGTAAATAAATCAGAACCGTAAATATAAAATAACGCGTTTGAGGAGTTTTTGTCGATTTCTTCTTTGTTTTTCTCACTTATAAAACATACAAATCAAAAGCTACTGAAATAGGCTGAAAGAAGAGAAATTAAGCTTCCCAAGGGTTGTAATAACGTTGAATTCGGATAAAACCTAGCTGAGTTAAGAATTTTTAAGTGAAAAAATAGGACACCAGAAAAAAATGTCTTGGGATAAAATCCATCTCACAAATATCTATTTTTTTATTTGAAAATATAAAATTAGATAATGGAGGGTAATATAAATTGGTGTTGAAGGGCTTTAAAAGGAACTTAACTCTTGCTGAAACCTTTGCTTTTTATTGTATTAAAACTGAGAAAAATAAGGATGAAATCCACAAAAATACAAACGTTTTAGGGAAATAGAAAAATAAACATAGAATTTGTTTAAGCACCTAAGTAAATTATTTGACTCTAAACCTTACATTATTTATATAAATTGCAACCTGGATACATCTAGAAAAATCGCAATTTTATGTTTTTTTGAGGAATTAGCAGTATACTACGTTTTATTTTATATCTCCAGTCCTGATTTATTTACGGAGATCAGGTTTATTCCATTATGTATAGATAAAATGGTTTAAATCTCTGTAAAGTTTTTTGAGGATCGGCGGAATTGATTCCAAGTTATCATCATTTTTGTAATTTTCGAACAAAAAATCGAAGGCATTTGAAATTTGCGAAAAAACTTGAGAAATTTTCAATGTTTTGATTTACACAAAAATTTTATTCAGGGATTTTTACGAGGTGGGGAAAACTTATATCGACTTTTTTTTCTTGCTTAAAAAATATTTTAACCTTGTTTTCCTACTTCTCTCGGTCAGAAATGTACTTAGCAGCCAAAGTGTGGGGACAAAACCAACAAAAACACCTCAAAATATTTAATTTAATTATCCCGTTTCGATTTACTTATGAAGGGGAAAATTTGTGTAATTCTTCTACACTTCTAAACTTCTGTAAAGTTTCTTTATCTAAAGATCTGAGGTGTTTCCAAATTATAACAATTTTTGTGATTTTCGAAACAAAACCAGAGGCTGAAAACACGAAGGCGAAAAATTTGAAAGAAAAAAAATTATTTTCGGATTTTAACCAAAATTTTAATTCAGGCGTCTTTGGAGGTGCAAAAAAAGGAATCACGACTTTGTTTCCTGCTAAAAAAATATATTTTAACCTACTTTTCTACATCGCTCGGTTACAGGAAGTAAGTCACACGAGCCTAATATTAATAATTAATTAATATTTTCTTTATATTAATTACCTTTTTTTATCAAAGAAAGTTTCATTGAAATCTACCAGAGTTTTTAAAATGTTAGTTTTTCCACACCTAAGTTTTTAAATACATACTTGGCTTTCAATATTTCACTTTTTTTTAAATCTCTGACTAGTTTTCTTTTTCACATTTTTAAATTAAGCTCCAACATAAACGCTTTTAGCAATGGTGAGACTTATTGTTAGGCCAAATGACGATAATAGCAGTGTTGCGACTGTGATGGCCACTTACTCAACGTTGCATAAAACATCTGGAGAAATGTTGAGCATTATTTTTATCTTGCCAAACTCTTCGAAGCATGCCAATGATAAAAAAAAGAATATTGTTAATCGTTTAAATAAAAAAAGAAAGAAAAAGAAAAGACCTAGCGAAGCGCACTTGGAGCCCTTGACCCCTTGCCTTATGCAACAGGACCGTGAAATATTCGCGTGAAACTGCTGGTGGTACGTGTGCGAACAACCTACAAAACTGCTCTATTTATTTTCGTCTGATTCCAAAAGGGGACGATACACGGGAAAAAGTCGATTCGGTTTGAAACTTAGATCGTTTTTATGTAAATAGAAAAGAGTAGGTCTTACCACTCTTACCAGTCTTCAATTGAATCGATTATAAAATTAGCATATAACCCTTTTTTCTTAAATTGCCGTTAATTTGTGTTTAACGTAGCATTTCAATTAGTCCTGTTCCTTTATTGGTCAAATTGTATTGTATTTTGCATTTATTTACCTCTATGTTCTTCATATTAGTTATTTACACAGATATAAAATTTAATTGCTGCCTCAGGTAAAACTTAATATTTAATTCTTAAGTATATTTATTAAAAAAATTGACATTACAAAATCAAACATGTTATAACTAATACCAGATTAATATAATTTGTCATCAATAAATTTTCTGTAAAGGAAACTGAAAAAAGCAATGAATGTTGGAAGTCAGGTCATTCGAGCCCTGAACCCCCCCCCCCAAAAAAAAAAAAACTATCGCGGTCTGTAGATCTAAACCCATTCACACTCTCACTCACACCTAAATACATTTTTTCTATTCACATACCAATCACTCACAGTGGTGTTAAGTTCACATTCACGCCAATAAATACATTCACTCTTACTAGGGGACACAAAACCATGAGTAGAAATGATAAATGATGGAGTGAGTGTGGTGTTCAATACTTTTTAAAAGGATAGTTCCTACTCACAGTAAGTTGTNATGTACATAAATAATATCAAACATCCAAATAAATAATCTAATTATTTTAATTGTTATTATTTTTATAGTAATTTATAGTAATATTAAGCATTTATTATTCTAATATTTATTTGTGTTATAATTTCCGCGTTTCACACGTTCAAATTGAGCGTCATTAAAAAAATCAGCTGCTAATTGGAACGTCGCGTTGGCGGATGTATCAGCGGTTCACTTTGGCAATTCATGTCGAGAGACGTGGTTGTAGAAGTCCTTCAACCTGATGATGAGCTAAAACGCTCGAAATCCGGATCGTTGCAAAACAACTTACTGTGAGTAGGAACTATCCTTTTAAAAAGTATAAAACCATGAGTACTACATACAATAAAAAAAATTTCCTACCCTGAACTAATTTTTATCGGTCAATGAATTCTTCAAATTCACAGACGCAAAAAGCCGTCGGGTCAAATGTGTCAGAGTAGGAAGTGACGAATTCCTCGCAGTGTGGCAATATGCATCTGAGGGGCTTGCCTACGTTTGTCCACAACTTACATAAGTCCTGTTAAAGCTCTCCGTAATCCTGGAAGAAAGAAAGCAGCATTATCGGAATTTTTTTTTTTTATTGAGAGAAGTTACAAATTATTTTGCCCTGGATTTCGATTGATTAAATAACGAACGAAAGCCGTCGCACAGGCGCACTTTAAAAGTCATAACAAATAATTTGTAAATCGTAATGACTTTAACACACGGAAACTTTAAAATTGTCCGGCTGCGATTAGTCCAAGACCGTGTACACAAAAGAGGACGATTCTTTTGTTACCAAAAGCCGGGTCCATTATGAAAAAACTGATATTAAAACTAATGAAATTGTTAGAATATTTACAAAAAAATTACAAATTTCCTTCATTACAGTGCTCTCTCAGTAATCGGAACTAATCACTACTGGGGGGGGGGGGGATTCAGATTGCTAGAAAACTCGGATTACATAGGGTGTTGAAAAATACGTAATATGTACAAAAAAATTTCAATACACTTTATTGTCTATACACAAAACTTCTTAAAATACCTACGACAATTTTTCTTTTAACAAATAAATTTTCTTCATTGGTTCTTCCTCTTTTATTTTTAAGCAGTAGGTAATTACTCTTAACATAAGAAAAAAGTAGACTGATCTAACATCTCATTTCTTCGCAGTACAGGGAGGTGAGGAACAAAAGAACAAGAAAAAAAAGAGAATCAACATTGAACAAAAGAAATTCTCGTAAATTCGTATAGCCTAAGCTTGTGGTCTTTCGTATGACTCTCCCTCTAACCCACTCAGTCAATCAATCAATCTCTCACTCTCTTTCTCTATTACACTCCTTCACTCACTCACTCTCTCACACTCACTCATTCACTCACTCTCTCCCACTCACTCGCTCCCTCCCTCCCTCCTTCCTTCCCTCTCACTTACTCATTCACTCCCTCCCTTCCTCACTCTCACTCACTCACTCACTCTCACTCCCTCCCTCCCTTCCTCCCTCTCACTCACTCGCTCACTCACTCTCTCACTCACTCTTTCTCTCACTCACTCGCTCTCCCCCTCTCACAAACACGTGCACTAAGTTGTTCGTGTCCTGTGTAAGATGTATTTCAGGGTCTTATTTTGTTTTGAAATTGGATCAAAATTATTTTGCCCGTTATATAAATTTGTTATACAACCCGTCGTTAAAGTAGGATGGAATCTGAAATTCGTCGGACCGCGAACGACCGGCGAAACTAGGTGGGATCAGAATAGATGGTCATTAAACAGACGAGCTCTGACTCGAAATGGAAAAATTGTAGTCTTTGGTAGGTAGGATTTTTTTTTTAGGCCCACCACTTTAGACGGTTGACCAAAGAAGCGATAATAAGCGTACCAGGATGATGGGAAACGATCGAGCTTAAGGTTGATCATCCCGCACACCTCAAAAAAATTACACTTTTGTCTTTTTTAAAAAAGCTTCGCTACCACCTTGAATATTTGGTGTGAGAATTCCATCAAACATACTGTTTGGGCTGGATACAAAAATAAAATTTAAAAAAAAGGAAATGAAAAAAACTTACGATTTGGCGTGGACTGTATAAAGAAAAAAGGAATCGATCACTCATTGAAAGGTCATATCGAAGTTGGGGCCCCGTTGCAACGCCGTACAACGAAGTTTAGGAAGTGAAGGATAGGAAGGGAAATTTGAGAAATATTAAAGAAAACGATAAAGGGAAAATGAGAGGTGCTCCCAGGAGAAATTTTTTAAAAAGAGGAGAAGTGAGCCGAGAAGAGGTTTTTCATTCACAATAGATTCGCACTGGGAGACAGAGAAATCAGAACTGCTGGAAAAAGGACGTAGGGAGAGGTTCAAGGGAGGACTCAAGGCAGGGCCTCTATTTTGCTCTTGCCAAAACACATACTATTTTTGAAATTTCTTATGAAACGATTATTATTTGAACATGAGTTCAAAAAGCGAAGACCACAAGAAACAGTTGCGTAAAATACTGAATACGTCTGAGGTTAGATAATTCATTATCATACGGTAGAATGATCCACTCGGCCCCAGTCGCGAGCCTCTTCACGGTCTATGTATTTGGTGTACTTGCAAGTTTTATTTCTCTTCTGTAGACGTACAAAGGGACGGTTTTGAATTTGGCAACCGTGTTAGTACCGGGGACTTACTGAGCAAGACAATGAACGACAATTAGCGTTAATTTTTCTGTTGGTTTTGTCGAACGTCGGCATGTCTGTTACGCTCTTGAGCATTTCCCAATTGAAATTTCTTAAAACAGAAAGAGAACTCGTGGCCGGAAAAGCCGTTTCACTTTTCCGTTATTGCCATTCTTGAGATTTGTGGTCGAGGATCGAGCGTGATCTACCCCAGAAGGACTAAACCACGGGCGCGTGCCTTCGTCTATTCGGTTGTTCACACGCCATGGTCGAGCATGAAAGGACGATTTCTCAGTCCACAAAAGGACCTTTTCACAAGTCGAATAAAGTGTGAAAATTGGCCGTGCCCATGAAAAATTGACCTTTTAATAAATGATTTAATTATTTCGCTTCTTTTTATATTTTTCTCTTATTTTTTATATATCTTTTATATTTCTTCGTGTTTGTCCAATGTATTTTTCCCAGTTTCCCAATTTATGGCGTAATGCTATTTTTGTCAAATGGTCTAGTCTTGTCAATGTTTTGTCTTAAATGAATGCATCCACAACGTCCAAAAGCTGGGGAAACTCAACAACCAATCATGGGTAGCAGGATATAGAGGAATTTTGAGTAACGAAAAAGTAGACAAACTGGCCCGAAGAGGATCTGCAAGACCATGCACCTGTACCTATTCTTTGGTTAATAAAAACAAACTCGGAATCCTCCATCACACAATGGTTCCAAAAAAGTCAAAAAATGAAGTGGATAAACAATAGAGGCGCTAGGCACAGTAAACTGAAAGCTTAAAGCTAAAACAACGCTCACCATGACTGGCAAACTCACCGCAACAGCAAGAGAGGGCTAAACTCAGAGGAGTGATAGTACTATATACCGGTCACTGGTATCTGGGAAAACATATACATAACCCCGGTATTAATGACTCAATCCTAGGATATGTAGTGAGGAGGAAGAAACCGCCACCCATGTCAACTTCGAGTGCGAAGTAGCCGCTCAATGGAGACATAACCTGGGATACAAAGAAAACCCAGTTAAAGGAATTGTAGCAACGATAGTCAATGTCCTAGTACTTAAAAAAAGGATCGAAACGATAGACGGAACTAAGGAACTAGGAAAGCATAAGAAGCCAGAAGGCTGCAGAGCTTGGGGAACATAAACCCACACTTCCTAGTCTCATTTTCATCATCATCTTCTTCATCTTCATTTTTTATCTTAACAGTTTTTCCAATTGTGTTGGTGATCTGTTTCTGTTGTGTCGTTTCGTTGATCATGCTTGTGTTGTAGCTGTCAGTGGTACTGTTTTTAGTCTGTCGTGTATTTTAGTGTTGCCGATCGGTGGGAGTGGTTTTAGTCGGTTTGAATTATTTTTTATGTATATGTGGAATTGTAGTTCGTTGGGTTTAAAAAAATTTATACTGCTTTGTTTTCTATTTCTGAAAATTGATGTTTTTGTGTAAGGAGCTCAGGTCAGTATGTCTTTTTTTTAGTTTTTAGTAACAGCATGTGTGGAAAAAACTTCAGGATATTCAATGTGAAATATTCAACGTTTTCATTTTTTAAGGCAAACAACTAAGCACGTTCGCGTCTACCGCAAATGAGAAACCACACTTTAAAAAGATGATGGTAAAGGCAAAAGAAAGGTTGATCGTTCATCCGCAGACCGAACAATACCACAGGAAAGCCATACTCGTCCAGCCGATATAATCCTAGTTGATATAATACACAGCTTCCCGTATGCTTCTATTATTTTTAAAAAAGATGAACACAATGGAACAATAAGCTGATTATCGGACCCCTCCAGTCAAATTGCTTTTATAAACCATTATCATTAGGCCAAAAGGGTTAAAGACCTTTTGTTTGAGAAGCATTTATTAATAAAAAAACGGCTACTGTAATTAATGTTTTCACTTTAAATTCATGTGCAACGGGTGTAGTTGCTTTATTAATAAATCAGTCATTATAATTTTGCAATAGTACTGACGCACAATATGCATGTCCTGATAAATGAAAACAATACAAGTTATAGTAAATATTAAACAATCTATTAAATATTAAAATTTGAGATTTATGAGAATGAATCTTAGAATCATACATCAAAAATGGGAGAGTTACCTCATTTAGTACCTCATACCTCAGTTAGTAAACACGCGAGAGAGAGAGAGAGAGAGAGAGTGAGAGTGACAGAGGGAGAGAGCGAGTAAGAGAAAGAGAGAGACAGAGGGAGAAAGTGAGAGTGAGAAAGAGAAATTTATTATTACTCTTTAGAGAGGGAAAGTGGGAAAATTGAGAAAGAAAAAAGAAGAGACAGAGAGTAAAAAAGAGAAAGAGAGAGAAAAGAAGGGAGGAGAGAGAGATAGTGAAAGGAGGGAGGGAAAATGGAACAGAGAAAGAGATAAAATAAAGAGAAGGAAAGAAAAGAAAGGGATAGATAGATACAGAGAGAGAGTGAGTGAGAGAAAGCCTGATATGAGAGCGAAAAGATGAAACAGAGAAAGAAAAAGAAAACGAAGAGAAGGAAAGAAATAGAGCCAAATTATAAGAGAAACTTCCGAGGGTAACGAACCAGTACCAAGCATACGAGGATTAATTACATTAAATACGATAAATCAACAATTAGCTTATTAAATACAAGCACTGAATACATAAATTCGAAACTGATGATTTTCCCCACTTCTCTCTTGGTTAACTTGCATAAATCAAGTGTTTAATGTACATTTAACCCTTTTAAATTTGCAATGGCAGAAATCAAAATACAGTAGAACTTCCTTTGTGTCTATCTGTAAGCAATGTAATAATTTAGTATATAACCATGTATGTAAAAATATATTAAGTAAGCCCTTAGCACAAGCTTAGGACTATTGCAAACTTTCACAAAGCTTGTCAAGGGCTGTATTTCATAGAATCTGTACATATTGTGTACAGGCCTGTTTACTTGTCCGGTAAACATTTTTCATTTCCATCACTTCGAATTATTTTGAAAAATTTCAAAGAGGCAAGAAATCTGTTTTAACATAACAATTGCAATAATAATCTTTACTTGTTTAGTGATTTTTTTCGGTTTTTTGTACATTAATTATATTTTAAAAGCATGCGGTAATTCTACAGTTAGGAGTTTAAGTATTTGTCAGAGAGAAGGGCTTTACGTAACTTCCCGTTCCGATCAAACCACTTTACAATAAATTTTTATACAATAATCAATTAAAATTCCAAGGGATGTGGCGGGATTCGAACCCAGAACAGTTAGCGACGGACACCCAAACCACTCGGCCACTGCAGTCCCCGAAAGTCGAATGGAAAGAAGGTCCGAAGCGTTCGATCGTCCAGTGTGAAGCTGAATCTTATATGATACCAAACGATACCAAAAAATGCCTAAGCGGATAAAAGAATATGTTTAGGATGTGCCATAATTTGAAGAGTTTTAGAAGCGCGGGAGCATAATGAAGTGTCCAGTGAAATCAATCGGATCGCATTGAACGGGCATACACGATCTCTCATCGCATACAAATGCCGTCGGAGAAAAGTTTAGACACATTTAAATTATTTTGCTTTGCTTTAGAAAGTCAACTTTCGGAACAATACTCGCACCGGGGAATCTAAATCGATTTCAAAATTCCAAAATGGGTTTTGTGTCTTTTTTTCTACGAGAGATATTTTTCTTAAAAATCCTGGGTTTTCTTTATTTTTCATAATTTTCAGGGTCTGTTCAGTTTTTGATTTATGAGCGATGATCCCGTGAAACTTGAACATAAAATGTAATAGACAAAGGGCCAGGGAGGGCGAGCGAACGCGTCAACCTAGAACCTTGACATTCTCCGAGACCAGGCTACCGGATGTTTCAGTGTCCGGGATATCGTAACAGTCGATTTATATGGTTCGTTCCCAGCTCCTTTCCCGCATCTGTTTACCCAAGCGATCAAACCCAAAGAGCATGCCGTCAAAGAAACGGTATAACGACCGTGGAAAAACAAGAAATCACTTCGAGGAAGAAAAACCTGATGACGATCTGCTTAGACACCGATCGGTAATTTTCAGCACCGGCGGCTGCGATTTTTCAAAATTTTTGAGACAACATTAACCAGAGTATTTTTACGGCTTTCGTTAAGAGTGACAATACAGACAAAGGGAATCGAAGGCGGTTTACGCCTGCCAAAAATTTCCTATCTTCTGAAAACATATTTCAATCTTGAATATATCATAAAACATTACATTCAGCATATTCGGTTAAAGGTCGTTAGACAAGAAGTTAATGAATTATTTTTTAAAGGAAAACAGTTATTTACCAAAAAAACTGACCAAAACATCTAAAATATGCAGACCAAAATAGGAACAGGTTCATCATACCATACACCCCAAGCAAATAGTACAGCCATAAACCCGATAATCAATAAAATCTCCCAGTTGAAAAATCTCATAACGTTTCCAGTCAAAATATAAACAATTTCGCGATTTATTTAAAGAAAATGTCTAGGGTGGTAATAAACTGGTACTGTAAATGGTATAAACTTAAAAGCTTCCTACGCACTCCGTATTACCTTATTCTGAAATTTTATCTAATGACAGCTACTTCAACGGTTCTCGGAAGTCAGATAGATAGTAGCGGCGTCCCACAAGGAAGCAGTTTTGGTCCCATCCTTTATATTATTTATACTGCAGACCTACCTATATGCCATAATACCATCATCACCACCTAACGCGGACCTGACCGCAGTTTTGAACTCTAACTCAAATCCTATCCAAGCTACCTCCAACATCCAAGACCACCTTGAGCTTATCGAAGACTGGTGCAAAAAGTGGAGGACAAGACTGACGAAAGAAAAGAAAATACACCTACATAGCAGACTGACGTGGAACCCCACTTAAGACTTAAGGGCCAATAACTTAACATAAGACAGGGACAACTACAAACACTTCTAGGACCGAAATCTTGACCGTCAAAAGTAAACCTTATACAAGACTACTGTGACCACTTTGGACATATGTAATAGAACTGTGGAGTTCTGCAAAGCCATCCAACATCCAGCTTATCCAAACAAAAGTTCTCAGAAATCGTCAAGCTCCTTACTACGTCACTAACCACAACCTCAACATTCCTTTTGCCAACGAACTGATCCTTTCCCGATTCCAAAAGTTTCACACCAACCTCTCGATCCATACCAACACCTCGAGCCCTCTTTACAAATTAATCCTTCGCAGCGTAATACGCACTAATAATTCCAAGATTTTGTTCCAAGATTGGCTTCATTATAAGGCGTCTCTGTGGCAATGTGTGCAACGACCAATATTTGGAAAATCTTGAATTTAAACAAAATTCTAGACTTACTGACGTCCTACCAGGGCGGATATACTGCGATATTTCTGTTCTTCAATCTTTATTGATAGGACAATAAAATTATACTCATGGCGATCATCCCACTGTAATTGGACAGAAGTCCAACAAGCTAGCAACCAGTCTTTAAAAAAAATTATACTAAAAAGACTCACGAGGGGCACATAGTATCCAAAAGCCGGCTTAGATACAACATCTCTCTTAGCCAAAGTATTTGATTCAATGTTTAAAAAAGTCCTTTGTCACTATCTGGCGTAACGGGATAATCTACAATTTAAGAAATTTCCGTAATAATCGATCAGACTTCTAATGTCCTATCTTTGTTCATAGACGACATGAACAGGATGTATTAGTTCCAGTAAATTTAAGTACTTAAAAAGAACGGCACCATCTGCTGTGATCAAATACTCAGAACCCATGGAAAAATATACCAGTATCGTCCAGGCTGAAGTCCATGCAATTGAGAGATGCACGCAGTTCAGTTAGGAGGTACAAAAACAAAGCTATCAGATAGCCAACCACCCATCAAAGCACTAAGCTCAAACATCATTAGCTCAAAGACGTGCTGAATTGTAAAACTAAACTAAATAAATTAGGTATATAAAACAAAGTCCTCTGCTGGGTCCCAGGACATGTGGGAGTAGAGGGCAACGAGAGAGCGGACGCCCTTGCAAGGAAATTGATTGCCAAAGGCTGATAGGTCCATAGACCTATGCCCTTCTGCGGCATAGGGATTCACACTATTAATGAGTATCTCAGACAAAAAGCTAGATTCTAGCAAATTTTGGAAGGAAAGAAGCAACAAATTCATCAAGGGAAGCAGGAATAACTCCGAATGCTGACAGGATTCTTGACAGGACATTTCAGACCGAATGGGCATCCGAAGAAGATTGGTATAAGCACGGTGCAGATTCTGCAAGGAAGCAGAGACACCAACGCTATTAACAAACTGTGTCACCACATTTTCCCGCCGGAAGAAGTGTTTTGGGACATACAACGTAACGTAGAAGGAATTCACCCGTTGAAATTGGGAATATTAATCAAATTCCTTGATGAGGTAGGACTTACTGTGCAGAAGGGAGAATATAATAGCTCTCAAAGGGCGTAGTATATTACACACACCTAACATTAGATGTACATATGCATATTAGTTCATCATATATGTCTCGACCAAGTTACTTACCATCTCCTCTTCTAAAATTGTCTCTGAGGTACCTCAAGGGTCTATTCGGAGCCTACACTCTTATAATATATATTTTCCCGTAAGATATTGTTGCCCTTAGAGCGTCACAACAATAGGTAAAATATTGAATTTAGCCCTAAAAATAATGAAACAAATGGAAATTAAGGGTTAATGCTACAAAAGTGGATAGTTCATTCTTAACGTCCTTTCGATTATTTAAAATCAAGACCTACAGGTTTTATTTCTCGAAACGTGGAAAGCACGTGACTTATTTAATCCTCTTATATAATAGACAAGTTAAAAATTTAGAAATATTTGGCCAACATTTCAAAAAAAAAGAAATTATTTTAAATTACCTCCAAACATTTAGTCGAAATGTTATGAGAAGCGGTGCCGGCCAGTGAATTAGGGCCGTAGGATGAGAGAATCACCTTCTCATAACATGAACAAAACACTTCGCGTTGGGGGGGAAAAAATTAAGTGAAGTTTCCCGACGAAGGCGAAGAACCGCGTACTTTGTTCGCAATACTTCGAAGAGGGCGCACTTTTGTTCTTCACTAAGGTCCGCGTGGTAATGAAGTTATATTGACCTATATAACTTGCAGTGTAGGGGTGGAAGGTATACATCCTCGTGTGTTGAAATATAAGGGAATGCGGTGGGGACGACTCGAAGAGCCCATACCCCACCTGACTTAGTGAAAGTCTTCGTCCACCACTCTCCTATTTTCCCTTTCTATCCCTCTTTCTTTTCCGCCTTTTCCACTCTCTTTCTCTTTTCGGTTCTTCGACTTCTCGTCCGACCCGGTAGCCCGTTTCGGGATTATGTCATAACAGCTTCTCTTGCTTGAAAGATATTTTCGGATTTACCAGTGATGTACCCGAAGTTTTTATCTATTTACGAATTTAATAGCGTAGAAAAACATAAAACTCCTGAATAGAGGGTTTAATCTCACCTGGAACTTTAAATTCAAAAGAAAACTATAGAAGTCTGAAACTGCCTACTAATCTACTAAAAAAACAGGTTTATTTCCAAATTGCGTGGTGGTTCCCATTCCCAAACCCCAAAATCCTCAGCACCTTCCTACACCATGATCACCGTATCAGTTTGCTCCCATTAATTCTTGAAAACTCATCCTGAAACAACTACAGATCTAAGTAGACCTTCCCTTGGGCGGACGGAATGCTGCTTGGACGCTTTCTTAGACCCTTCAGTCCCTCAGCACTATACCGTACTTCATGCAGATGGCATCGTCATCCTTTCAACAAACCTCTAAAAGTGGCCTCCAGTACCATCTTTACAAAAATATAGTCCCTACTCACAGTTAGTTGTTTTCAACGATCCGGATTAAATTAGTCATTAATTTGTATATTAATTGTGTATAATTGGTCAAGCGTACCTCGAAAACTAGTGAAATTAATTTGTATGTTTTTTATTTATTAATTCATACAAATTGAAATAAAAATAATAAATTAATAATAGATTAGTAAATTAATGATAAAATTAAATAATAAAAAATTATATTAATTAATTTGATTAATTTGTACGACTTTCGGTACATGTTTAAAATAAGAGGTAAATCAAAATCTCTTATATTATTAACGCATTTATCTCCATGTTCGATTTTACATTTTTTAATTTCAAATTTCTCAAACCAATCTAGTTCCCTCCCTATATTAAAACTGTGTAACTTGTATTTCAATTTAAATTGAAATTGTGTTTTGTTTCATTTAGATGGTCCTTAAATTCAGAAAAATTGTTTGATTTAGTTAAGTGTAGTATTAACTAATATAGAACACTATAAATACTTCTTTCAATTAATTAATCTTTATGTAAAGTATTGGTTGAAATGAAAAAGTTAGGGTCACGAGTGGGATTGGAACCCACGACCTTCGGCTAAATACGCCGTTGCTTTACCACTTGAGCTATCGTGACTTCACTATCGTCACTAAAGCCATTTCATTTATCGCCGAGAATCGAATCCTGATTACACAACATTTGAAAAATGGCAAAAAGGAGGGAAAATTCGAAAAAGGTAGGTTGAGATGGGAAGTTGGTGTCCGAGTGGAAACAAGTCACGATAGTTCAAGTGGTAGAGCAGCGGCGTATTTAGCCGAAGGTCGTTGGTTCGAATCTCGCTCGTGACACTAACTTTTTTATTTCAACCAATACCTTACATAAAGATTAATTAATTAAAAGAAGTTATTTGGTCAATCGGACCATGAAATACAATAAACTATACATACTGGTAACGTATGCGAGTCACGAAGGCAAGTAAAAAGAGTACTCGCAAAAAGAACCCATTTCAGTATGTAGTCCATAATAAATACAAGCGTAATTTGAAGATAAATTATCTTTTTAATCATACACTTAACACTGAAGGATCAAATTACAAGTTCATCACCCAGACCACAGGAGGAAATCCTAGTTTAAATGTAAAAGGGGACAATCCCAAAGTCTCCAAAGGGGGGGAAAGTCTTTAAATAAATAGAAATCAACAAAGTATTCACTGTCGTTCTCTTATTTCATAAATGGTGAAACTAGTGAGGCTTACGCTCAAAAATGAAATAGATTCTGCAATCGCGATTTGCAAGGGTTCCGAAAGCATAACCGTCCGAACGTGAAGTTCAACACGTATTCGAATTGCTTGGATTGTTTTGCAATTTCGGTCGGGTTGTTGAAAATTCTACGACATCCGGTCGATAAGAGGGCGGAATACCGAAAATCGCTGGACCGAAACAGCGAGAACCAGCGGTCCAGGGCGATCAGGAATGATCGAACTAATTTTTGCGAGATTTCCTCCGGGAGTATGCGAGGTCTATTCTCGCTCTTTCGGCCTTTCAGACGGCCAAACTACAAATTGGATATTTTCTTATTTAAACTTTATTTTACAGACATGATTTTTTTATTTCCATAAAATTGTGCTTTCTATCACGTAAGATAAGTCTTTTAAGTAATACAAGAACCGTTGTGCATCTGTCAAAGGTGATAAAACTTACAATTTGATGAAGTTAGTTCACTTGTGCAATTTACTACAAAAGAAACTGAATTCGTGTAATTCAGCATAGAAAGTCAAAATAATAAAATTGAAACAGTGAAATGGGGTGGAATGGAACCGAGGTCGTTCAAACTGCTGACAATTTGATTTTGGCCTCATTGGCAAATTCCGACAAAATGTTTTGACAGGTTCGTTTCCGAATGATAGACATAAAAATCAATTTAGGTTGAATAATATTCTTCGTCTTTAGGGAGGACTTAGGCTGTTGTATTGTACCCTATTGTGTCCTCTCTATCACCACAAACATCGTTCAAAATCTTCCTTTTAAAAAAAAGCTGTAATTTTCCCTACCACTATTTAAAATTCAGTCCTTAGAACTACTTCCCAATCCAATGTAAATTATCATTCTAAAACCCAAACCCCAAAAATCACCTTCCTATATCAGTAGTGAGAAAAGGCCGGTTTTGCCACAGGTGTTAATTCGTGCAAGGAGCTTATTGGCACAGGTGATGATCGATCAGACAGGATTCGGGAAAGGTGGATTTAAAGGGTGCAACAATAATGATTATCAAATAACCAGGCAGCTATAAAGATTGTCCATGCCTGCGAGATGAAGTCAAAACTAGTCTGGAACTGCGTTAATACTCTAAAAAAACTGAGTTATTTAAAAGTTTTTTCGATCAAACTTCGATCAAAGCGAACGACACTTTAATGTTGCAACATGCAAACGTAAAAAAAGAAACAGCGTATCAATCAACATTTCAAAATGAAGCACTAACAAATGATATGGGACCTAATAAAATTCTTCCAAAATCATCTTCTACTTACTGATTTCAACCCAAATGTTAACAGAATTAATTAATTAAGCTTTTTAGTTGAGATAAAAAAGTCAATGGCACGAGCGGGATTCGAACCCACGATCTTCGGCTTGATACGCCGCTGCTCTACCACTTGAGCTATCGTGACCTCGATCCACTCGGACACCAACTTCCCATCTCAAACGCACCTTTTGAATTTTCCCTCCTTTTTGCAATTTTTCAAATGTCGTGTAGTCGGATTTGAAAAATGGCAAAAAGGAGGGAAAATTCAAACTGTGAGATGGGAAGTTGGTGTCCGAGTGGATCGATGTCACGATAGCTCAAGTGGTAGAGCAGCGGCGTATCAAGCCGAAGATCGTGGGTTCGAATCCCGCTCGTGCCATTGACTTTTTTATCTCAACTAAAAACCTTAATTAATTATAATATATTAATTGGTCAAGCGGACCACGAAATTAGTGAAGTTAACAGAATTATTAAAGAGACTGTGGGTCAACGTTTGGAAGAGGTTTCACAACGAACAACATGCTTCTAATGGGTTTCTTTATAATGGATGTCCGTAGTTACAAAACAATTATTCTCATTTTCACGTACACAGCTCAAATTTTCGCATCTTTCTTTCACAACGTGGCCCAGTTGCGCTCAACCACTTTTTCTACTTTTTGAAAGTTTATGTGTGAAGATTAAGATAGACTCAACAAAGAAAGTCTGCTTGTTGACAGATAAACTCCAGACCTATCGATATTTGTCTTTGTATAGGCGTCTTAAATGTGTGTCAAATAAAAACTTTTTTTTTAAACAGGAAATCTAAGTTTGTTGAATTTTGATGAATACAACTACACCGTAATCGTGTGTTATTTTTGCCCAGTACACGTAAGGTATGTCATAGTAATCAGAAAATACTCATAAAAACGAAATTATTGGTGTTTTTTTTCTACAGAGTGAATATACTCATTACAGGTTATATAGAGTTGAAAAGAGACTAATTGTTGCTGTTGGAAATGAGCGCATGCCGATCCACTTGGAAATTTTAGCATGTACAAATATTTAGATATTTTTAACTTGTCACTTTCTTTTTGTCGATTCAAAATGCCGGTGATATGATCACATTAGTTCGCCTTTCTTTGTGTCGATAGTATTTAGCAATAACTACCAAACGAGCTTTCACTTTCTCTTGAATGGTCTAAATGTAAATTCATGATGGATTTGAAATTATTTTATTGTCTATGACGCTCCCGGTCAAAAAAACCTATATTTTTAAAAATCCATATTTACTTTTAACGGAATTTAAAATGTTTATTCAGTGTCATTTTAATTCTGAAGCAATAAACTGTTTAGTCATCATCTTAGTTTTCTTAATTTCAATTTTTAAACTTAAAAATGCCACTTAGTGCTGATGACGTTGCGCGTGGTGTGTCACTTATTGATGATGGACGTTCCATCAGGTATGCGGCTATTTTGCCATTGAGTTCCCTACGAAACACTGCGAGTCGCCGTTGGACGTTTTCAAGAAACTGGGTCCTATAGAAGGCCCAGTTCTGGACGTCCTAATGTAACAGAACCATAGGATACCGTTTTTTGACTTTGAGTATTTTGCGAAACCGGCACCTTATTGTTTTTCAAGCGATTCATCAGCTCCAGGAAATTCGAGGTGTCCGAATTTCTGAACGCACTGCTCGAAGAAGATTAAATCTGTATGGACTGATGGCTTTTCGACCCGTAAAAGGACCAGTATTGACCAGGACACACCGAGTTGCCCGGCTCGTATTTGCTCTTGGTCTTTGAACGATTGGTCCGCTGTACTTTTTACAGATGAGTGTAGATTTGGTCTACGATCTCCAGATGGGCGTTAAAGAGTGTGGAGAAGGCGAAATGAAAGGTACGAAGCCTGTAATTTTTCCCAGAGCCAACCTTTGGTCGCACAGAGTTGGTTGTTGTTAGTGGAGGGTTTTTGACGGCCGTGTGGATGAAATTTTGGAACGTCATGCGTTGCCTATCCTCGATGAAATCATTGACAGTCTTATTCTAATGCACGGTACTGCCCGTCCACATGTCGCTCGCATAGTACAAACGTACTTTGAACAGCATAACATCAGGGTCTTAGCCTGGCCAGCCCGTTCTCGAGACTTGAACCGCATCTAACATTTATAGGATAACCTCAAACGACGAGCGTCCATTACTTCCTGATGCACTCTACGATCTTCAAAGGTCTCTTCGTGAAGAATGGGCTAACCTCCAGCAAAGAGACATGTCCAGACTGGTAGAAAGGATGCCGAGCCATCTTCGAGATGTAATTAAGGCAAGAGGAGGACGCGTTATTGAAATATTAATTAAAAATCTAAAACAAAATTAAAACAAATTTTATCTCACCGTCCTTTTTTTATTTTCCTTAGCAATTTACATTTTTTCAAACTTTTTTTGACAAAGACTCAATTTTTAAACGTTAAAAAACGTGAAACCTCGATTAATATATAAAAATATAAACAAATCAAGTTATATTACAATGGTTGGAATTTTTTGCCCTTTAGTGTATATATAAAATAAAAAATACTTATTATTTATTACAAGAATGGCGAAAAAACGTTTAATGCTTCAAATATGATGTACGTGAGCTCGTCCGCGTACAACAAATTCCAAAGGACACGGCTGAGAAATTCACTTTCATAAAAGAAGCCCTCGTGAAAGACCTCTTTCTTCGTTTATTCATAGGAAGACCTGGCTGGATTGTTTGGGAGCAAACATTTACATATTTATTGACATCTTGTTAGTCGTCATCCCTTGAAAAAAAGGGTTACGCAACGCCTCGACCTTTTGTCGTAGCTCTTTTGAACCGAAACAAAAATTTTCAAATACCAATGGAGCTTATTGTAATATGTATCAAGTCATGAGGTGTACAAAATTTCTCATTTAATCTGGAACGACGGAAATTGACATTTTTCAGAGTTTATTAATTGTCAAAATTTAACTTAATTTGCTACTACAATGCATAGTAGTATTCATTTAGTAAATTGCATTTATTATTTTCAGTTGGCTAAACTATTAAACACTTTTTATAGATAATTAAATATATAATTAATTACAGATTATAATTAATTAATAATTTATCATTTATTATAGATAATTAAAGAGTTAAGTTGATATATTGATTGTTAAAAACCAAAGGAAGATTTTTTTTACGAGGGTATTTCGACTGCGAGGTTATAATGAAGCCTCGGGGTACCGGTGATTTTGAAAAAAGCCCATTTGTAAGTACGTCAGGTTCGAATGCACGGCCGCTGGATTCGAACCCGGAACCTTTACCTTGCAGTGATGAGCGCTGTGTCATTGTCTAAACCATTGTGGCCACCGACGCTCCCTCATAAAGGAAGATTGTGATTGAGAGTGGGAGAGAGAGAGGGAGAGAGAGAGAGAGAGAGAGAGAGCGAGAGAGAGAATGAGAGAGGAATCAAAATAATGAATATTCATTCACGGCTTATTTATACTCAGTCAAAAAAAGTGGCCACCCTTAATATTTTTTATTATCTCTTTATCTATCCTCCATTAATTATTTTACTACAATATTTGGTCCGTTTTAAATGATTCGAGGTAAATAAAACACAGAAAAAATTTCCCACTTGTGTATGCAATTGGATTTTGTAAATAACTCTTTGAATAGTCAATCTTTTCTTTATGTCTGTAAAGCTTCTTGCTAACGTTCGGTCGTTTGATTTTTTTAAGTTGTACCAATTTTTAAGTTTCAACTTTGTTTTGTTATGTTTAAGTGATACAGATTCGGCTACAACCAAAGCTTTGATGGAAGATGGAAGAAGTCAAGCGTATGTGGCCAAGGTTCCACGTTCCCAGAACAACTGCCCAAAGGTTCTTCAACTGGACGGTACTCAAGAAGGCGGGTCGCCATCGTGCCACACCGCAGAGAGATGATCGTTCTATTGTTTCGAATGTACTCCGTAATCACCATTCTACCGCCGTTGAGATCAAGCAACGACTTCCACGAGATATTGGGTTGTCCGGAAAATAATGCAGGATTTTGGTATTAAACAAAAAAAAAGAAACTAGTTACTTTAAAGCAATGTTCTTTAATCAAAATAANATACAAATGAGTAATCCTGTAAACGTAAACAGAATATTTTATATAGATTTTTTTTAATGAAAACTTAAAATCCTGCATTATTTTCCGGACAACCCAATAGAAATGATAATGTCAGTTTACACACTGTAAGCCTAGAAGACAAGCTGGATTACGTGCGAGGAGGCCACTGGTCCAGAACTTGGACTGTGCAAGATTGGACTAAAATCTTGTTGTCGAATGAGTCCAAGTTTGGTCGAGGTTTTATAACAGCCGAGAGAGTTTTTGGAGAAGAATAGGATAGCGGCATATCGTAGATGATGAGTTCTGGTCTGCGAGTCGATGAACTCAAGTTAAACAGACACACGGGCACTCGACTCGTGGGTGAAGACAGACCCAGTAGTGTCCGTGTGCCAGTTAACATAGCGGCATATCCCTGCAACATTTTCACTCCGGAGAAGCTATGGAGGTGGTGGTGTTATGGTTTGGACAGGCACTTCTCTGGACGTTTGCACCAACTTGCTCTTCATCAAGGGTTCCCTAACAGCTGCGCGATACATTGAGGATGTGTTACTTGAAGAAGTTGTCCCTTTATGCCATTAATTGGCGACCGTTTTATTTTTAGGCTTTACAATGCAAGGCCCCACACAGCGAGGATCGTTGGTGACTACTTAGCACGGGATTCGATTCACTGTTTGGAGGGTCAGCATGTAGTAGTAATTAAGAATTGCGTGTTAAAGGATTATGAAAATATTCGACAGCACTATATTCAGAATCTCATAAAATCGATGGCACATCGAATGCCAGCTGTGATGAACTCAAGTGAAGGAAATAACTCCGTACATCTTACATTTTTCTAAAAAATAAAAATTTTAACGATTGCGATTAGTACGTATTTACTAAAAAAAAGAGGGTGGCCACTTTTTTTGCCTCTCAGTGTGAATGAATGAAAAAATGAATAAAGTTTTATTTATAGTGAAGGAAGACAAAAAAGTTACTCTCCCATATGGCGTACTCGTAAGACCGAGAGACTCATCTGCCTCATATTTGTGTTATTATTTTTAAATTTATATGTTTAATTAAACTTCAACAAAAATAATTTGTACAAAAATAAAAGGTTAAACAAAGACAAAAACATAAAAATACTGAAATAATTCAAGTGAATGACATCTACTCCCAAACATTTGGCCCCCAATCAAGCTCTCCAATGAATTGGGTGTCCTCAATGTACAAGGAAGACGTTTTCCATTTTCCAGCTGAGCGCTCTGTTCTCTCTGGTTTCCTTTTACTACATCTGGATCCACGTTCTTTTCCTTGGTCGGTCTCATCTCTCTTTTCCATTCAACGGGTTTCGTAAGCGCTTTGTTAATTTTGCCCATCAACCATGCCAGCGGAGCGGTACAATTTTAATCTTTTATCGGATTGACGCTCTCAACTACTTACTTGTCTTAGGCCGAATTAGCCGAAAAAAGGCAACAAAGCATGAAGCAAGCAGTAAAACAGATCTGGTCAAATTGAAGTTTGGCCGTTTCTCATCAATTCCGTCTGCCTATCAAATCTTCAGTTTTTTAATAATAATTTTGGGGTAAAAACCCTCCACTAAGGATGGCAAGAAGTCGAACTGACTGATTAAAACACCAAGGACAGGTAGACCAAAATAATCGGGAACTACCAAACTTACTACAGGCAGTAGAGTTTGGCTTGCGCTCGGCCAAAAATGCTAACCGTTAACACCATCAATACTTGGAAAATGCAAGCACTGATATTTGGTTAATTATCTTATCAGGCATGAATTGTTTTTAAATAAGTGATGTTAATAATTAATTATACAAGGGAGCTTTATATCCCAGAATAGATTTTGCAGTTCATTATGTTTTTAAGAACCTAGTAATAAAGAATGATCGCAGTGACGATTTTTAAAGTTTATTGTGTTTTTATGCTGAAATATAAAGACCTCAGGGGAATGACGATTTTTTTTAAATGGACTAATAAAAAATACATTTTAATTAACTTATAAAGTAATCAGGTTCCGTAATAGCGCTGTCGTGAGGGAGGCCGTGGGTCGGGTACACGTACAGTCTGGTACACCTGAGGATATGGCTGTATATGGTATGGTCGCTGCAGGTAGGTCAACGGTACGATGCTGACACGTCCGAGGTCGTGCGGGAGCTTCATGCCCCAGTCTTCTTTTATCATGTCGGCACCCTTTTCCGCGATCATTATCGTCGGAGCGTTTGTGTTTCCGCTGACGATGGTCGGCATGATGGACGCGTCGACCACTCTAAGGTTGCCGACACCGTAGACCCGTAGCCTTGGGTCGACGACGGCCATACCGTCCCATTTTGGCCCCATCTTGCACGTTCCGACCGGATGGTAGATTGTCATTGTATAATGCCTCACCTGAAATACAAAAATATCATTCCTCTAAGTTCATATTTTAAGTACGATGTCTACATTAAGTTTTCTATCAATAGTTTAGAACATCGACTCCTCTTAAGTAATCTACCTGCTTTTGCTCTCTAACCCAGTTTAGGAAGAGTATTTATGTTTGTTCAAGTCTAACAGATCAATCAATAAAAGACACCTTAACTAAGCTTTACACATAAATTTACTAATTGTATACAAAAAAAAAAGAGTCTTCTTTCCGATAGTCAGAGTGTCCTATCCGCCATTTCTAATATCCACAATTCTAACCACCCTTTAATATCTCATATATTTAACGCCACCATTCAACTAACCAATAGAGGCACCGTAGTGCACATAATTTGGACTAAAGGCCACAGCAACAACAAATTTAATGATGAAGCGGACAGGCTGGCCAAGACTGCGGCCTCCGCTGGCAGTCCCTGCTTTATTATCCCCCATCATTAGAGCCCACATAAATAGTTACTGCAGGCTCCGTTGGCAAAATGAATACTCCGCCAGCACAAAAGGAAGGTTTTATAAATTCATCCAACCTATCATTCCTACCTTCCCTTGGTTCCGATCTTACAATAGTCCTCGCCATTCTCTCACCTCTATAATTCGGCTTCGCCTAAACCACAATTGTCTTCCCTCCCACCTCTATAAAATAAATATCCTAGACTCTCCTTACTGTTCCTGCGACCCCTCGTACATAGCTGATTCCAACCATATTTTACTAGCCTGTCCCAATACCTCCATCAACCGAGAGTCCCTCTACAACACTCTAATTTCTAATAATATCCCTCTTCCTACCTCAATATCCGTTATACTCTCTTTTACCCGTAATCCCAAAATAATTTCCTCTCTCTCTAAGCTCCTATCCCAAAATAAAATACAAAAGTATACATTTCAAACTTGAAGTTTAGAGATTTGGCCAATATGCTAGACCATAAGGCCAAAAAAAAAAGTTTGAATTTTTAAAGATACCACTAATCTTAGAGAAAGAAAGAAAAAAAGAAAGACAGTCAGAGAGAGAAAGAGAGAGAGAGAGAAAGAGAGAGCAATAAATAGAGACTGATACACCCACAAACCGAAAGACAGCTAAAGAAAGAAAGAGAGAGAGAGGAAAGATGATAAACGGAGAAAATGATAATAAATAAAAAGAGAATGAGCGAAAGAGTGAGTAAGAGAGATAGATAGAGATAGATAAATAAAGATAGATAAATAGATAGAGTGAGAGATAGAAACAGAGATAGCGAGAGAGAGAAAGAGAGAGAGAGAGAGAGAGAGAGAAAGAGAGAGAGAGAGAGAGAGAGAGAGTGATAGAAAAAGAGGGAGGGAGAAAGAAATAGACAGACAGAAAAATAGACAGTGAGAGATAGAGAATGACAAACAGACAGACTGTCAGAAAAGACAAAATTCAAACGTGGGGTGAATATGTTCTTTAATCTTTTTTAAAAGATAATTCTTACTCACAGTTTGTTGCTTTCAACAGCTTCTTATCAAAACAGGATAAGAAGGAACTATCAACTCTCAAACTATCAAGAGTAAGAACTATCTTTTAAAAACGAGGATAATTCCTTCTATCCTCTTCCTGCTTATATGCCTGGCCTCATTTTGACAGAACGGCAGTTTTAAGACTGCGTGTATATAAAATTATGGAATGTTTCTCTAAACAAAGGATTAGTACCAATTGGTTCATTGCCCAAGAGTACCACATATAAACAGTTATATCTGGAGCGAAAAATCTACTTGTCTGTTTCTCTCCGTTGATGATCCGTGTAACACTAAAACATTGTAATCCAAACCAGAAAATTGAACCGGTTCGTACGTTAGTTCAGATGGACCGTAAATGCGGTAGTTACGTAATTTTGAATTTACTCACCTGGCATTTCCAGTACTCGTCCGAAAGAAACTCCAAGCGGTCACACCCGGGAATCGGTATGTCATGGAGCCGGGCCCGGTATTTCTGGAACGGCAACGTTTGCGACAATTCGTATGCTATTTTCGCACCTTCCACCTACAAGGGCAACCTTTTATAACCTCTGGATAACTTTGAGTCGACTTTTTAATAGATGACTCGATAATGATGACTTTTTACTGATGAGTATGATAAGCTGTAAAGTTGTGCGATCCTATTTTTCTATTGTACTAGCTCAAACGTTGAAGTGTTTTGGTAATTAAAGTGCCTCAAATCCAATGAGTTGAAAGCAGGTAATTAATCGAGGGAAGCTCATTGTGTTCAAGTCATGTCCAAACCCTTTGAAGCCTGTCAACATCGTTGTGAATGAACGAGCAATTGGGACGGGGAGGAGGTCCGTTATTCAAAAATATGAGAAATGATCTTGATCCTATAATTAACGGCATTATAAGAACGAATTGCTAGGTTTCCATGTCAAATAAGTCACTTCGTGCTACAGCTACAATTTTCCAATTAAAATTTACGTCTGACTAAAGTTAAAAGATGTATTCACGAATTCAGCACTAAAAAGAGTTGACGGCTCTGACAAATATTCGTACGATATCGGTTAGTCCTAAGATTCTTCATGGTCACGTGTCTTGACTTATTATCTTTCAGCCTAAATTAATGTTCTCTTGTTAATATTGTGAGTTTTCTTCTTGGGATCTGAGGAATGATGTTTCCAATCATTTTAGTCTGGCTATCGTACTGTGCTGTTTATTAAAAAAAACTAGCATTGGTTCGGTAAACCAAAAAATATGTCCTCTTGGCCTATAGTGTTCTTTAAGTATGAAGAAATCATGCTCTTTGTACCACCCTGTATGGCGACAAGGTTAAATTAATTAACCCCGATCTGGCTCTTTCCAATTTATATTTGTTAATGGATCACGTTTTGCAGGTCGGTCAATAGATTTGAAAGGTAATTTTGGTAGAAAAGTGATTGAACCTCAAGTGTTTTCCTACAGCGTACAAATTTTTGCAAGATAATATTTTTCTATGGTACAAAACTAAAAAGTATAAGCTGCTTAAGTTTTCGCCTCTAAAGGCTCACCTTGGCAGTAAATCGAAGAAATGTTCTGCAACGTGAGCGTATGTATACATTGTTAGTCATGCTGAACCGGCTTGGGTCCGTCATGCGTTTTGCGATTGCTTCATCTTCAGTGAGGAACGTAGTTCAACAAATTCGCGCGCGAAGTCGGACTCAATAGCGACAAATGTCGATTCAGCTTGAGTTCGCCGACTCGCAGACCAACACCCAGCATCAGCAATTTTACTCATTCAAATCCTCCACCCAGCTTACATACTCACTTATTAGCTTTTTACAGATCGGACATTTAAAAGTTAATAAGTAATGGTGGATATGTGCAGTTTTTCGCAACTAAATACAGTGGTATGAGAGTGGGATTGGTTGGCTTCATAAATAGTCAAAACCCATAGAGATTTTTTATATTAAAACACTTATTGTCTATTATTAAATCTTTATATACCCCGTCAAATTAATCTCTTTTGCACCAAATTAATCCTTTTTAATTTAAAAATTAACTTTTTTAACTTTAAAATTACATTTTTTAAATTTAAAATTAGCCCTTATTAATTTCTAATTAACCCTTGTTTAAACATCAAAAAACCTAGGAGATGGTATGAAATGTAAGCTCGTAAAGCCAAATTCCTGCNAACTTTAAATAAAATTAAAATTTATATAAAATTAAATATTAACAAAGGATTCTTCTTTTATATAATGCTTAAAAATTCCTTAACCAATTTGAAATATAACCCTTTTATTATTACCCAATTATTTTACACATAAAAAAACAGGTTAAAAGACAAATAATCTGTTTTACATTTAATATTATATAATTTTAATTGTAATTCATTTTTGTATGGTCTTCTAGGAGCTCAAGGGACAGGAGAATTATTACTAAATGATTTCATATTTTTAAAAATCTTAAATAAACCGGTATTTTATTTTACATGCTTGTTTTTCATTCCATCTCCAATTTTTTTTTTACTTTAAAGATAGTGTTAATTTCAATTTAATAGAGGTTAGTTTGAAATTAAAAAAAGGTAAATTTGAAATTAAAAAGAGTTTATTTGAAGTTGTAAAGGGTTAATTTCATATTTGAAAGGCTTAAATTGAAGTTGAAAAGGGCTAATTTGAAATTATAAAAATGAATTTGAATTTAAAAAGGGTTAATATGACATATAAAAATTTAGCAAGTTAAAAAGGGTTCATTTAATGTTGAAATGTGTTAATTTGAAATTAAGAAAAAGGTTTTTAAGACAATTAAAATTTTAAAATCTTAATTTGAAGTTAAAAAGGTTAATTTGAAATTAAAAATGGTTTATTTGAAATTTAAAAAAAAGGTTAATTTGACAGGAAAAAACTACATAGTCTTCTAAGAGCCAAATTATTTCTATTAAAAAAATTTTAAAATATACAGGAATTTTACTTTACATATTTGTATTTCATGCCATCGGCAAAGTTTTGTTTAAACTTTAAACATAGGGTTATTTTGAATTTAAAAAAAGGTTAATATGAAATTTAAAAAAGTTAATTTATGTTAATAAAGATAACAATTTACAAAAGCTAATTTGACGTTGAAAAGAGTTCATTTAAAGTGTTAATTTGAAATTAAGAAAAAGGCTTAAAAAATTGAAAATTAAAAAAGTTTAATTTGAAGTTGAAAAGGTTAATTTTACATTAAAAACGGTTTAATTGAAATTTAAAAAAAATTGACCTGAAAAAAACGGTACTTATAGCTTTCTGAGAGCTCAAAAAAGTGAATTTAAATTTAAAAAGGGATAATTTGACATTTAAAAAAATTAAGAAGTTAAATAGGGGTTCATTTAATGTTGAAATGTGTTAATTTGATGTTAAGAAAAAGGGTTTCAAAAAATTTAAAATTAAAAAAGCTTTATTTGATGTTAAAAAAAGTTAATTTTAAATTAAAAATGGTTTATTTGAAATTTAAAAATGGTTAATTTTACGGGAAAAAGCTGCACAGTCTTCTAAGAGCCGAATTATTTATATTTTTTAAAAATTCTCAAATATACAGGAAGTTTACTGTTCATGAGATTCATATCATCTCCATAATTTTTTAATACCTTAAAGAAAGCGTAATTTCAAGTAAAAAAAACGGGTAATTTAAATTTTAAAAAATGGCAAAAGGGAGGGAAAATTCAAATGGTGGGGTTGAGGTGGGAAGTTAGTGTCCGAGTGGATCGAAGTCACGATAGCTCAGGTGGAAGAGTAGCGGCGTATCTAGCCTAAGGTCGTGGGTTCGAATCCCGCTCGTGACATTGACTTTTTATCTCAACTAAAAACCTTAATTAATTGTAATATTAATACAATTGGTCAAGTGGACCACGAAAACTAGTGAATTTAAAAAAAACGTTAATTTGCAATTAAAAAGATAAATGTCAGAAAAACATGTTGAAATGTAATAACTAATAAGGCTGTAAATGTAATAATAAGCACCAGCTTTTAAAAGCTACTAATCGATTTTATTGAAACATTTCTCTAGTTTTAATTAAACGTTTTAACGAAGCGTTATTGGCCTAATAAAAGTTAGAAGAGAAATCTAATTTTATGTACGTCTTACCATTATTTCTAGATCCCTCTCGTCCGATAAATAGTTTGGTACTATAATCGGATGGCTTTTCGGCGAGTGGTCTCTCAGTTGGATAAAACCTTTGCTTCGAGGTCTCAACAATAGTGGCACAATAGTGAAAGATTCTTTATACAAAATCGGTTCGAATACGGTTGCGTAGATATCGTCTGCGAGGCCGTTGTTCCTTCTTCCGAAGAGGCCGCCGTCCGCGTTGTCTCCTGTGCTGGCGAACAAGAGCTGGACGTCGGGCCAGTCTTCGCTTCTATTCGCGTACCTGTTAACGCAGCAGATGGATTACACGCCGATACCAAATGGACAGAGATCCTCTGTGTTATTTTGTTTTTCATAGTTTAAAATTACTTCGTGTTGACGAACGCCATGGCCTCGGTCGTCGGCGTCCCGTACAAAGGACCCGTGTTTTTCGTCATGAACATCTGAAGAGTATTGACGTTCAGGACATTCGGAAGGACGTAAGCCTGCTCCCAGGGGCCGTACTCCTCCGGTGGTTCGATCAAAAAGGTCGTCCCGCCGAGTGCGATGTGGTCCTGAAGATTGTTGCCCACCCCGGGCGAATCCACCAACACGGGTATCGACAATTCTCTCAAATGCTCTCCCGGGCCGATTCCCGACAACATCAAAATCTGAAAAATTTCGCTACTATAAAAATTCAAAATTGTCCATCGGCCAAACGTTAATTATTTCGTATAAGTTCGTAACGTACAAGGATAAAATATACAACAGAAATCAAATCTTTAAAAAGGATATCTCAAAGTTTTGTGAGGAAATTAACAGCAAATCCGCCAATTTCATTTCTCTGTAGATCCAGCCATCAATTTAAATAGTTTGTTCTTATGAGTTAAATTTTGATCAATTGATCCGATCATGATGAGCCGTTGAGTTGGGATCTATTGACCTACTCACTTAACCTTGCCCAGTAGTGTTTTTATATAAGCCGATGTTCTCTCTCTTGATCGACTCCATCAATAAATGCAAAGCAAAATAACAAATTTGTAATTGTTATTGCGCAGGAAAGCGTTTGTTAGTATTGCAAACAATAATTGGATTATGTAAGAGAGGAATAAAGACAATACATTCTCATTGAAGGTCTGGGAGTTTATCTCCGTCACATCTGAAAATATAAACATCATGATTGCAGAAGACTTGACGTTTATTGGTAATATTTTGATATTCGTTGGACCTGTTCTTCGTCTTCGTGCACGGCAACAGGTAGCACAGACAGGTCAGGATATAGGGATTTGTAAATGTATATAGTGTTTGTGTTGTGTTGATGTTAATTTACTGGAATGGATGTAATTTATCAACGTGAAACGAAGGGGCTTTTAACCCCGCCCCGAGGAATATCGAGTACTCTGGGGTGAGTGTATGACATCTTGAGAGTAAAAGTAAGTTATTAGCGAGAATGGTGAGGGTACAACCCCGCCCCGAGGAATATCGAGTACTCTTGGGTGAGTGTGTGACATCTTGAGAGTTAAAAAAGTAAATTATTAGCGAGAATGGTGAGGGTTCAACCCGCCCTGAGGAATATCGAGTAACCTGTGGGAGTGAATGTGACCTGACTTCTCTTTTTCTATAGGACGGTGATGTATATATGTATTGTATGTTTTATAACTATTCTGTAGTTGTCAACCTGAGGTACAAATAAGAGGCTAGCAGTTTAGGATATCGCCTTAGTTTTCTTACAAAATCAGAGAGTCAGTAACAGATCAGGACGCCTCAAATGGCTGCAGGTTGAAAATAAAAATTACCGTGAAAGACCTCATTATTATTATTATTATTATTATTATTATTATAAACATCATGAAGTAATAACTGTTGAAACCAAATCTCGTCCCCTTCCTTGGCAATTAGGTCAATTATTGGCTGAAATGTTAAGAAATTCACATTAATTTTAAAGAAAAGAAACCTATTTTTCAAACGCCTTTTATTAAATCTGGTTGTTGAAACTGAAGAAGGAAAATTAGAAAGTCTTTCCGTGTGTGACATGGTACATCTCAGCCCCCTAGGCCTTACCCCTTAAATGATCAATTTAAATTTTAATATTTGTCGCTGCAGATAAGTGGAGACGGTGAAAAAGGTTCGTTCGTTTGGTGAAAAGGATAAGGAATAAGGACAGAGGAAGCAACCCCCCACTATCGCCTAATGACGTTGGCCAGACCATAACCAAAACTGATAAGTTGTGACCTCTTACCAAAAATTTGTTTTCAAGTCTAATTACACGTCCCAGGCTAGAACAACCTGTCTAAGCCAAAATTTTACAATGTATAATTATTAGGGTTTTTTTATTTTTTTGACACTGCCCACAGAAACTTCATAATTGTTACCTGAGGCGAGTTAACGGAACCAGCGGACAATATGACTTCCTTGTTGGAAAATATCTTTATCCCTTGAATATGTGGTGTTGAGAAAAGGACACCAATCGCTTTCAACGTTCCGAAGTCGTTTGTCACTAATACTTTCTCGACGTGAGAATCGAGTATAATATGCAAGTTCTGTCTATCCTTAATCGGCCGTAGAAACCCTTTAGCAGTACTGCATCGAAGACCTAAACATAATAATTATAATGATAACAACGTATTGGACAATTGAATAGCGCTTGAAACTAACTTAGATTGCTAACACATTACTATTTACATGTGGACACATTTCTGAAATACCTATGCACAAAGTGACCTAGTTCATTTTAGTTGAAATCTATTGTTTAACCCTAGCCCGCCCTAATTTAAAACCTAATCCAAAAATAATGAGAATTATCCTTTAAAGGTCGAATTTTTTGTTTCCGTCACCACGTTAACGATAGATATCTTAAATTTACATTCAGTAACAACGGAAATGGGATATGCAAGGGTTCTTTACTAACTGACAAAACTGAATGCAGCTGTGAAGGAAAAATTGACTGTCTCAGTTAAGGGTAGATAACCCGTTAACACCCCTATCAGCACTGCCTACGATGCGATGCGATATCGCGCGAGTGAAAGCTGGAAGCGCAAAATTAACTGCCATTGACTCAAATTAACCCTTTTGAGATCAAATAAGCTCTTTTTAATTTTAAAATTACCCTTTTTAATTGCAAATTAATCCTTTTTCAACTTTGGATTAACCCCTTTTTTTACTTCTAACTAACCGATTTCAAATTAAAATTAACCCTTTCTTTAAAGTAATAATAAAACTTCGGAGATGGTTGAAATTTAAGCAATTAAAGTAAAATATCTGTACATTAAGGATTTTTGTAATATAAAATAATTGGGCTATTAACTTCAAATAACCTTTTTTTAAACCAAATTAACTTTTTTTTTACTTTAAATTAACCCTTTCTAACTTTAAATTAACCCCTTGTAACTTAAAATTAACCTTTTCTTATGACTAAATAACTTTTTATAACATCAAATTAACCATTTTTTATTTCAAATTTCACCTTCTTTTAGCCTAGACATAACCTTTTTTAATTTCAAATTAACGCGTCTTAATTTCAAATCAAACCTTCTTTAAAGCATCAAGATGTTATGAAATATAAGCATCCCTATCCCTGTATATTTGAGAATTTTTTAAAATAAAGTAATTTGTCTCTTAGAACACCATATAAAATTAATTACAATTAAAATTAAAAATTATGTACAATAAAATATAAAAATATTTTTTTTAAAAATTCTCAAATATACAGGAATTTTACTTTACCTGCGTACAATTCTATAATCTAAAGTCTAAAATGTTCTTATAATGTAAAGAAAGGGCCAATTTGAAAATAAAAAGATGAAGGTATTAAAAAAGAAGACGGGCCAATAGCCCGAAAGTCCAAACATCACCAGATTTCTTGGTTTTTTTTTAATACCTTTCATCTATACTATAACCATGGATAGTACAACAAAATGAAAATAAAGGACTAATTTGAAAGTTTTGAAAACATGTTAAATTGAAATTAAAAATGATCAGTTAGAAAGTAACAAAAGGAAGTTTGACATATAAAGGGTTAATTTTAGGCAAAAAATTGTTAATTTGAAATTAAACATGATTAAGTTGAATTATAAATATATCTGCCCAAATATAAAGAAATAAAAAAATTTAAACAATATTTTAACCGCTATAGGGAATAACTAAAATACCTCGATGGTTATTGGTTAAATAAAATTTAAAAGTTAAAGTTTTTTTGCATTGTATAACTTCACTTTTTTCCACATCCTACATGTATTTGGCAAATTTAAACATGTTTGTAAACCCCAGGCCCTGAAGATGATCTCAATAAAGATCGAAACGTTGGCACGATAAAGAAAATGTTTTTCTGAAACCTACGCCACACCAGACCGCATCTCAATTTCCGAATAATCATAGACTAACGGTCACTAATCACCACGCATTAAAAGTTAAAGTAAAAAAAGGTTAATTTGAAATTAAAAAGGGTTATTTTGAACGTAAAAAAAGAAGTTTTTAAAAAAAGGACAATTAATATATTATTTAATTTTAATTAATTAAAGGGCTAATTGTATGCAAAAAAGGGTTAATTTCAAATTAAAATAAGTTAGTTTAATGGTAAAGGTTCATATTAACAGCTACCAAAATATAAGAAAAAATGTAGGCAATATTTTTATCACTGTAAACGGAATCACAAGAAAACCTTGAGATTATTAAAATTAAAAAGAATCAATTTAAAGTAAAAAAAAATTAAATGGAAATTAAAAATGCTTACTTTGAAAGTAAAAAAGACGTTAATGTGAAAAAAATGAGGTTAATATGAAAAAAGGACGATAATTTTAAATTAAACGGGTTTTATTTTATGCAAAAAAGGGTTAATTTCAAATTAAAATAAGTTAGTTTAATGGTAAAGGTTCATATTAACAGCTACCAAAATATAAGAAAAAATGTAGGCAATATTTTTATCACTGTAAACGGAATCACAAGAAAACCTTGAGATTATTAAAATTAAAAAGAATCAATTTAAAGTTAAAAAAATTAAATGGAAATTAAAAATGCTTACTTTGAAAGTAAAAAAGACGTTAATTTGAAAAAAATGAGGTTAATTTGAAAAAAGGACGATAATTTTAAATTAAACGGGTTTTATTTTATACAAAAAAGGGTTAAATTGAAATTAAAAAGGGTTAATTTCAAATGAAAAATGTTAGTTAGACAGGAGTAACAGTTGATAAATTTAAAATTTAAAAGGTTTAAATTGAAATTAAAAAAGGTAAAATTGTTATTTAAAAACAAGGTTAATTTCAAATTAAAATAAGTTAATTTGACGGAAGTAAAGGTTGATAGTATCAGCTGCCCAAATATAAGGAAATAAAAAGGCAATATTTTTATCACTATAAAGAATCACCAGAAAAATTGGAGATTATTGATTATTAAAATTAAGAGCAGTGAGTGTAAAGTAAAAAAAAGGTTAGTTTTAAAGTAAAAAATGACGATAATTTTAAAATAGAAATGATTTATTTTAAATTAAAATTGAACGGGTTTAATTTTATACGAAAAAAGGATTAAATTGAAATTAAAAAGGGTTAACTTCAAATTAAAATAAGTTAGTTTTACGGGGTAAAGGTTGATAGTAAGAGGTACACAAATACAAGGAAATAAAAAAAATTAATCAATATTTTTTATTACTATAAAAGGAAAATACTTATAAAATCCCGATGATTATTGATTATTAAAATTAAAAAGAGTCAATTTAAAGTTAAAAAAAGGTAATTTGAAACAAAAACGGATCATTTTGAAAGTAAAAAAGGAGGTAAATTTGAAAAGTGGGTGTTAATTTGAAAGTAAAAAGGGTTAATTTTATGCGTAAAAGGGTTGAATTGAAATAAAAAAGGTTAATTTCAAATTTAAAATGTTAGACAGGAGTGACAATTGATAGTAACAACTACCCAAGTATAAGGAAATAACAAATTTGAACAATATCTCTTACCACTATAAACGGAATCACTAAAAAACCATGATGATTATTGATTAGAGAAAATATTTGATTTTGTAAAATAATGAATGGTGGATGTGCACTTAGAAATAGGATTAGAAAATTTCGAAATTGTTTAAATACCTACATTCTTTCTGATTTGTTGTTTTCCCATGGAATTTAACAGTAAGTAATCTCAAACAAAATTCCTTGCTTTTCTTTATGTCAAATAAAGTTTCTATTTCCATCTCTGTTTTTAATACGAAAGATTGAAGTTATTTTATTTTTTGAATTTTTTTCGAAGGAATCCTTTTCATCCGTTTAACAAATTTCTTCCTTTGTCAAATTCAAAAACGTAGCACTGATTTGAAAGGTGCGTAGGGTGATTTCCAAACTAAAAAGAGAGTTGTCTTTTAGCTCTTTTTCCGTGTGTTGTAACTTCTCGAAACCACAACTCAACGAAATAGGACCGCGTTATCTGCAATTCACCCTCATTTTTTTACAATGCTAAATGAGTCAATTATTAACCGTTTACGATTTGCCACTATGAACCGCTAAGTCATTATTGTCATTGTCATCCTACTTTCCCTCAAGTTTACCTTCAAACTTGTTTTAACATTTCAAATCTCAATGTGAGGTGTGTCTTTCCCCGACCTGTTGCACTGCTAATTATTTTTTAGAACGAAAAATGAAATTATTGATCTTTGTGAATTTTCTTGTTTTTTAAAGTTTTAGAGGTAGCAATAAAATGTTCAAAAGGCTTAAAGTTTACTGGAAGGTAAAGGTCCCGGGTTCGGCCCTGCATTCGAGCCTGGCATGCTTACAAATGGGCTGTTTTCAAAAGCACCGCTACCCCGAGGGTTCATAATATCCTCGTAGTTGAAATACCATCGTAAAAAAAATAAAAAATTAAAAAAGTTTGCTCTGGAGTCAACCCTTTGAAATTGAGCAACGGTTCGATTCGGACGGGAGATACCGAAAATCCTTTGTCACAAAAGCTATTGGCCTTTACCAAAATGCCACTAGATGTTTCAAAAAATTCCTGGCATGTCAAAAATTAGGACCAGGAACTTCGTCATCGAATATCATAAAAAACTTTGCATTTTTATGGACAAAGTTCAAAACGAGTCTTCCTCGCTTTCGGAACATTTTTTTTCAACGAGGGTTCGCAACAGCAGAGGTCATATAAACCCTCAGGATGCCGATGTTTTTGAAAAAAAGCCCATTTGTAAATATGTCGGGTTCGAATGCAGGGCTGCTGGATTCGAACCCGGGACCTTTACTTTACAGTGATGAGCGCCGTGTCAACGCCTAAACCGTTGCGGCCACCGACGTCCCCCTTTTGGAACATTAAAACCGGCATCAACCATTCACCAATGGCATATCCCACTCCTGGCATAGTTCGACTTCTACAAGTATTCGACAGCAAAACTTAATGTCCCAGGATACATGAATGAATGTATATCAGAGGGATCTGGCTGACCTCGGGGTCTTGAAAGTGAAGTTTTGTTAGAAGCTGTGGCTATTGATCGTTGAAATAGTAGAAGACAGCTTTTAAATGGTCCTGACCTACGAGGAGCTGGAACGAGCCTGATGAGCTGCAGAATAATGAAGATGAGAACGATACTAGGAAACAGGGGTATTCCCCCAAGCACTTATTTTACTTTTTCTAGTTCCTTAGATCAGTGCAGTGGACTCGATTCTTCTTTTAAGTAGTTGCACTCTTCGTTCCAGGTTAGAGTGAGTCAGGCTAGAACCCAAGGAAGCGTACGCAGTCAGTTTTAGAGATAGGAGTATCAGAAGGTCATTGACTTTCATTGCTGGAATTCTTTTCCCGGATCTTCTTGATATCCTATATTAAGTCTGTAGTGATGAACAATTCCTTCATATTCGAGTGGGTGGCAGTTTCTTCCTCTTATTGCAAAACCGCCAGTCTTCATCGAGTGTTTTCTCAGATGCCAGTAACCGGTATGTAGTGCCATCACTCCAATGGCCAGTTTTGGTGAGGGTTCTTTCTGATACTACTGAAGTCCGTTCATTTCACCTTTTGTTTTTTGTGAAAACATTCTGAGATGGATGGGGGGTCTATGTTTGATCTTGTTATCCCAAGAATAGATCCTGGGCTTATAGGTCGTACGGATAATCTGGTCAGCTTGGCATTTTGTTTATTATCATGCATTCACTGACTATTTTGATCTTTTTTTCTAATGCTTTTAGGGCAGCTAAGGATTTTTTTGTGATTGTAACTTCTTCTATGTATTTAAGCTTGAATGACCAGAGGTGTTCTTCCCTGATGAATTTGATTGATGTCCGAAATGGTTAGTACAATTTATTTGTTTTTGGAGTTGCAGAAACATCTATCACGAATTTCCTCAGAAAGCCCAAGCCCTCAAAAACCCCTAAAATAATAAAAATTAGTGTCCCTCTCAATTCTGGTTGTTTCTTTGTCGTTTTCGAAGGAACGATTCGTCATGTAGTACGTTCTGACGGTTAGATGATTAATTCAGCTCAATTCGAAATAGTCGAAAAATAAACAGCATCTGAGAAACCGCAAAAATGTTCCATCCCGCACCTCAAACTTTATGCTCAACAAACCTAGTTCAACGGCGTCAACATGTAAAATTGAAGACGTATAACCCGTTTTTACCCATTTACTTGCAGCATAACATCAAACACCTCGCATTTCAGTCATTCACCTCTTACTCATGTCTCTGGCTGGCTTAATTCGGCAAGTATTAACCTGCTGAACGAAACAGGTCTAGTTTGGTTAAAAGTTGGTTTTGGCCAAGTTTTCCCCCCTGAAGACTCATCGTAATACAAGAAACGCAGGAATTTCTTTGCCCGATATACATCCTCACGTCAATCCTTCGGACTCAAGTCCATGGCCAGCCTGTTCCCGTGTCAAACTTCGTTTGTAAACCCAAGGTTACTAGGACAGACATGCGTTCTCTTTCGAAAAACCAACCTATATTTGGACGACGGCTGCGCGCATTGTTGTTTCAATAAATAATTAATAAAATTCTGTCGCACCTTTTCAACAAAAAACTGAATATTGTAAGGATTGACGGATTTGAACGGTTCAGACTGAAAGAAAGCCAAAACGCGTAAACTCAAAGAATAAAAAAAGTAATCAAATATATTATTTACCTTGATGCAAGGTGCAGTGTGATTTGGTGAAACCGGTCTGCCAACGTCCATTGACATCGACCTCACTGTAGCCCAAGTGTCGTCCTGCTTGCAAAAATGCTTCCGTGATAGGGGAATAATATCGGAGTTCTTCCACTCCGAGGTACCCTCCAGTGCCGTGGTAGCCGCTCTCAGCCAGACCTCTTATACGAACATCCTCCGACTTCTTGAAGTATGGCAGCAAATCGCGGTATCCCCAGCCTGGAAAGGTTATCGAAGAAGTTCGTCCATTGTAAATACCGGAAATAACAAGATATTTCATAAAGCTAAGAAACAGTATGTACTTGTTGTTGAAGGGGAGGGGTCAATTTTACTCTTAAATTAAAATTTATCGTCATAATTTGCCCACTACAAATAAGTCAGAGTATGGAACAAAATTTAATTGCAACATAATTTTTTATAAGGATGACAGTGCTCTGCCACGTTTTCCAAAATTTTAAAATTGAGTTAATTTATATGGAGCTGATTAATGTTACTTCTAATTGTAACGTAGTGAAAATTAGAGAAAAAAAACTTCCCCTGCTATGTTTATTTTTTAAATATTGCGCAAGCTAATAAACCCAGCCGGTGAACGTATCTACCAAAAATTATAGGTCAATAGGTTTAAAGCCGGTTGTTACTGCAGACGGCCATTATATAAGTCGTTTCTTATTTTGTCCTCAGCTCGTGCTAAAAAATTTCACCTCGCACACATTTCGACTGAAACCATCGAATTGAATAAATCAACGAAAATCAAATCAAATGATTTACGCTACAAAAATCATGCCACCCCGAAACCATTTAACTTCACAGAATACAGAAATCATAAAGCATCTCGATCTAGAAGACGTACAAAAGTAAAATGCTAAGACTTGAGCTTTTTTCAAGCAGGGGGTAAATGTAGGCCACAAGGCTTCAGATAGGAAATAAACTTGTCGACTTTAGGACAGTTCTTAAGGATTATTTCAAATACATAGGCTTCATATGAAGTGGGTTTTGTCGCTCATCCATAATAAAGCGCATCCATACGTTAATAATGCGTTTGGAAATTGATAAATTGAGTCAGTTCAATTAACTTGATCCATTGAATGTCATTGCTGCAATTCTTTTTCCCGGGTCTTCTTGATGAAACATCACCAGGCTACATGAACCTTAAAAGTAAACTCAGGTCTGGCTATCCTAGGGGTCTTGAAAGTGAAGTTTTGATAGAAGCTGTTTCTGTTGATCATTGAAATAGCAGAAGACTTCTTTTAAATGGTCCTGCGAGGAGCTGGAACGGGCCTGATAAGCTGCAGAATGATGATGATGAGAAGGATACTAGAAAACGGAGATAATCCTCCAAGCATTGCAGCCTTCTGGCTGTTGTACTTTACATGGTTTCTTAATTCAGTTCAATTGACTCTTTCCTTCTTTAAGAAAGCACAAGGTCATTGACTGTCATTGCTGCAATTCTTTTACCCGTGTCTTCTTGATAAAATATCATCAGGTTGAATGAACCTTAAAATGTAAAGGTTTTATCTCGGCCAATACCTTTCATAAATATTAATTAATTGAAAAATGTTAATTGGTCAATCGGACCACGAACTGTAATGGACTTAAAAGGTTAACTTAGATCTGGCTGACCTAGGGGCTTTGATAGATGCTGTTTCTGTTGATAGTTGAAAAACCCTAGGTTCGCATTCGAAGATAATGTGGGTGACAGTTTCTTCCTCCTGGGATGATGACCTATAGGGTCATCATTGAATATAGTCAAATTGGGTAGGGATTTTCTCAGTGACCTGCAGATTGCCCCAGTACTCCACTGAGTTTTACCCTTCCTAGGTTTGTCCTAGGTTCCTGAAGTTCGTCCACTCCTCCTTTAGTTTTGTGTGGTCCCATTCTGAGATGGAGGATTCTGTCCTTATTATCTTAAGTATAGGTTCGGAGCCTGTATATGGGCTATCAGATCATAATCTGAACATACTGAGGAAAGCCAGCACACCGTTCTCAATAGATACATGCTATTGATTAGGAGGGGTCTCGGGGCCATTTCCGCTTCGATCACCTGACTGGGTAATAGAGATGGGCTGTGCTGGACATGTATCGGGTGTATTTACGAAGGGTATTTGGAGATCATTGTGAAAGGTGTGTTGGAAATGGTTCTGAGGACTCTGGATTGATAGGACTGGCGGTGCCCCATAGTTCTTATCCATATGTCGGATCGGTTTTAGTAGTGTTTTTGTCGATACGTGTGATTTGCTTGATAGAAATTTGTATGGTAGTCTTCGGACGTCTGACTATTTCTGTCTTTTTGTTCTTGTGTCAGTTCCAGGTTAGAGTGAGTCAGGCTAGAACCCAAGGAAGTGTACACAGTACGTTTTATGGATAGGAGTATCAGAAGATCATTGACTTTCATTGCTGCAATTCCTTTTCCCGGATTTTCTTGATATCCTAGATTATGTCTCTATTGAACAGTTACTTCACATTCGAAGATAATATGGGTGGCAGTTTCTTACTCCTCATTCTATAACCTTCATAATTGAATATACTCAAATTCGGTAGGTGTTTAATTTCAGTTTTATCCTGTCTGACTGTGGCAATCTGTTTGCCAGTTTTGGTGGATGTTTTTTAATCATAGGTTTACTGTGCCTGATACGTCTGCATTTTATCCTCTTCTCCTTTTGTTTTGTAAACCAACCTGTGATGGGTCCGTGGTTTTTCGATTTCGTCAGCCAGACTCCTTGGTGTTCTGGCACCCAAGGTACTTTACGGTTGTGTTTTCCCAGGTTTTGGAGATTTTGGATGCATTCACTGATTGATTATTGGATGTGACCTTTTTACGTGCCAGTGCTTCCTGAGCTGTTCTTCCTTTTGAAGAAATCCAGTTTCTTCTGTTTTAACTCAGGCCTAGTCCATCATAACTACTGTCTGACGTTTACATGGTTTTATTTGATTGGTTTTTTCCACATCCCAGAACTGTTTGAACTGTATCTGTTAATTGAGCTTATAGCAACTGTAAGGAACAAATATTTAGTGTTTAATGTAACCTTTTTTTAGGATATTTAAGTAAAAAATTCGATAAAGCTTTGTGGAATGACTTTACCTTGGTTTCCCGCAGATTCCCAGCTGTCGTAGTCCTTCCGGTTTCCACGGGCGTAGAGCATCGCGTTGAGCACGCTGGTTCCTCCCAGGACCTTCCCTCTCGGCCAGAGGGATCGGTTTTCCTTCATGCCGAAATTGGAACGCAGGCAGGGTTCACTTTTATATTGCCAGTCAATCGGGCTTAACTGCAATGCGGAGTAGAGAGCAGGAATGTCGCTTAAGACCGGCTCATCGCTCCCAGCCTCTATTAACAGGACCTAAAATTGACAAAACCGGCAAAAGACAAATTTAACCAAATTGTCTCGACTGAAATGTTCCAATGGAATCTTTTGAAAATTTCACCCTTCCATCAAATCTCTTCCAATCAAAATAATAATACAAATTGTATTAAGTGAGAATAGATACATAAAAAGTGAAAAAAAGACACACACCAAAAGTTTCGGTGGTAAAAGGTTAGGTTAGGTAAGTTAGGGGCGGATTAATCATGAAAGGATCATCTAAAAACTAACTACTAAACATAGAATGTGTTAGGGCTAGAATGATAGTCGGCTGCTGACTCCGGAGGCAATGAATAAACTCGGAAGAATCGTCCTTTGATGTAGGAGCGAAGGATTAGGTATAAGGTGTTAGGGAGGACGCCCTTTAATTGGTATAAGAACCCGCATGCCACACGCCGTCGAACGCTGTGAATCTAGGAAGATCCCCTCCAGTATTCAGAACAGGACAGAATAGAAATTTTATTCACAAATACATGTATACATTATAACAGTGGTTTAGTGGAGATTCTTTCTAGCGACACTTACCTCCGACTGGTTAAGTTACAACGAATTTTTTATTATTTATATACCATTATTTTCTATTAGGGGAAAAATATTAGATTAACACTCCAGCTGTCATGGCCAAGTTATAGGACAGCGTTCTTTATTCTCCTGCAGCAATAATTACCTATTTGGCATTAGATGATATTGGTACTGGCTTCGTATTACTTAAAAAATGTAATGGTTATATCTCTGAATTATTCCATCACCATCAACACTTTTGTCGCTTTGTGCAGTTCCGATATGCGTGTATATCGCGGCAAGTCTGTCGCAAGCCTCAGAAACTTGATCTGCACAACCTGCAGCCTGGCGACATTAGTCCTGCATGTGAGACTCGGGTAGGCATACAGGAGCATCGGCCTGACCACCACCTTGTACAGAAAATGTTTATTGGCTGGCGACAGATCACAGGGGAAAGTACAGATAGTCGCTTTCCCTTGCACATTTTATCATTAACATGGAGAGTAAAAAGTGAGTTTACGGTCCAATATCACCCCAAGGTATTTGACCAACTCAGACCACGACACGGTGGACCTTTAAATTGGATCTTTTTATAAGCAACGACCCGGGCTTGCTGAAAACTACTGCCTCCGTTTTATTGTTTGCTTGTTTCTACTACACTGAATTTGATAATTTCATTAAAACACTTTTAATCGTTTATAGTTAGTTTAACTATTTTGCGGGAAAATTGAGATCCGTTTACGATTTATACAAGTTTGCAAGTGAAATTTTACAGTTATAGATTCAATTGTTTTTTTTCTATGCGCCAGCAGGCCGGTCCCTACTCGCGCACTAATCTTCCAAAAATGGTTAATTTTAATTTTCCTATGCAGCGCGATTTGGCTGCTGGCAACGATTGCGTTGTCTAATCTGTTCTATATTCCAAGAAGAGGAGTAGAGACAGATATCGTCAGAGAAAAGAGCCGTTTTTTATGTTCTTAGAGTGAGGTATTTTATTGAAATAGGTCCTAGGATAGAGCCTTGAGGAATACCTCTCGGTTGGGAGGGGGATGATTTAAAGGAAACTCGGAATTATCTAGATACGAGATAGAAGTGGACTATTTTTATTATGTAGGGAGAGAAGGTATATTCCATCATCTTGCTGACTATACCACTATACCAAACAGTCATAACAACATCAAAGGCCTTTCTGACCTCTATCAAACCATGCCAATATGCTTTCATACATTAAACGCAAGCGTTATATCATGGCTAATTGAGTGGTGTTACATAGTCCTAGACTGCTCCGGCATAATGATGCTGTTTTAATACAGGGAGGTAGCTATGCTGGTGAGCATAACACGCTTATTAGTATTCTTTAAGCTCAAAGCATGATGATGTCTAGCGTAGCACCTGCTGGGTTGTGAAGTATTGAGAGCTTGGTGAGAAAGAAGAAGAAGAGAAGATTCTGCAGTAGTTAGCCAATTACAAAAGTATCATTTTGACAGATAGTTGATGGTCTCAGACGACGGAATGTCTCTCCCTGCCTACTTTAGGGTAACCTTCGCCCCTAAGGTGAAGATTTGTTTGTTAATAACAAGCTGTGGCAATTATTTACGGCCAATGCGGCTCGTTGGTTCGGAAAAAAATCCCAGACTTTCTCCGTCCTTTAAGTGAAAGAATTAGCATAATAAGTGTTGTGATTTCTTAAACGAGACAAGCAACGTCGAACGTCTGTTGTGCGTTGAACCTTTCAAAAATCGTCCTTCAGACTTTAACAAAATAACTTTATTGCATGATGTGTGATGTTTTGAATCATTACCTGCGTAGCACGCCAGACGGGTTTTAATGTTTGCTCGCAAGTGCAAGTCATCTATCATTAACAACACATCATAAGATTGATGATGCCGTGTCTTTGTCGGTAAAAATGTATGTGACAATTGATTGAGGGCTTCTTTCAGACAGGCAACTAGTTGAACGGACGAGTGTCAAGGAGTGTAACGTGGTAGCAAAATGTTTGGGATTCGCCCCAACCCCTTCACACGCAGTCAACTCGTCCGCCCAGGCGGGTGGCCACCAGGCACAAGTGCCGCTCACGTTCTCTTCCCCACTGGTTGACTCAACTCTGAAGACACTGCTAGGGCATTCGTCCTTCACCAGTCGCCTAGTTGAGTCAACTGAGTTCACCAAGGAAAGCGTTGCAATTGCAAGTTTCAAATTGGAGCAGTTCATTGAAGATATTCGTATTAGCCCCGTGATATTAGATATGTGTTGTGAGATGTACAGTGATAAAATTAAAAGAAGCGAAACTTGGAGGGAAGTAGCACAACAGTATTTGAGAGAAAGCGCACGTTTCCCAATTTTAAAACAACGGTAAACCCACACTTTTCTTTACTGTGGTTCCTCCTTTTTTCTTCTATTTTTGCAGAAGAGCAAGCACAAGAAGTGCTCCTGCTTCCTCGGGTTCTAACATCGGACTGACCTCCTGTTGGGAAGAGAGGTTGATTCTACAAGTTTGCTCGTGTGAAACCGAGCCTTCACACGGCAGTAAACTAGTTGAGAGTCAACCGAGCAACTTAGTTGAATCAACCAAACCGCCTCGTCTGAAAGAGGCCACTGTTTTTCTTGTTATTGTCGGGTTTATTGTTAATGATTATTTGGAGATCGTGAGATGCGGTCTGGTGTGACGTAAGTTTTAGAAAAACATTTTCTTTATCGTGCCAACGTTTCGATCTTTATTGAGATCATCTTCAGCGCTCAAAATGTGCGCTTTCTCGTTTGTTTTCCGTGTAGATGTGTCATTCTTGTATGGCGTGTTGAGTGTGCCCAAGTGCCAGTCGTGTTTATTGTTAATGTGCTGTTTTCTGCCAAATTTATAAGCAGAGATTTTTATCCATTGGTCGTGTTTTATATAACAAAGATCTAGTTTAATATCGTGATCTTCTATGAGAGTTGAGATTTATTGAAGAACCCATTGGCTAAAATCTATGAAAATTGAAGAGTGAAAGGGTAAAATTGAGTGAATGTGTCTACTCACTGTTACATCGGCTGATTCTGATAGTCTGTTGGCGAGTACAGCCCCCGCAGAACCACTTCCGACTACGATGAAATCGTAATGGGATCGCAACTGTGAAGGTTGGATGTCTTTGATCCTGTTTTCCCTGTCTTCGATATCCGGCCTTCCGACGAGGATGAGGAGACGCAGGACGAGGGCGAAAGCGAAGCTGGGCCCGTAGGACAGCGCTATGCGAGCAATCGACAAGAACCTGAGCACTTTCAGAACCATAATGTCCCACCGACGTCAGCCGTTTGATTCTTTTATAAAACATTTCCTCGTATTTCACAATCCCACGAGACCGAGAATTGTTTTCGATTCCGCCGGTACTAACCGATCACCTGTGCACAAGAAAAAATAGCACGTCCAACGAACTCGTTACACAACCGACACCGACGACTGTAAACATTTGTCGTACAAACCGTGAAATTATGAATCATCGGGTTTTTTTTCTGTAAACAAAACACTAAATAGCAATTACTGAACAACTCTTCGTTGTTTTCCATGCATCCCTCATCATTCAATTCAAAAATAAAATAGGGCTTACAGCCAGGTGGCATTAAGGGCAACTACCTAGTCGGTGGTAAAATTTCTGTTTGAAACACTTTGGGTGGAACACCAGGGCCCTGTCAGACATGAACATAACAACAAAATAACCAGGGCAGGGCAACGAAGAGGACGTTAACTGCCCATGGGAAGTTCGAAGAGGACACCTATAAACCCTGAACCCTTTTGCCGCATACGAAACTACCAAAAACGAAGATCCATCAGAAAATGAAATAAGTTCTCCGTTCAAAGTGTAACCCAGGAGAAAAAATCCTTGTTCATCAAAGGACCATATCATAACTACTAAATACTAGGACTAGAATGATAGTTGAACTGCTGACTCCGGATGGGTCACATGGGTAGATTCGGAGCAGCAGAAACAAGCCTGATATTGCCGTAAGAATACAAGTCCTCTGTTTGTGCAAAGGCCTATGCAAGCAGAGATTCTTATTTTTGCGTCCTCTATTTCGCGTTCCCTGGCAGTGCACACGTGCGGGGTTAGAGATAGGTCAGTTTAGATTAGGCTAAATAGTTTTTAGGGTTAGGGGCGGATTAATGCAATAAAGTTCATCAAAGGATCATCTAGAAACTAACTGCAGAACTACTAAACCTAGGATGTGTTAGGACTAGAATGATAGTTGGACTGCTAACTCTGGAGGATTATGAATAGACTCGGATAGAACAGATAGAATGGATAGAACCGGAAACACGCCTGATATTGCCACAAAGAACAAGAAACAGTGGAACATGCCCTCTGTTGGTGTGAAAGCCTATGAAGGCTGAGATTTCTACTCCTGGGAGAGGAAAATCACAGACTTGAAGGAGCTCTTTAAAAAGCTTTGGGATCTGTTAAAAAGACGTAAGCTTAATGAGCAACTCTGGATAATAATGTAGATTGCACAATAAACCAATACTGGTCGCAGAGTGTAAGTCGTAAAAAGGCCGACTCCTATTTAACCATTAACATTGAACTTCATTATGATTTGAAGATCCTTGACCTCCAACCACCTAGGATAGCAAAAACACCTGGATGATAATTTGGCCTATCGCACATACTCAGTTTGCTATGGCAAAGCCTATTCACAGATGTTTATGATACCCAAGATATCAAGTACACTGTGGCAATCCTCTATCTACATTTTACGAACGACTTCCCAACGAATATAGCAGCCAAAAAAAAAAAAAAAAAACGAAGTCTGTTTTGTGCTATGGGACTATGCTCACAGGATTGGATCAGTTGAGGTCATTGTGGATAATAAGGTTAGTGATGCAGTAAGGAGCTTTGACATTTTTTTCTGAGGGCTTATGGTTAGAAGGACTGGATGAGCTGGATGTTAAATAGCTTGGCAGAACCCAACAGTTTCATTCTGTATGTCCAAGATGGTCGCAGTAATGTCTTGTATACATGTAATTGAGTTTTGGTGGCCAAAACCGATTTCGGTCCTAGAAGTCAACATCAGTGAGTAGCGAAAACTAAAGAAGTTAACTAACAAACAAGTTACAAATGGAGATCCAGCTACTTGTTGAAAACTGTCCATGTTATTTATTCCTTATCTTGGCCTACATGCACACACTGTGTATAGTCACCATGTCGCTAAGATTAGCCTAGTAGTCGTCCAATCTGGCAGCATATGGAATACCTCTGGGGTAGAGTGAATGCTAACCAGAATATTATGTTTCATTTATTATGTTGTGTGTGTGTGTGTGTGTGTGTGTTATTTATGTTATTTTATCCTCAATTGGTGAGGCTCCAAGGTACAGATAGGCTAGCAATAGGATAAACAAAAGAAAGAGTCTTTATATAACTGTATAAAGATACCCCATTATATTTCGTGGTCCGATTGAGCAAATAACTTCTTTCAATTAATTAATCTTTATGTAAGGTATTGGTTGAAATGAAAATTATAAAGATAAATTGCAATTATCAAATTTTGGAGGAAAGCTTCAATATCTCTGGAATGAATCGATGAATTTTTGTGTTTTGTTTAATTTTTTTACAATACAAAGAACTTTCCAAATGTGTGAAAACATAGGATGTTACATTTTGAAAAAAATCAACCAGGTCGGCTTAACATGCCAATTATCAAAATTCTAATAGCACCAGCAGATTCTGCATGATAAATTACCTTTGGAACCATACTTATATAATAAAATGTGCACCATCAAAATAAAAGGCCACGTCTTTTATAAAAACTCACATGGTACATTACTGACCCAGAGTGGAAATTTTAAACAAATTATAAAAACTAGTCATTTTGATTATCATTGTGGCTCTTTTATTGAAGGAAAAACACTACTAATAATAAAAGAAATAATTTTAACATTCTTTTTAGGTGGATGTTGGGGTTCAACAAAGAAAAAAACAATAGTCGGAGGATGGGCATGGGCCTGGTGGCTTGTAACAGATGTACAATACATTTCACTGGAGGTAAGTTTTTATATATATATTTTTAATTTAACCATTATTTTTACACGTATATTTTGTTTTAATCCAACTTAAGTAATTTAAAAATTTAAACGTAGGGATTGGTACAAATTAAGCAAGGATGTTGCTTGATTGTCCCTGGTCATCCAGGTCTGCCTATTCTGTTTCTATCAGATTCGTTTGACCCATCCACACTGGTTTGTCTTTAAAAATTGGCAGGTTGCAGGCTAAAATATAGTCAGGATGGTTAGAGTTGATCAAACCAACATTATGTACTTGTATTAAAACAATCAGGGATAAGGTGAATTGAATGAAAAGAAAAACGTTCCTTTGCCAATCTTTTGAGGAATGTATCTTTGAAACTATCATTAATATTTGTAACAACATTTGCTAAGCTTTGTGACAGAATAGATATGGTCTGTGAAATACAATTAAGTTTAATAATATTGCTACATTTTATTGTCTGACACTGTCACTAAATCCTTTATCCTCATTATTATTATTTTTAAGTATTGTCAGCTTTAAAAATTTATACATTTTCTCATGAATAAACATTAACATCACCATAGTTCTGTATTTCATCAATCCTAGCGTATGTGATTTGATCCTTACTTGGCCTATCAGACAAGTTTCAGCATTTTGCCATCTTGTGAAAATAGGTAATTATCAAATTTAGGATTGAAAAAATTGAAAATGAAAAACCTTACATGAATATTCATTTTTTATTGGTGTTTAAGTGATTTCCTGGTTATTTTGTATACTTTGGACACAAATAATATCAGATTTCATCATTGATATTATTTTTTTTTAATTCTGTTCAGGTCATGACCTTAAATCCTGTGTGCGAGATGGTTGAAACGTCTCAAGGTGTTCCACTGACAGTAACAGGAGTAGCACAGTGTAAGGTGATGAAAGCTGACGAACTGCTCCAGACAGCTTCGGAGCAGTTCCTTGGTAAAAGTGTCAAAGAAATCAAATCAACTATTTTACAAACATTGGAAGGCCACTTAAGAGCGATCCTTGGTAAAAACGTTGACTTTGTTATACAACAAGTAAATTATAACCGGATCATTTATTTTTAGGTACTCTTACAGTTGAAGAAGTTTACAAAGATAGAGATCAGTTTGCAGCTTTAGTTAGAGAAGTTGCTGCTCCAGATGTCGGACGTATGGGGATTGAAATCCTTTCCTTTACAATTAAAGATGTTTATGACGATGTCCAATATTTATCATCGCTCGGAAAATCACAAACTGCTGCAGTGAAAAGAGATGCTGATATCGGAGTGGCTCAAGCAAATAGAGATGCTGGAATAAGAGTAACATTTTTATTCATTTTGTATGCACTTTTTTTACATATTTTATTTTTTTAACCATTTTGATCTCATAGGAAGCAGAATGTGAAAAAGCTGCTATGGACATTAAATTCAACACTGATACAAAAATAGAAGATAATGCAAGGATGTATAAGCTACAAAAAGCAAACTTTGATAAAGAAATCAACACAGTTGTGAGTGTTTTACTTTTTTTAAATTAATAATTTTACATTGTTTTTATGTATTTTGCTTGTTTAAGTTAAAATAAAACTTTTAAAAATGTTTTATTTATTGAAATTGTTCAGAAAGCTGAAGCCCAGTTGGCTTATGAATTGCAAGCTGCCAAAATTCGACAAAAAATTCGTAATGAGGAAATTCAGATTGATGTGGTCGAAAGAAGAAAACAGATTGAAGTTGAAGACCAAGAGGTGGTTAGAAAAGAATTAGAATTAAATGCGACAGTAAGGTTACCTGCAGAGGCCGAGAGCTACAGAGTTCAAACAATAGCGGAAGGGAAAAGGTAAAGTCTATTTATATAAAAAATTGTTGACCGGTGTTTTTTTCAAAAATGTCAATTGCAGAACTCAGGCTGTTGAAATAGCCAAAGCAGAAGGTGAAAAAATTAAAAAAATTGGCATTGCAGAAGCCCAGGTGATTGAGTGTATCGGGAAAGCAGATGCAGACAGAATGAAAATGAAAGCAATCGTTTATAAAGATTATGGCGATGCTGCTATAATGTCTCTTGTTCTAGATGCTTTACCAAAGGTAAATCAATAAATATATCCCAAATCCTATTGCTTAATCCTGAATTCTAAACTGTTTCAGATCGCTGCTGAAGTTAGTGCGCCGCTTGCGAAAACTGAAGAAATCGTAATGCTTGGAGGGAGTGATCATTTAACTGGTGAAGTTACACGTTTGGTTGGCCAGATACCTCCTGCTGTCAACGCTCTCACTGGAGTTGATATATCTAAAGTAACTCTAAAATTTAATGATTTTTTTTCTTTAATTAAACCGATTATGTTTTCTGTTTCAGATTATAAACAAAGTAACTTGCAGTAACTAATTGTACTACTGACAACACAAGGTTATTTTCTATAATCAATTATTTATACAATTATAATTCTTTCAGAGGACTTTTTCACTAAAATGTACTGTCTTTGTGTCCCATAATGTAAATTATTGTAGGCTGCAATTTGCAGTCTTAAGGTTGCTTCAAATTTAAAAAGTTTGTTGTGTTGGACATGTGTGTGTTGTTTTAACATTGTAGCAATTGTCTTTTGTAATAAGTTCAACAAATAAAAAAATTGTGCCATTTTGTGACCTTATTATCTCATAAAAACAATAAAAGTAAGCTTTGCTAAATGTATAATGTTTATTTATTCCTTTTACCAACCAATTTTATCTAACACTTGTAATTTGATCCATAGCGTAGACTTAAAATTGCCCATTGCACCTCTTCACCTTTAGCTAAGCTCTGATTAGCCAGGTCTACCTATACTCAGAATTGTTTGTGTTTTAGCATTTATCATCTTCAGTATTGGCAATATTCATTAAAGGAACAATAATTAAAAATTCAGATTAAAAGGTCTTATTTTCTCAAGGAGAAACATACCATCGGCACTCTCATTGTACTCATTATAATTACAATAACACATCTACACAGAAAACAAGCACTTTGAGCCCTGAAGATGATATCAATAAAGATCGAAACGTTGGCACGATAAAGAAAATGTTTTTCTAAAGCCTATGGCACGCCAGACCGCATCTCACAATCTCCAAATAATACTTATCAATCTTCTAACAAATAATTAGGCAAAAACACAGACCAACCATTTGATTACTTATTACTGATTTATATAAGCTCGACCTATGCACGTGTACAGAGCTGAAACCTATCACTTTTCGCAGTCCACCAGCTCTGGTTCCAGCTTTGGTAATTTACAATAAAATGCTGGCAGGCTTCAAGAATCACCCACCTCGGGCAGTCTTCTGAGTCTTATCCATCCAGCTGCTGAGGTTGGACTCCAAGATCAACAGCTAGGTTATTTCAGACCCTAACGCAATCTCTCATTCTGTCTTAAATATATTATTTCTTATTTAGATACCATTCACTCAGTTAAGGTGGTGGAGTACTCGATATCATACCTATTTATAACTAATTGGGCCATCGGCTCTCTCACACTACACATTCACACCAATAAATACATTCATTCTCAAGATACACCAGGGGACACAAAATTATCTATGCTATATACAATAAAACGCCCCATTTTCTCCAAGAATTGGAACAGGGGACCCAAATACACAAGGTTGGGTTTATCAGGTGGTTTACGGTCAACTTTTCAAACAATATGTAAGGTCTCACCTGGAATATGTTTCATTAGTATGGTATCTGAGTGAAGTGTCTGAAGCTTGGAGATTAGAAGCAGCACAGAACCGGGCTGTCAACTATTTTTACATAGTCAGGTGCCAGTAGTGATTGGCAAAATAAGACCTCCTACGAAGAAAGACAACTTCTTGTTGGGCTGCAGTCACTCCAGATAAGTCCTATATACCCTAACCTGTGAATGGAAAATTTTGAATAATGCTACATCTTCCCCTGAATTATTATCGACTAAATATGCCACAAAGGAACCTAAGGCACACTGAGCTCTTTCACGTTTACCACCATCGGGCACTTTATGACGACCATATTATCAAGTCGACTACATTTCCTTTTTTAATACTAAGTCTTCGATGAATGACATGTTTTCTGTCTCTGGACACTTTCAGGTAAAATGCTAGAACTCCAGTTAAATAATAAATATTAACTAATAGTACATACATAAATATTTGGTGATGTATTTTATTTATATGTATGACTGACTGCTCTATAATGGGATGCGGTCTTTGACCCAAAAGTAAAAGTGTCTGTTGGTCAACCTTGCAGCCACAGGATTCATCCTCGCTTGATTAAGAACAGACAAGGAGGCAGTTCGTTGGCTCCATGTAGAGAGCATATAGAAATGCTATCCAATATGAACTGAGCTTTATGAGCAGGGCGGCAAGTTTTTTTTAAATTTATTTATTTATACATTATAGCCCAAATGATATCCCATTATAAGAAATGAGATATGAAATATGAGAATCGTATTTGAGCTTGGCAGTGAGTATTTGGGTTCTCTGTTCCGATTTTTGGTGAAAACTTTTTTTTATTATATATAGTACTGATATTTTTATTTCTCCTAGTGAGGTGTTGAGAGTGAATGTATTTATTAGCGTGAATATATAGTGTGAGAAGGTTGATGGAGGAATATCAAGTGCTACACCACCCTAACTGAGTAAATGACATTAAATAAGTAAGAATGGATTTAAGGGTGTGTGAGAGAGAGAGAAGAGGAGAGAGAGAGAGAGAAAAGAGGAGAGAGAGAGAGAGAGAGAGAGAGAGAAGAGGAGAGAGAGAGAGAGAAGAGGAGGGAGAGAGAGAGAAGAGGAGAGAGGGAGAGAGAGAGAGAGAAGAGGAGGGTGAGAGAGAGAGAGAGAATGGATTTAAGAACAGATTGGAGTTGGGGCTGAAATGACCTGTAGACAGCTCCTGGAGCCTGACCTTAGTGGCTGGATGGGTAAGACAAGTTCTGACCCTGGTCTGACAACACCAGAAGTGGGTGATTCTCCAGGCCTGCAGGTAATTCATTATAAATTACAATAGTTGGAATTGCCAGCGTACTACAAGAAGTAATAAATAGGCTTTATTATATACACGTATATATGTACACACGTGTGTAGAATAGAGCATATTTAAATCAATAATCGGAATTTAAAGTACTGGCATAAAAAAGTAAAAAAATTAATGTCTTAAGGGAAAACTTTAAATAAATTAAACAAAGTCCAGTGATAGCTGTTTATTTGCATATAATCAAAACAACAAATGTTGTTTTTGAAAGAAAAAAATCAAGCTATTTCTAACAACATAAATATTATATTAATTCTTTGATGAAAACAATAAAAACTGATGAAAGCAATCAGGGATGACATCACTACACAACTAATAGGATATATAATTTTCTATCTAGGATAAAATATTACATTAAAAGAAACATTGTAATTTACAACTAGAATTGAGCCGACATCACTTTATGATTTAAATACCATACAAATAACACAACAGTTTACAACAAAGTGTGAATTGTTTATAAAAATAAAGTATCAAATTTTACATAGCATTCAATTATGGTCAAAAGGTAAAGGCACAATTTATTTAATGTATAATTCATAATAAAAAATACTTGGCAACAACATCTGAAAAAAAAACGTGGTTAATATAAAAATAATGAAATTAGGAACTGATAATCTTAAAGATTTTCTCTGAAGTAGTAATTATTTGTGGTACAATTACAAAAAATGTTGGTGCCAAATTTTTTTACAAAATATATTATTATTTACATCACAAAGAACGATAACGACACAATATTGACATGTTTAAATTTATTACTAAATGTTCACAGATACATTCAGTACATAAAAAATTTAAAAAAAAAAGAAAAAAGCACCAGTCATGTATTGTATATTTATCTTTCACATTTTTTAAGTATCTTGTAGTTAACACGCATTAGTACAAACAGGAAAAAAAATTAAATTTAAAAACCTTAACCCAAATTAACTCCCTTTATTAATTAATCAATTTGTGTTACATATAATAAAGCCATGGAAAAGAAGCAGAAAATATTTTAGTATTTAAATGACAAACTCAATGATTAATATAAAAAAAAATTGCACACGAGTAAATGGAAGGCATTTTAATACTAAATGGCTATTTGTTTAATTACAAATACCTGACACATTTTCAGCCCAATAACGACTAAATTCCTTCACAGCTCGTCTTAATTTAAAACTTTAATAAATAATTGACTCAAAGGCAAAACATTACATTTTCATATGCTTAACAAATATAAATTAGACAATAAATATTGCGATATTAGACAATTAAGGCAAATTTTTTAGTCTTAATGGACAAAACTATGAATTGTTTTATTACCATATTAATCCAATTAAGTTTATTTGCAGTACGTATACTTGAAATGAACACAAATATTAAGTATATATCATGACCATGTAAATATAGTAACAAATTTAAGCAATTGAAACGGACACCAAACAAAAAAATGATGAAAAATATAATTATAAATATTTAAAAAAATCATAAATCACATCAGTTATAAGATAATAACGGTAATTACTGTCATATTAACTGCTATACTATTAATGTTTTAAATATGGAATTAAATGATAATATTTTTTTAATGCTTGTAATCTATAAATTTTATGTTACTTGACGGTTTGATGGAACAAATGACAAAGAATAAACACTAATTTATTTATTAATATTAATAAATTATATCTTATAACAAACTTTGGTTAAAAAATATTTGTTAATAATTGAATCCACACAAGTCCATTTATAAGCAATTTCTAAGAGTAAAACAACATTTTATGTGTCATAGTGTATATTTATTTATTTTTATAATTATAAAATCAAAATTTTATAATCTATAGGGAAAAATAATCTTTGTATTTATTCAAATTTAATTAATATTCTCTCTTTCGAATTTATACCATAATACTTCATGGATTCAAACATTAACTGATATGTCGTAAGATGAAAGATTATTTGCTTGTTAAAGGAGTTCAGATCTCCTGAGACTAGTATTATAAATTTTCCTTTAAAAACTAACAACGTATGTAATCGCACATCTTGTTGTATAAATAAGTATCATTTAATATATAATATGATTTGTATTTCCATGTCAAAAATATACAAAATAATCTGAGTGTGTTTCGGAAGTTACAATAAACAAAAGGAAAGAAAAAAAAATAGGAGGTGTAAAGATTATATAAAAAATAACAAGGTGCTGAAACCAACGATGAACATTCAACCTTACAATAGTAATAAAAAAATATTTGTCATAATAAATTCTACTAATTTTAAAATTTAAAATTTGAACTTTATTTCAATTCAAATAATTGATCATGAGTTGATTTTTGGTTATAGAATTAACACATTGACTGCGGCTGCATGGCCAGTTTTGTTACCAATGCGAAACCAAATTTATAATGTAAAAAAGTTCTCTGGTACTTAAAAATAATGTAAATAATTTTTTTTTAATTTCTGTTACATTTATATAAGTGATATACAATAGGTGTGTCCCCCGTAGTGCTAAATGAAGTAGGCAACCCGCAGAACATTCAATTTGGGAGGTTGATAAAGGACGTTTCAGTTTTTTGCAATTTTTCCTATATTATACATAATCATATAAAATGGATCAATGATTAATTAAAATATGGAATGTGGAATATCGAGTGCCCACAGACCTGTCGAAACAATTAGATTAGCTTAGGATAGTGAATGCAAGATTTTTACTGTTTGTGAATGTATTTATTACCATGAACATCATTTTTTGGCTAATATGATTAACGTAAGGCCATAAGTTAGCTTTCCTTAAAGGAAAGTTATATAAAAAAAAAAAAAAAAAACATCATTTTAGTGCAGTTGTAGGGGAGGGGGGTCTCAGCAGTAGACCGAGAACTCTTGAGACCCATCAAACTCAGGATAGTTAATCTTTTAAATAGAACGAATGTCATTTTTATTGAGTAAGGATATTTTAATCACATGTGAAAGGATTAAACAATAAAGATAAAGTCAATAAAACAAATTTGAGATAGACAAATGTGAGGAACTGACAATAACCCCACTGCTAGCTGGCTGGAATTTTTTTTTTTTAAATAACCAAACATTACACAGATACGCGTAAATAATAGAAAAATCACTCCAGTTGGAAGACGGAAAAAAATAAAACGACAGTAGCCAGTGACACTTTTGCCTTTTCTGGCGTGGCGATAGGAATTTTGAAAATAATTGTGTAACAGGTGAATTGGAGGGAGAAATTAAAAAGTATAATCAGGAGATCACAGAAGGACAGTATGACGCACATGTTGCGTCTTCCGCAGTCAATGTGTTAAAATGTTTTGGCATAGGGCATCTAAGTGTCTTAAGTTTGTAGACAATCACTACAAATTTAACTTAGTCAACTTAGTTTGCCACCTAACCTCACTGTTTTGGTATATCAGGCGTGTTTCGGCAACTCACCATCTTCAATGGTGGCTGTGAAACATGTTTGACAGATTCACCTTTGAAAATGGCAACCAAAATAGACAGGTTTATATTTTTCTCAGTTGAAATAGGTAGCTTGATTTTTATGAAGAATGAATAAATATATTTCATAGAGCCCCTGTCAAAAGCAAAATAATTACCAAAATTAAAATCAAAATTCATCCAAAAAATTGTCTTCAGAAAAAAATGGTATAAATGACTGGGTCACTTACCCTAATTATTAGTTAAAGACATGTATTTTCAGTCATAAAATTTTTGAGCTCAAGAAATTTAAATTTTGGTACAATAAATAAAATAATTTTAACAAGTTAGGCATTCATATTTTTTTAAAATGTGTTGTCAGTGAACTATCAAACAATTAAATAAACAATTTACTAAAACAATGGGGATAATGATAACAAAAGTAACACCCAAAAACTCAAAGGAAAAAAAATCAAAACAAAATTGCACTCATCTAAGATTTCTAACTACTTAGAAAGATAATTAAAGCATGTCAAATATAAAGTTTATGCAATGGGTTTTGTCCCAGAATAAATATTTCAATATTTAACATTTCACAGTTTAACAGTTGCATTTATCTTTAACTATGTGCTAAAAGAAATAAATTTAATTTTTATTTTAACAGTGAAGGCATTTTTGAGCTAATATTCGTAACAATTTTATCACAATGCAGACAATGAGTGCTATAATTTATATATCTATTTAACTTTAGTCACTTTCGGGTATGCCCAATTTAAAAAACAAATTCTAAGCTATGATCATTGTGCAAACCATCTCAACTTATAAATCTGTGGATTTTAATGTCATGTATATTGTCAAAATTAATTTATTGTTTAGAATATATAGTTATATTAGGATCAGTTTAAAGCACATAAGAATGTTAACTGTAATTGTAATATTAAAACTACTAACTGTAATATTAAAATGCAATACTCTAAAAATATCCAAAAATAAATCTGAGTTCACAAATAATTACATGTTAATTAGGTTTCTTAACAATTAACATAAGCTGTGTAATAATATGTTAATTATTCTAGTCAGTACGTTTTTCTCAATTCATAAAAAAATATTTATTTCAGGTTGAATAAAAGACATTTTTAACATTAAAAACTTTCTTATAGACAGGTTTTCTTTTACATTATTAAGTTAAGTGGTTTTACCTCCTTTCTCAAATTGCATTTATTTCCAAATGTAATTACTTGAACAAAGAAGCTACCCGAGTTTTTTTTATTAATTTTAATCAAATGAAATGATGAATGAAACTGGGAATTCACTATTAAAAAATTGTATACAGTGGAGCCCCACTTGTACACCTGTTTAAATTAACTGAACTACTACAGTAGAAAAAAGTTGCACAGTGTAACACTTGGTCAAGGAGTGCCAGGCCTTGGTCCCTTATAGGGACCGAGTAGGCATTTGTATGTATTAATTATTTGTTGTCTGTATATATGTAGTTATTTATTTATTTTTAAATGAAGGTATTTCAACTACAAAGGTTTTACAAACCCTCGGGGTCCCGGCGTTTTTGAAAAAAAGCCCATTTGTAAGTATGTTGGGTTCAACTGCGGGGCGGCTGAATTTGAATTCAGGTCTTTTACCTTACAGTGATGAGCGCCTAAACCATTGTGGCCACCGACACCCTCTGAATAAGTGCAGTATTGTTTGTGGTTGTGACTTGTGTGAATGAGTGAGAGGCTGAAATGATGCCACTGTTGGTGACGCAGAAACAGTCTAATTTATTTAGGATTGGATGTACAGAAAATTTGACATTTTGGAAACAAGGGTTTGGTCATTTCTGATCATTTGGTCTACCCATCCCCTCAATTTCTTTCTGTCAGATGCCTTTCACCTTCTCACAGATTTTTTAATAATTTAAGATGGGGCACAAGCTAAAACACATCTGATGGACCAAAATGTTCAAAAATCTACCAATTTAAGGATGAAAGTGTAACGATTTGTGCAGTGTCATTTAGAATGGACAAGACCAAAATAACTGACCATTAGTGCCATTTAAATAACAGTGTTCAGATAAATGAGACTTCACTGTATTTTCACCAGAAAACAAAGTTTTTGTTCCAATGATACTGGCAATTAGTAAGGTTATCCAGGTAAGTAGACTTAAGAAATAAATGCATTTGTTCTGACAACTATTTCCACAAGGAAAACTTTAAAATTATTAATTAAATTATTCTCTAGCCAATCATCAATGTGCTTCTTATAACAAGTAATTTTCAGTTGTTCGTACAGACAAATTCTTAATGCGCCCTGAAATAAATTTTCAAACAAATAATAATAGAAACAAAAACATGAAGATCAATCATTTCCCGTCTATTTTTGCAGAGTGTAGCAGGTACTACTATTCGGCTATTTAAAATATCTTCTAGTTTACCTTTTTCATACTTCATCTGGGCCAAGATCACTGGGGAAGGTTAGATTGCTTTTGGTAACTGTATCAAGTGCGTTATCAAGTTCATCGGTTTTGTTGTCATCTTTTTGTTCACTTAAGGTGTCTTCTAGTGATCGAATCCTTTTCTCATGTTTCACTATCATCGCTTTCAATTTACGTATTTCCTCTTTAAACTCCTTAACTATATCAGCCTTAAATAGACACAAAAACAAAATCAATTAAAGAAAACATTTACCAACAAAAATTATTTTGTAGTAAATTATTAGGCCACTGGTACAATATGAGTATCAGAGGGGCAGAGTGACAGAGTAGCAAGCGGCACCGGCCACAATCAGAGCATCGGCTGGGTAGTAATCTACATCAGTTGCCACCATGTCGTCCACTGACTAACCAAACCCCTCCATTTTGAGTGAACAATTTTATTTAATAAGCAAGATTTTTTTTCCTCCAAACCTCAGAGATGGAGAGACTTTAGCTAAATATTTTTCTAATGACTACCATAGTACTGCCTAAGTTTTATTGTAATTTATATACATAATACAAAATATCGTAGAACATAGAAGAAGGGTCATTCTTACCAGATTAAGAATAGGCCATGTGAGGTTAACACAAGGACGCTTACTTTTGGGCCAAAGCCCACATTTGTGACCGGCATGTAGAGAAAGGTTGCTCGATGTGTCTTACCCAATGTGAGAATTGTGCTTGAGTATGGTAGCAAGTATCTGGGGACCCTGTCCTGATTCTTGGATTAAACATACTTAATTGTTTTATTCTATATAGTAATGATAATTTCATGCCCCTAAAGTGTGTTGAGAGTGAATTATTTATAAGTGTGATGTGTGGTGTGTGGGGGCCAATGGCAGAATATTGAGTACCCCATCGACCCTCAATTAGGTTAGTTATATTTGTAAAGGGTGATGGAGGAATATTGAGTACTCTACCACCCAAGTGAATGGTATATAGAAATGAATGTATTTACGAACAGGAGAGTGTGAATAGGTTTTGATTTGGAGGCTGATTGCGTCAGGGGCTGAGATGACCTGACAGTTAATAACCCTTGGAACCTAACCTCACCGCCTGGATGGATAAGACCGAGGTCTGACCCCAGAATGCCAACTCCCGTGTAACTTGGTGATGCTCAAGACCTGCCAGTAATTTATTGTAATTCACAAACACTGGGATTGCCAGTGGTCTATGAAAAGTAATAGGTTCAACTCAGTACATATGAGTAATACGTGCAGATTTTAACTGATATAAATCTGTAATCAGTTGTATACATAATATAGTTTTTTTTTTAAATCACACTTTCACCACACTACTGCACCAGCAATAAATCATATGGCTTGACACATTTGAGATGTCTGGCTAGGTGGTCAACATCTACCAGGTGGACTGCTGCTTGTTGACATTTTTTTTAATGGTGGGCTAAAGTGGCTTTGTCGATAGCTTCCTATACTCTTTTTTCCATTTTAAGGTGACAGTGGAAGTCTTCATTTTTTAAGTACCAGTATTTTGAAATCTTTTTATTATTTAGCGGTAGGTCTTGTTGGCACATCCCCAGAGCTGGATCCCATACCTCCAGTCTTAAAGACCAAGAAGCAAAAGCTTACTTTCAACAGGCAAAGGAGAGCTTCTGCCCATTAACTATCGGGTTGTCCGGAAAATAATGCAGGATTTTAAGTTTTCATTAAAAAAAATCTATATAAAATATTCTGTTTACGTTTACAGGATTACTCATTTGTATGAATGTCAACACTTATTAATCCTCTTCCAAATGATATTGTTTGTTTACCTCTGTAGCATTCCGCTACTTGGAAATAATTCAGTCATCCTTATAATGTCAAAGCGAGAATTTCGTACGATTTTCTTTTACGAGTTTAAACTCGGCCGAAGCGGAGCCCAAACGGCTAGAAACATTAACCAAGTCTGGGGCGAGGGTTGTGTTAATGAGTGCACTGTGCAAAGGTGGTTTAAAAAATTTCGGGAGGGAGATTTCAGCCTTGAAGATGAAGAAGGTCGTGGAAGGCCTTCCTCTCTTAATGATGATGTTCTGCGATCAGTGGTGGAAGAAAACCCCAAAACAACTGTTCGAGAACTTGCAGAGCAACTCAAAGTCAGTAAAACGACCGTCGCTGACCACCTCAAGGCGATTGGAAAAGTGAAAAAACTCGAAAATTGGGTTCCACACTCATTAAACGATCGCCAAAAAAATCAGCGCTTTGATGTTTGTGCATCACTTCTTTGTCGAAACAAAAATGACCCATTTCTGGCCAGAATTGTTACATGTGACGAAAAGTGGATTCTCTACGATAACACTAGACGTTCTGGACAGTGGCTCGACAAAGGAGAAGCTCCAATACATTTTCCAAAGCCCCCAACTCATCAAAAAAAGGTAATGGTTACGGTATGGTGGGCTTCATTTGGTTTAATACACTACAGCTTCTTAAATCCTGGCGAAACCATCAATGCTGAATCATACTGTAACCAAATTAATACCATGCATCAGAAATTGGCAGTAATGAAGCCCTCTTTGGTCAATCGGAAAGGGCCCATTTTGTTGCATGACAACGCTCGACCACATGTGTCACGTGTAACGTCACAAAAATTATTGGAGCTTGGCTATGAAACTTTGCCTCACCCACCCTACTCTCCGGACCTCTCGCCTACTGACTACCATTTTTTTAGACACCTGGACCACTACTTACAACACATAATATTCAAAAATCAAACGGAACTGGAAAATGCATTTATTGACTTTATCAATTCTAAAAATTCTGAATTCTACTCAGACGGAATTAATAAGTTACCAACACGTTGGGAGAAATGTATTGAGAGTATGGGAAATTATTTTGATTAAAGAACATTGCTTTAAAGTAACTAGTTTCTTTTTTTTTGTTTAATACCAAAATCCTGCATTATTTTCCGGACAACCCAATAGTACATTTGCTGGAATTGAACTCATCACTCTTTTTTTTATAAGCGTGCATATGTCATACCATTAAGGTAGCTTTAATTTTATGTAGCTTTTATTTATTAATTTTCTTGTTGGTGAAATCCACATGTGCCAATTTTTCTTTATTCAGCTTTATTCTCTATATCATCAGTGAACGTTGCAGTGTATTATCCTCATTTTCTGGTCGATCGTTAATGAAGGACAGTTATAGGACAGGGCCCAAAATTCTGCCTTGTATCACTCCTGAATGGATTGGCTTGAATTCCAAATAGTTCTCTTCTTGCATAATTCATTAGTATCTTTTGCACAGGTAGGATTCAATCAGTTTTGAGTAATTTGATGGGATGGAATTTCTTATTTTTATATGGGACCTTCATGCCAGACATTATCGAATGCTTGGGCTATGAAAATAGCCAAGCAAACTTTTTTTTTTCCAGTGCTTGCTCAATGACAGATGATTTGGTGGATTTGGTCAATCGTAGAGTACTGTCGGTGAAGGTTGGGTATTGTTATTATCATTTTTTTTTTTTTTCAATAATTGGCATTAGCCTTTTAAGTATTTTTTTTTCAAATAATTTGGAAAACACCGGTAGTAGAGATATTGGCCTGAATGATCTGCGCTCATGTTGTGGTTTACCTGGATTAGCGGTCATGATGACCTCAGCGATCTATGTTTGAGGCAATTTTTAAGCCTGAAGGCTGCATTGATGATCCTCGTCATCTGGACCACTGCCTTCTGGGCAACTCTTTGAGAATCAGACCAGTAATTAGGTTGTAACCAGGCACTTTTTGGGGTTGATTTCATAATTTTTTTCTAGATTCGTTTTACTTTTTAGTGGAACTCCATCATCACAGGTTGAATTCAATGAAGCCTTTAGTTCCAACTGATTTAAATTTTTTTTTAAATTGATTTCAGTCTTACATTAATAGTTTTTTTAAAATTTATTAGATATGTATAAACAAGAGTAGATAAGTTTATTTAGAGTAGCACCATTTGTTTAATAATTTGCGAAATGACAAAACTTGGTGTTTTGCATATATGAGAATGTCCATACAAACATTTGATTAAATATTCCAGAAATCATTTATTGAGTTTACAACTTCTTCTGTTTTTTGTTTTTTTTTTCGTTTTTTTTAATAATACTATTTTTGAGGTCATTATGCCTGTCATTCCACAGGCATGTTCTCTTTTCTGCTATTTCTAAGAGTTTTGAGATGACTGTTCACACAGCGGCAAGCGGAAATTAATGCCTAGGTAGCAGTGAACTTTGAAGAGAAAGAAGCAACTTGTTTCGCCCTGCCACCTTCCATTTGCACTACACTCAATAACATAAACTTAAATGTTACCGCTCTGAAGCTTGCCTCTTGTACCATACCCGTGACCTTATTGTTACTAGTAAAAACAACTTACTGATAAAGACTCCTCAACTTTTTGATTTGTTTTGGCACCCTTCTTGTCCAAAATATTTGTCTTTTTCAACAAACGGACTTCTGCTTTGGGCTGATTCGAAGGGGCATCTTTCATCGATACTAGAAGTGGTTCGGCATCCTTTCCTCCAAACCATTCATCTGCAGTAAGTGCAGGATTATCGCTGAGAGTATCCGGATACAAATCCTCTTGAAAAAGTTCACTCTGAAAAGAAAAAACATTGTACTCATCTTTAAAACCCAGCAACGCTAGAAATACTCTGCTTATACATTGACTGAGCATTTAGGCCAATACAGGCATTTAGCAAGATACAATTTTATATTCATAACAACGAGACAAGTTAAAAGCATTTTGGATAGGTTCCTGTAAATTTAAAGTTAACATGCTCAAGTCAAATTAACCAGAAAAAAGAATAAAAAATACCTTTAGAAGCAGAAACGTATAATTGAGGTCAGCGATAAAAGCTACCAGATAGCACTGGTTGAGAAACGAAGTTAATTGTAAAATTGTTAGTAGGAATTTTGGCACTCCAATAGAATTTGACAATCATTATTCTCATACACATATCTCCATGTGTTGTCCTCAACAGTCGATGAAGAAAACACCCTTGCAAAAAATGGGATCTTAGTAGGAATGAAGGAAAGATAAGCAATTGTAGTAGGAAATTATACTGCAATTTCCAAAGGAAGATTAATTAGGCAGATTAATAAATGAAACTAAAGTACATGCTATTTTAATAAAAGAAAAGTGTTAGAAGTGCAATGAAAAATTATAGGGCAGAATATTTACAAATTATCAATTTCTTATGATAGGATTTCACTTGAAAATATGTCTTAACAGTTGGTAGAAATGTACATACATTTTTTTCGGAATGCAAATTTATCCTGATAATTGGAAGTCTAAATAGTTTCTGGACATTAATATTAATTACCTCTCATAAAACACACTCATAAAAATTAATAAATATTTATATAGATTTATTACTACTAATCTTCACAGTTTTGTCACGAGAAACTTAATAATCAACTAAATATAATTTATCTGCCTACAAAAAAAAACACCATTTAGAAATACAGTGATATCTAACAAAACCCTGATATACCTTACCCTAACTAGATATACAATATAATCAGGTAATGCATCGTATGTATACATTTCAATTACTGTAATGTGAGTAATATTCCTGGTATGAACAATTTTAAATATTATTCAGTTAATGGATGCAGTGTAAGGAATGGAATCTAGACATATTGAAATGCTAAATTCATAGTTATTGCATAAACTTAGCTTTTAATCATTATCATCCACTATATATTTTATTAAAATAAAGTTATCACTTCTCAATATTAAATTCACTAGTTTTTGTAGTCCGCTTGACCAATTAATATCTTTCACTTTTTCTCAACTATAAACCTTAATTAATTGAAACTTCTCAATATTGTTTAATCTTATACAAATATTATATATTTTTACCTTAGATTATCCAAGGAAATGGATAGACTACATGCAAAATTTATATGCAATAATAGTAAAAAGATTGACAGGTAATCATACAATTATACCTGGCGTTTGAATACAGTTAAGCTCTTCATTTAAAATTGTTCTACTTAATCCAATTTAATTGGATGGTTCCTGCAATAGAAATATTTTTGGGGTTTCCTACTAAAGGGTGACTAATCAAGAAAAAAGGGCCCTCTGTGACTTATTAGCATTTTTAATTATTCCTTGCACACATGGTGAAAAGGGTCTGAAGTTCATGTACACACATATATTGTGGCCTAACCTAAGTTTGGCGGGTCTCAGGGTACTGGTTATTCCTCTGAGGACTTTCCATCATTCACTCTAAGAAACACATTCACACTGATTAGAAACTTTCATACATGTACAATTAGAAATTTCAGAGCCAGCGGGATTTTATGCCTGTTCTCACCCACAATCACTCTAAAATATATATATTAAGCTAACCTAGTTTAGTGGGTCTGTGGGGGATATTACACCACAAATCCATCCATTCATTACAACATTTACACTGAAAAATGTGTTTATTTGAAATTAGACAACCCATGGGTAGAAAGCCATCAAATGCGACCATATGCATTTATTCTCTTTGAATGACCATATCCATTTATACTCTTCGAGTATCCAATCAAATTTTTGCTGTCATACTGCTCTGTTAATATCTTTGAGATGGTCAAGCCACACCTTGTTCTGTAAGTCGTCAACTGTTCTGATGTTACTGGTGTCATTTTAAAATATGTACTATATCGTTTTGTGCAAATTTAATGCTCGGTATTTGTTTGATATTCTTTCAATGAAAATTTAGTCTCCAAAACTTTCTAAGGATAAAGCCAATAAGCAGACCTTATAGAGGTAGGTTGAAATATAAGCTGAATGTTGCCTGCTCCATTAAAGTTTAAATTTTGATTTCATCAATAAAACTGCTTTAGCATAAAATAGCTTTGTCTTTTTTAATCATTTTCGGTCGCCTCACTTGCCTGTCATACACTTTTCTTCAAGTTACAGTTCAAGTTCAGTAGTTAAGTTTACAAATCTTCGATGGTGTACTTGTCAGGTGCAAATTATTTGAAACGACCAAGTTAAGGTTCATACACATACAGAGATCTTACATATTGTGGAATAAACTATAGCCACATTAAAATAGAACTCTGGAATCTTTGGTAAACAACACAACAAATACTGGAAGCAAAGACCAGGTATGAGGCAAGCCAAAATAAAAAACTTGTGAAAACAACTCAATGGGAGAAAGAGGAAATCCTACTTAACAGAAAGGAATTAAAAACAAGCATATTACAGGACAGTAGTAGATGATAAATTGAGTTTTTTTGGTTTTTTTAAACCTCATCAATTGTCAGTATTGTGCATGGTCAACAGACACTGAAACCACAACTGCTTTCTTCTACAAAGTCATATAAATCAATCTTATTATATTGGAATCCAAATGTATAGTGCCCTGCCACTGCATTTTTTTTTCTGATCCAAAATTCGAGAGGAATTTTGCCCAAAAAAATACACTACAATACATGATCTAATATACACACACTATTCAACTAAAAATGGATAAAATTGAAAATCCTAGGGAATAATAAAGAAATGTGTATAAAATTCTTTATTCAAATGGTGTAAAAATATTCACGCCTCTGCTCACAAGACAGCAGTTTAGCTGTCAAATCACCTCCTGACAACTTTAAAAATGCACTGACACAAAGGAGTTGGGCGGTTTGGAGGTGGAAGTCTTACATCCTTTAGTGGTCGAAAATCTAACTTGAGATTTTGAGAATACCTGCTATTCCTGAGCCTCTAACTGCGCATTAGGGGATAATAAGCGCAAAAATTAAAAATGCAGCCTACCTGCCATCCGCACAAGTGGATGAGGGTTAAGGGAAAATCTTCTGGCAACATTGAATTTCCAACTAGTCTAACCTAACCAATTAGTCTCATCATTTCACAGTTGGAAAAGTAAAGAAGAAAGTAAAAAGGTATTTGTTGTTACCACAAAATTAAAAGAATTTAATGTTGTATATTTCTGACCAAAAATCAGTAAGTACAAAAATGTGTGCCTTGTTCTTATATATGTTTCATGATAAATTGGCCAAAATTAAAAATATATACTATAGCCTTTTGTAGAGCCCTGAAGAACATACAGTAAAGTGCTAAAAGCTAGGCGAAGATTTAAAATTAAAAATATTGATTGGGTTTCGTGGTCCGACTTGGTAGAGCAGCAAAATTTGGTAGAGCAGTGGCATATTTAGCCAAAGGTCGTGGGTTTGAATCCCGCTCGTGGCACTGACTTTTTTATCTCGACCAATACCTTATTTAAAGATTAATTAATTGAAATTAAAAATATCTTTCTTAGACCACATCCCTTATAACAACTAAGAGAACATTAGAAGTTTTAAAAAACATGAAAAGACTTTTCAATAAATCTATTCAAAACAGCCGAATTAAGCAGGCCCAAAATTAAGCACTACTCTATTTTAAAAAAATAAACAAATAAAAAATATATAAAATTAAAAAAATTAACTTCATCTTACACATGTGGAGGATATGATGTGCAACAATTATAGCTAAGAAATTTCATAATTAAATAAGACAGTGCTAATCTAGAATAATCCATAAAAATTTAAATACAATAAAACTTAGTTATGACACTTTGATGGAGTGAAGATAAAGAGTGGAGAAAGTGCTATTACCAGAAAAAAATAAAACAGCTAAAAATGAAAAATTATTTTTTCAAATTCCACTATGTAATGCATAGAAAGAAAAGACTTTTTCACTCTTATGGAGGCTCTTTATTACCTGCCAGCCCTGTTAGCTCTATGGTGGGAAAAATTAAAAGAGATTGTAAGAAACTAATAGTTGATCCCAAAAGTCAGTCTAGAATAAACTGCTGTACAACATGAAGCAGATAAAATTCATTTTAGGCATGCTTGCTATACAAGTTCGACCTTGGCCATAGAGCAGTGGATGCCTGCCAAAATTTATGTGGAATTTTGGGTGATAACAAAGTAACTGAATGACAAAAAGTCAGTCTTGAAATTTTCTTAATGAGGGGAGACGAATCAAAGACCAGCCTTGTGGAAAGTCTAACGAGCTTAAAAGAGACAACTTTTCAGTAGTATTGAAGGATAACTATAAATTCACTCTACCAAACCTATAAGAGAGATTTTATGTAGACTGCTCATTAGAGAGAAGAAATTCAATTCATGGCTTCCACATAAATTGTCCCTCAGCAACAAGGAAAACCGCATGGCTTATTGCATTTCACACCTAAATAGGAATCAATTGGAAGGGTTTATTTTCTATTTGGTCAATGGGGTAAGAAGTCCTTTACCGTTAGGACCATTTGCAAGAAGGATGAATCGCCGCTGTAGACGTCAAGAGCAGGTTTGCACCCTCTTAAGGTCCTACTATCTGTTTGGTGGGATATTCAAGGAATAATTTATTGAAATATCATGCAACCCAACCCTTATGGCAGAGGTATGCTGTGCCCGGCTAGATTGTCTTGGGGCAGCATTAAAGGAAAAAAGTCCAGCCCTAGTGAATACCCAAAACATCGCCTCCCATAGCTGCACTTACTCAGACTAAAATCGCATAGTTAGGCTAGCAACAGTTGCCCCACTAGACCACCAGTAGGGAATTTTTGAACAAAAACATTCTGAAAATTGAACTTACAGATTTCTTCTCGTCTTTGTGATCAAACTTTTACAAAATGGGGAAATTTCTGCTACCAGAATGGTGGCTGCATTTTATAGAAAACTAAGAAATTTTTTTAGATTAAAAATAAATTTATATTTATATTTTGAGTTTTTCTTTTTTTTGTCTAAAAAACTTTAAAAACTTATGCACATACCCAATATAACACAAATTTAAAAAAAAAATTTGTAGTACGAATTAAACACACAAACAATTAAATTTACTTAAAAACATTACATATTACTTGTTAGATGAGCCCAGCTTAAAATGATTAGTTCAAGATTGTGAGATGCGGTCTGGTGTGATGTAAGTTTATAAAAACATTTCCTTTATTGTGTCAACATTTTGATCTTATTGAAGATCATCTTCAATAAAGACTAAATGTTGGCACGATAAAGAAAAATTTTTCGGAACCTACATCACACCAGACCACATCTCATGATCTCTAAATAATCATTAATTAACTGTCACTAAATACTACATACCAGCTTAAAATATTCATCTATTATTTTTTATTTAATGCAAACTATTTTCATTCCAAAATATCTATTTACAGTAAAACCTCCATTATCCAGAGTTCGATTATCCGGGAATACAATTATCCAGTCCATATGTATGTATCCGTATATGTATACTATAGGTAGTAGAGCAACAAACTTCTGATTCAAAGAATGCTGTCATTTGTCTTGTTCCTATAAAATTTCCACCAGTCTATTTGCATTGAACCCATTCATTACAACCATCATTCTGCAGACCATTTTTCAATTTGACCTTTTGGAAATTTTTGAATCAAAATGTTTTCTGATAGATGCATATTAATAAAAGTCTTCTTGATTAACCTTTTAATTAATGCATGAAAATAATAAATTCCGTTAACTAGGGTTTTCGATTTTCCATTCATCCCCCCCATCATTACTCTGAATATGTAGGTTTTACTGTAGATTGATATTTCGGAATGTTTCGTCTTCTACTTCTGTGTAAAAAAAAATGTACAAATCATCTTTAATCCATGCCAAAACAGATTATTTTCTGTTATTTTGCATGATTCTGTTTCATTTTCCCTTTCTTTTGACACATCAAACAGGGGTGCAAGGCTTAAACCTTGGATCAAAGTTCAAATCAACAAACAAGTTATCGAATTCACAGAAACATTTTGTAGGCGAGAGAAAATTGTCGAAATTGCAATTTTGTGAACACAAAATTAATTTAATGTTGACATATCATCTAATGACACTTTAAAAAATCAAAAATGTTAGAAAAATGTGTTCATTAATCCTTCTATTGGAGAATTACAACCAGGAAATAATTGTAAACAGGAGCATTATATCGAAGTTTTACTGTATATTTAATAAAAGGTAGTTCATTTTTTAAATTATATTTTATATATACTCATATTATTATTATGTTAAATAATATACTCATATTATTTAATCTTAATCAATGAAACAAAACTTTCCCAAACTTGATATTAAATTAATTAGAAAGAACAAACCAAGAATTTCTGCTTTCTTACCTAATAAATTGAGAATTACATCCTGCATCAATTTTTTTTTTTTGCTAATATATGCGTACTATTTTATGTTTATAAAAATAATGCCACATTTCCACAAATTATACTCTGCAGCCACGATTCATGCAATTAAATACTACACGTTCATGTACAATAAATAGAGAGAAAATAATTTAGAAGAGATAGCAAAGCTTTTCATGCAATAAATTTAGAAGAAGAGAATTTTGCAAGGTGTGGAATGTCAACACGATGGAAAAAAATAAATATATTATACACAGGAAGTTACGTATATTATTTCTTTTCTTTTTATCTGATAATCTATAACAATTGTTTATACACATAACTTCAATATTACACATTCAAAGACAAAAGAAACCGGACACTTGTATTTATTTATTTTCCATAAAAAATTATTTATAATTCAATGAAATGTAAACGACATTATCCACACACACACCAAAGTTGTCTAGGTTAGTTTATTTTATATGTATTTGCAGAGTGATAGGGGGAAGGTTACTGGCATAAAGTCAAAAACTCTTATGACTACCCAGATGGGTGAATGTATTTATTTGCACGAGTGGTTAAGTGTGTATGTACACGGTGTGGAATATTGAGTTCCTGTCGAACCAACTAAGGATCGTGAATGCACAATTTTTACTGTGTGTACGTGAATGTACACCTTGGATGAATGAAGGGGGGGTCAAGGTAAATATCACCTTGCCAGGTTCCTAACAGTAGGTTTAGGCTGTAAGTAATTTTAGTGTAGGTGTAGGGGGTGGGGTCTCAGCCATATATCGAGAACTCCTTAAGCTCAGGATAGATTATTGACTTAGGATATTTTAATGATGTGTAGAAGTGTTAACTATCAAAGATAGAGGTAAAAAACTAATGCCCTATAGACAAAATGTGAGGAGCCGGCAATAGCCCTAGTAGCCATCGGGGGGGGGGGGATTTAGAACTTCTTGTTTACCTTTAAACCTTTATAGTGTGTTACTCATTCTTTTACACTCTCTGGATTAAAAATAAAGAAAATCAGTTCAATTTCATCCTTTCCAGAGCCAACTTGTCAAGTGATTAATTTACTTTTTCAATGTTTTCAATGATGCAACAATAATTGACAGTAAAAAAATTATTATTGAATTTTATTTCTTAAAGATCTCACCTGGGCAAATGCTGTTTATTACATAGCCCAAATCTTGAGTGTGCCACACTTTGCCATCAAAGATGGCCTATAGTGGTTTAGGGCCACTGGAAGTCTATATTGAAGCGAAAGAAGTAACCACAATGTATGACAGCTAGAGACGATCGTTTTATTGCTTTTACCGTACTACAGAACTATCATTTAACAGCTTCCTTGATATGTAGTCAACTCCAAACTGTCCTTAACGTAAGGGTGAGCTCTAAACCAGTCATTAGAAGGCTTTGAGAGAATAGCCTACTCTCTAGACATCCGGCATAAATTTCTCTACTACTGGAGAGGCATCAAGTAGAGCTATTCATTCACAAATTAATCACTTGGACACTTGAACCATGGAGGGAGGGCTATTCTCTTTTCCGATGAGTACCAATTTGGTTTGTGGCAATTAGATGCCAGGACCATGGAGACGTGGAGAACATATTGTTTGATTATCATACAGAATGGACCTTTGACTGCACTACATTGATGAAGTTTTGGAAGATGTGGTCTCATTCGATCCATTCATGTTAATGCATGATAATGCCCGACCACATGTAGCTCCAATGTACCAAATTCTTAGATGATGTAGGAATTAGTACAATGTTTGGCCAGCACGTTCTCCTGACATGAATCCTATAGAGCACCTATGGGATATGATAAAGAGGCGGGTTAGGCATCGTTTGCCACCACCAACAAGCATTGAGCAGCTTCAAACCGCTCTTGCAGAAGAATGAAATCCTGTTTTACAAGATGAAATCCGATCAATTATTTACTCGATGCCTAGAAGACTGAAGGCCATCTGCAAGGCTAGAGGAGGTAATAAGTGTTGTTAAGAGCCAAACTAGGGAGTTCAATTTTAATCTATCAGTAAAAGATTTCCGGTGTTTTAATTAATTAAATAATTTTTGTTAACAATTGTTCATTTTTTGTCAATAATTAGTTTAAATTGTAAAAGAATAATTATGTTTTTAGGCTTATATTATTCCCTCCTTCATAATTCCCCTTTTAGTTTAGCAATAAGTCATTGTATGTAAAAAAAATATTAATTATGTATAATTATTATTTAGAACTATATTTTATTGTGTAAGTAATCATAAATCCCATTTTTAATGTTTTATTTTTATCCCATATATGTGTTTTATATATTTAAAATATCAATAATATGCAATTATTCTTAACATACTGTTAAGCTAGCTGTTAGTAAGGTTCAAGGTTCAAGGAGTTAAATATTCAATATGATAAACATGAAACGTTTTTAAAATATAAGTGGAGCTACAATCCAAACCACTATTTTTTTTCAAACTTTTTTTTAACAAAGGAAAATTGTAAAGCATAAACATGTTTATCATATATCATTAATAATTATGTCTCTCACCTTTCTTGGTACAGTCATTGATATGACTTGACATAATCCAGAATTGTTCAGACGATAAAATCTTGCAATTTCACAAGAAGTTACATCGCATCCCCTTTTAGGCATGCTTCCTATGCCTCTTTGTGGATCGGGCGTTTGAAATGTATTAATATAATGGACAAACGGCGGTTCTGCGGTAATTTCAAAATACCTAATGACACTGTCACCCTACAAAAATTAAAATTCAATAAACGATAGTGGGTTTAATAAAGGATCTATACCTTTCCACAAAGATATACTAAATTGGTGTCAGGATCATAAATCGGAAACATGACGCCATTACTGGTATCTAGTTCCATCATAACAATTGGTTCAGTGAGATGTTCAGGCGCTCGAAGTGAATACTGTCGTTCAGACATTTTGCTAAATCCTGTTGTAAAAATTAGGCCGCTTTTAAGATAAATTGCTCGTGTCGCTTTACTCCCTTCATGACAAACTGCTTCCTAAAAATTAAAAGTTATGAAATTCAAGGCAAAAAATGTAATAATCATTTTCAATACTTCTTCGACTTCTCCAGTTCTAGGATTTATAATTCGCATTTTTTTATCTTTACAAGTAGTCAACAACTGAGAACCATCCCAATTCCAACAAGCACTAAAAACAATGTCAGGATGGCAATCAATGTGAATTAGAACTTCTCCAGTTCCAACATTCCATAGCACAACCTGATTATCAGAACCTGAAGCAAACGTGATTAAATGAAAACAAGGCTCTTTCCTTTTTTTGTTTTTATTTTTACAACAGTATTTATTTTTAAATATTACAAGTAAAATTGTTAATACATAACAAAATGTGACACTATGGTGCAAGAATCACCCAGTAACACTTCTACAAGGGACAATGTATTGCTGTTCAAATGGTCGCAAGACCTGGCTTGCTGGCTATTTGGCAAATTCCACTGGCTGCTTTAATCTCCTGGGAGGATTATTGGGGATAGTATGGGCTATTTAGCTTAAAACTGGGTGTTATGAAAGGGATTTGTGGAATTTTATGTATCAGGATTTTATGACATCTTTCACAAAAGGAATTTTAAGGTCATTGGATCATCATAAGGATCGTGCTATTGGATACATAGTAGGGAGGGTTTACCATTTTTCAGAGGATTTTAGATTCAGAAATTTGGATGTGGATATAGATGGAATGCTTGATTGAACTCCACAGATCGATACCTTATGCCCATTATTGTTTTGTATAGCAATCGTTTGTTTTAAGTTGTAAAAGTGTTTTGTAATATCAAGAGAGTTCCTGTTTTTTGAATCTTGTATGTGTTTTCCATGTTAGTTTTTTGATGATAGACAGTCTGAGATAGCAGACGTGGTTAACTATAGTCATATAAGCACTTGAAATTCTATTAATACTTTTATGAATAATTAATTTATTACCAGCTGTTAAAAGAACGTTTAATGCAGTCGGATGCCAGAGGACTAAACCGACTCTCCTTTGATGGTAAACAAGATCCACTACAGGTTCAGTCAAAGTTCTGAAAAAACAATCATATTCATAACTAATATAAAAAAAAAAAATTGTTTATACTGTTACAAAATATAAAAGTTGTAATTAATCACCGAGAAATACCACCATCTGGAATTTGCCAAACTTTTACGACACAATCCTCAGAACCGGATGCAATAACGTTATCATTATGAGGACACCAAGCGATATCCAAAACAGGTCCTTTATGACCCCCGACCAAAGGGTGATCTGCTGCTATTCTGCCAACCTTTCAATTTAAAAAAAAAAAAAAAAAGTATTATATAAATAATAATTATGACAAGCTTACTTGATAAGATGTACCTTGTTGTGAGGTAAAACAACAAAAGCACCACCACCAGCTGACTCAACAATAATAGCTAAAAATTTTGGATTAACTGCGCAAAACGTTGAATCCCATGATGATTTTGAAACTCTTATATTATCGTAACATTGCTCTTTTTTCAAGGCAGTTCCATAAACGTGCCTAAATTTGCTGTTTCTAACCACACGGAAAGACATCTAAAATGTTAAACATTCAATTTAATAGAGACAATTCTAAAATATATATAAAGGGGTTAAATATTAAATCTACCTTATATTGTGCTGGCTCACTGATGGGGAGATATTAAAGAATGAAATGCAAGCGAAGTAACTGAAAACATTAGAAAAAATTAAACATGGTACAAATGTAGAAAATTAAAATACAAATTTAAAAAGCAAGAAAAGTACCCAATAAATTTAAACATTTTAATTTTGAAATTGATTTTTATATACTAGCATAAATTTATTTACAGGTTCAACTCACAGTGTTACGATTATTTAGAGATTGTGGGATGCGGTCTGGAGTGATGTAGGATTACAAAACAAAACAAAAACAAAAAAGTAATTAAAATAATTAATATGGCCAATTAGACCACTAAACATAAATGGTTTAGAAAACCATTGTTTTATCGTGCCAACATTTTGATATTTATTGAGATACCTACATCACATCAGACCGTATCTCACGATCTCTAAATTATCGTAAATTGTAAGTTGAACCTATAAATAAATTTATGCCATCACACGATCTCTAAATGATCATTAATTAACGTTACTAAATACTACACATCACAGTGTTACTTTTTTATTAGTAATAATCTTAAAATTAGCATCTGTATTTGTAGAATAGTGATCAAGAAAAATATACAATTGAAAAAATCAAACAAGAAAAGGTCCTCTGTTAATAAGGATAAGTTGAAAAATATGGTACTTTTCTTGTCTTTTTAAAAAATATATTTATTTGTTATGGTTAATTTTTATTCCCATTCATACTGGGGGGCTTTACATTCAACTTCATTTACAGGTGTTGTGGATGAGGAATCGGAAAAATTCAAGGAGAGTAATGTTGGGTATTAACCTACGACCTGGTCTAGTCTAACACAAAATGAGAGACTGGTATTAGTACCCTAACCAACTCGGCAAAACATCATCACAAATGTACACACAAAAACCAAAAACACTAAACACTTTTATTTTGTTGTTTAATTCAAACTAAGTATTCTTATCATTATATTTATTATAACATACTTTTTTAACGTAAACCAAATTAAACAAGATCAGAAATTCATAAGTTTTAATAAAAATTATTTAATTATGGTGGGTTGAAAGCAAATTCACCAAAACACCAGAAAATCATTTACTGATGTATTAAAATTGAACTATCTTGTTTTGATCTTAATAATGTGTATGACCTCCTCTGGCCTCATGGGAGGCCTTAAGTTTCCTAGGCATCAAGTAAATAAGGGAATGGATTTCATCTTGTGAAGCAGAATCTCATTCTTCAACAAGATCAGTTTGAAGCTGTTTAACGTGCTTGCTGGAGGCGACGAACAATGCTTAACCCGTCTCTTTTATCATGTCCCAAAAATGCTCTATAGGATTCATGTTAGGAGAATGTGCTGGCCAACCACTGTGCTAATTCCTACATCATCCAAGAAATGGGTGACTGACAACTCAAGCTACAAGCGGTCAAGCATCACCTTGCATTAACATGAAATCGTCCCAAATAAATGGAGCGAACGGAACTACAGCTTCCTGAAGAACTTCCTTAATGTACATTAGTCCAGTCAGAGATTCTTTATGATAATCAGGTCGGTCGGTACAGGTATGGACTTAATTCCACCCCATACTGTAAGTGACTGTCTTTGAAAAGGGTATGACTTATGCATGGCACATGAAGCAAAGCATACTCCAGATGGTCCCATCTGATTGCCACAAACCAAATCGGCACTCATCTGTGAAGAAATCCCCCCCCCAATGGTTGAAGTGTACAAGTGTGTAATTTATGAATAGTCATCTTTCTATTCAATGCCTCTCCAGTAGTAGAGAACCTTATGCGGGACGTCTAGAAACTAGGCTTTTTTCACCAAGCCTTCTGATGACTGTTTTATAGTGACCCTTACGTTTTTTTTTTGTTTTTTTTTTTCGTTATGATCTATATACAGGGTGAATTGCTACTCGTGCTACAAACTTCTCCAGTAGATTCTTCACCCTAAAATGAACAAAAAAGTTCATATTGTCCATGGTCCNTGGTTGAGAATCGGACCATGGACAATATGAACTTTTTTGTTCATTTTAGGGTGAAGAATCTACTGGAGAAGTTTGTAGCACGAGTAGCAATTCACCCTGTATATTAGCCATGTGACAATTGTTATATGTGTGTTCAAATTGGGGGGGGTTTATCGTGAAAGAAGGGCCAGAGGCGACGGTGGGAATCGAACCCACGACCGCGGCGTGAGAGTCTCTCATGCTAACCACTCGGCTACCGCAGTCCCCGACCCTTACGTTAAAACCCCTTATGGACCATTTGGAGTTGACTATTATGAAAGCCGATAAAATACAGTTCCATAGAGTGGTAAGAGCAATAAAACTATCATCCTTAACTATTTTATATCACAGTCGACCACTACCTTCTCTTCAAACCTCTAAACCACCAAAGCATCTGTCCGGGTGAGATCTCAACTTAAAACCAAGCTTTAAAAAAAATTACTCAAAATGATTGTTTCACCAACAAAAACCTAGTTATTATGGAAAATAAACAAATAAATAAAGTGGCTTTTTTTTCTTTTTCTTCTACAGGTGAAATGAATACTTATTTAATAAAATAAACACTAACTGAAGACGTAGCAACCATCATAGACATGTTGAATCCCTCTTAAATAATTCATAAATTATTCAGCTTAAAAATAAATTGGATTTTATTACTTACTATTTAGAGAGAGTGAGATGCAATCTGGCTTTTCATCTCACAACCTCTAAGTAATCATTAATTAATGGTCACTAAATACTACACACCTACTACATTATGATTTTTGTTTTGAAATACTCAAGTCTGCACATTATAACAAAAATGATTTCTTTAATTTTTTCAATGTATTAACTATCTGTTGTCTTTGACATTTATAATATTAGATTATTTCCATTCTGAGGAACTTTCTCATGATAAAATTATTGTGTGATCACAATAGAAACAACAGCAAATTTTTATATGGTTGTATGATAAGATGGATATGTCATCATAGAATGGCTTCTTTTCTTATCCCCCCCTTCAGAAATTTAATAATAAAGTGTAATCAAATATATAAATTCAAGGGCAATTTTAAAAAAATATATTGATATAAAATTGTTTGAAAGAAAAAAATTCCATTACATATTATAAAATATCAATCATCATAGCAAATGATTTTAAAAATTTTATATAAGTAAAGAATAAAACCATTTTTAAAAAATTTTACTTTTCTTATCATTTTGACCTACCTATCCTTGCTGTTCTGGTCTGCAAGACTATTTTGAACTTTTCACAGTTTTCAGTGCTCTTTTGAGACAAAGATTCATCAATGACTCCCACCCAACTGTAGGATGTCGTTCATGGCTCCTTATAGAGAGCATGTAGGAATACTACTCGATATGAAAATTGCACTTAAGCAAATCAGCAATTCTTTGGCTCCCCATTCCATATTTTGGAGAAACAGGGCTGTTTTATTGTAGATATCTTATTTTGTGTATCCTTTTGTTTATACTGAGAATGTACTTATTAGTGCGAATGTATAGTGAAACAGGGACGAAGGTGGATTGAGTACTCCATACAATATTCTGGATCCCCAACTTCTGTGGTTTTTTTCTTGCTTTTTCAAATTATGGTGGAATAGTTTCCAGGAAAGAAAACAAAAAACTGATTGAACTTTAATTTTACACAATGCATTTTTTTTTTAAATTGAATTAGAACAATAAATGTAACAATGTTGTTTATTGACATTGATACAATTTTCAAAATTTTATATAAAGTAATAAAATTAGTTTGAAATATTCACTGTTTTACTGCATATGAGGATTTGCAGCTTACTGTGACAAAAATGAAAGGCAAAGTAGTCAAATAGTAATTTTCCCATGGATTCGCTAGCTTATAATAAACTATTTTAGCAGAGTGCCACCTCAAGTAGGCCACTATGCCGAGTTGTAAGTTAGTAACATTGCTACACCCTAAGTTAAGTAACGTTGCTGGGGTGTAAGTTGGCAACTATGCTTTGGTGTAAGTTAGAAACATTGCTCCCACCTCAAGTAGGCCACTTGCTGAGTTGTAAGTGGTAACATTGCTACCATCTCATGAAGGTGACTATGCTGAGGTATAGTTGATAACAATGCTACCACTTCAGTCAGACAATTATCCTGAATTGGAATTTGGTAACATTGTTAGTACCTAAGATAAATTAGAGTATATATGTAATAGCTACCATCTCAGGTATACAGGTGTGCTGAGGTGTAAGTTTGTAACATTGCTACTAACCCAGGCAAGCTGCTATGCTGAGGTGTAAGCTGGTAACATTGCTACCAACTGAGTAAGGCCACTTACAATAAATTTTCAAAATAAAGAAAAGATTAAAGAAAGTAATGTTGAGATTGAAGTATTGTAGTAATTTCACTAATTTCGTGGTCCGCTTGACCAATTATTGTAGTAATGCTGACACCGCTGAAATTGGAAATTTTACAATGAGCTTACGCAATTTTTTACATTTGTTACTTTTGCACAATGCCGACGATGTGACAGTGGAGAAAATATTTAGAATTTTAAATTATCCCCCCTCAAAAAAAGGGTTAAATATCAGAGGTAGCCCACATATGTTTAGGAGTCATAATAGATTGTATTAATTATTTCAATTAATTATAATTTTTATATAAAATCTTAGTTGAGAGGAAAGAGCGAAAATTCAAAAGGTTGTATATACAGATACGGAGTTGGTGTCTGAGTGGATCTAACTCACGATAGCTCAAGAGGTTCGAGCAGCGGTGTATTGAGCCATAGGTCGTGGGTTCGAATCCCTCTCGTGACATTAACTTTTTCATCTTAACCAAGACCTTAGATTAAAAATATAATTAATTGAAATTAAGAGGTAGTCTTATTCATTTGTAAATTGGCCTCTTTTGTAACAATAATAAAACCTCTGTTTATCGAGTCTATTAGTGTACATGAATGCACTTCAGTGTTCAAAATAGTCATTTTTTTGTTATTTCAATGCCTCTTTTTTTTTAAAGAAATAATTACAAGAAGGGGATTGTTAAGTAGTCTAGTTTATCGTCCAAAAAAATGTTTTAGTTACAATAGTAAAATTAAAGAAGAAAATGTAAAAAAAAAATTGGGCCACTGGCATGTAAATAGTGCACAAAGTAAACCATAATCCGTTAGACACGTTTATTATGGAGGGCAATAACTGTTCACTTCTATAAACAGAAGAAGGACTGATTAACCGTAAATACTTTATAATGACAACAATAAATAAAGTGGTTATTTTCAGTTTAATGACGTGTTTATTATTTTTTTTATATATTTTTTACTGCGTGATAAAAGGGGAAAATCGAATCAGGCAGGGATCATTGGGCTACATCTACTTGCAACGGGCGTCCACGTTGTGGTTTCACCCGTTTTTATGAATATTCAGTACTAAAAATAAATATTTCTAGTCGGTTTTGGGTTGAGATGCGGGGAATGAGGAAAGGAAACGAAAAAGGGAAGGGGCACACAAACTCAATTAAATGCGCTTTGGAAATGATTCATCTTTTAGAAATAGACGATAACGGAGAAATTTTTAATGACTAAGGCTTATGAATAAAATGTAAAAAATTGTCGTTTAATAAAAATTTAAAAATATTTTTAAAAAAGGAAATTGTAATGGGCGAAATTAATTAACACTTTTAATAAATAAATTTTAAAAAAAGGTCGAGACTAAATTTTACTTTCTCGTCGGGTGGAAATTTGTTTTTTAACTGTAGTGGATCAGTGCTATGGTGAGGAATTTCAATTTTTTTTCGCTCAGGACGAAACTGCAAGGATTCCCAACTTAGTCGATCCGCTCTGGGTAATGCACAAAAAATTTAAAGGGCGGCGGGAAGGCAATGCAAAAGTTTTATGGTCGAAAAAGTACCACTACCGAGGTGACAACAAAACTGGCCGAAAATGAAAAAAAAGCAAAATTAAAAAAAAAAGAGGCAGAAAAAAAAGGCAAGTTAAAATAAAAATAAATAAGGACTTGATTCGTTCCGTCCGTGGAATAACAAATCCCCCGCGAAGAAACATCGGTCAAAGGCTGGGGATGATAAGGGGAGGTATAGGATTCCCAGAATCACATATCCTTATTTGGCAATATGAATAATTTTACCGATACTCGGGAAAACGGACGTTCACCCGATGAAAGGTGATTTCCAGGGGATCCTCACACCAACGGATCTTGAAATAATGATGCCGAGATCTTCCTGTTATCTGCGTCGAGTCTTTGAAATGAGCCGAGTTACATATCCCGTCCCAACATTTTCTCACAACTGAAACTGACTGTTTACTGAAAATCAAACAATCGATCAGCTGGTTCGGAATGAGAGTTGCTGGTTAACCTACCGGCTCACTTCCCACACTTAGGCTTTTTATGGGCTTTTATCCTTTTAACACACGAAAAAGGATAGTTTTCGTCAATCCGACAATTATTTTTTGTGGCGAAATCCATAAGTTTTCATCAAAATTTGGCAACAATATTACGGTTCATTGTATGCAAACCGACATGTCTATACTTGTTATGACGTTCGAGTGACATCATGGTTAACTGAACGTGACCCATTGGGCCAACTACAAAAGGCCGGATCTTTTTATAAATTTTCTAAATTAGAATTTTTTAAAATAATTAATTTTAATTAAAACGATTAAAAATAAAGATTGCATGAGAAGTTTAGTGAAATCTTTCAGCGGAATCTACAACTTTTTCATAAAAATTACAATTTTGAGGTTCGCTGTATACAAACCGATATGTCTATGCTTGCTGTGTCGTTCCGGTGAAATCATGGTTAACTGAACGTGAACCAATTGGACTAACTTCAAAGAGCCAGATCTACCACACAAAATGTACTTATTTATTATTCGGAAATCGTGAGATGCGGTCTGGTGTGATGTAGGTTTCATAAAAACATTTTCTTTATCGTGCCAACGTTTCGATCTTTATTGAGATCATCTTCAGGGCCTGGGATATACAAACATTGTTTAAATTTAATTAATTAAATTTAATAAATAATTTAAAAATTTAATATATAAATAAATAATTTAATAAATGTCGGATGTCGAAAAAAGTGAATTTATACAATGAAAAAAAATATATTTTTTATATTCAATCAAAGTATTTCTACTCACTAAAAGAGTTTGTTTTCTGCGTAATTGTGCCATTCTTGCGTGTCGTGTTGAGCGTGCCAGTGTTTGCTTGCTTTTATGTTTATATACGTTGGATTTTGAAGGGGTGGGGAAGGAAGTCGGTATAGAAGGACATTTTTGTATAAGGAGTCGGCTTCTTTGAGGTGAAAAGAACCGAAGAAGGGAATAAACGTTGGTAATGGTTCGGCCAGATAATCCTTTCAGGATTATACAAACGGGGATAAATGGAAAAGGAAAGCTAAATAGTTGAAAAATTAGCCTATGTAAAAATGTTTGATGTGTGGAATGTGATGAATGTTTTATATGTTATATTATATGCTATATGTTTAATTAATCTTTATGTAAGGTATTGGTTGAGACAAAAAAAGTCAGCGTCACGAGCGGGATTCAAACCCACAACCTTCGGCTAAATACACCACTGCTCTACCACTTGAGCTATCGTACTTCGATCCACTCGGACACTAACTAAGGAGGGAAAATTCGAAACAGATGGGAACTTACGGTGATGCTAACTTTTTTATCTCAACCAATACCTTACATAAAGATTAATTAATTGAAAGATATTATTTGGTCAATCGGACCACGGAATCTAATGAATTAAATAAGTTAAATGAAGTATATCTTGATTAAAGACTTCATCCTCTGGAATTCAGAAAAGCAGCAAAATACTTTGTCATGAAGAGTATTGTTACAATGCTTAGAGTTTTAAATGAACTTGCTTCTTATAAACCCGAAAATGTATTGATAAAGGTGTATTGTTTAAAACAATGGTTCGTTCAGTTCTCCTGTATGGGGGAGAGATCTGGGCTCCCTGTTTTGCAGATATATTTGAAAAGACTTACATTTACCAAAAAACTGCTGTAGTGCCTACGTTCGAACAAAGACCAGTTTCATACCGCTAAAAGTCACTATTTTTGACCAAATGGTAAAGTTCTGGGTAAAACTGCACTCCCTCCCTGATGAATTTATCCAGAAACATTGTTATAATGGTCTGATCCAACATGTGGGTGAAAAAAAGATATTCCATTCAATTGGGTATAAACACTAAAAAATCTCTCAAGAAGATTGCTGTCCCACATATCTGGAATCATGTGTCGCTACAATAATAAAAGAAATATTCAAATTTAATTATAAAATTTGAATATTACTCATTAAATATAGATCTGGCAATTACTTCCCATTCAAATTTTTGCTTCCAAAACGATAATTTGGGTGGTACAAAAACATATATTGAACACTGGAAAGATTATAAATTAATTAGGATGTGCAGCCAATTACAGGTATCCAATGACCCACACACAATGGCGTATTTAAATGGACAAAGGTAAAAATTCTCCCAGGTTGGTCTTTGCTCCACTTGCCTTAATAGAGAAAAGGATTTATCTCATGTTTTGTTGTATTGTTCTTCTTTTTTTTTCAAATCAACTTGAGAAAAGTATTTCCGATGAGGCTCTACCCATGAAAATTGGAATCTCAATTCTATACTAATTTAGATCAGAAAACCCATTAAAAATTGTATACTTTTACATTATTGATTCCCTTCAAAAGAGACAACATCTGCTCAAATTTCTCGAAATACTATAACTCAATTAGAGATAGGTGTTTTGTTTATTTATCTCTAGTGTTTAATCTTCTTGATGCAGTACAAATATCATCTTATTTTGTACAAATTTCTCTCATAATGAACTTAACAACACCTTATCATTATTGTTCAAACTTTGCTCGTCTCTTGAAAAAAAAATAAAAAAAATAATAATTTGCCTCAACAAAACGTAGTAAGATAATAACTACTTTATCAGTATCCAACTCCATTTTATGCAATAATCAAATCAAATAAAATAAAATAAAGATTGTACTCAATTTTTTAACCTATATTAGTCCATATAAGTTTAGCAATCATAATTGACACCATTAATTATTTCGATTAATTATACATTTTACCTAAGGTCTTGGTTGAGATGAAAATGCGCAACCTTTGACTCAATTCGCCGCTGCTCAAACCTCTTGAGTCATTGTGACTTCAAATTTATCATAAATTTAGTTATGGCTTACAACTTATTTATTTATTTTATTAACATACATAGGCTGATAATTTACCAAAACACTTAACATATAGGTAAACTATAAAATTATACATAAAATAATTAAAACATTGGAAACATATAAAATTATGTTTATATTGTTAACATATAAATTTATATATATATTGTTGTTAACTTTTGTACTGATTAATCCCATTTGCACAAAAAGTAGCATTATGCCCTTCCATCCTGTTACACCTAAAGATCGCTTTCAGTTAATCTTTTTCTTTCGTTGATTTCATTTGATATATCGTTATTCTTAAAACATTTTCAATAGCCCCTGCCTGGCATTTGAGAGTCAGGGTCATAACATTAAAAGAGTAAAGATATAGTCAACGTGAAGTCGCCAGGAGAGTGACTGTAAATCACACTACAATAGGAAGGGTTCTTCAGTGCTCCAGAGATACAGGGCTTCACAACAGGCGAGGACAGGGGTCGAACTAGGTCTATGGACGAGAGAGACAATACTCATCCATCATCAGGCTCTCCAAAAGCGTAGCGTTATGGGAAATTAGATGAAAATTCTGATAAGACAAGTACAAAATGTTTTGATTTCCTCCAGGACTGTAAGAAGGAAGGCTCAATGAAAATAACCTCAGGGCCCAGCACCTGGCTCTTGGACCTCTTCTTACCATAGCTCAGAAAATGGGCAGGCTTCAATTCATATGGGAACGTGTGAATTGGACATTGGAAGATGGCGACGAGTTCTCTCTACAGATGAGGTGAGAATTGGCCTCAAATTTCATATGAAGATGCTCAGGAGAAAGGTACACTACACGCTGTATGGTTCCTCGTGTGGCATTCCATGGTGGGTCGTTGATAATCTGGGGTGGCATTTCCTTAGACGCCTGCACTGAATTGGTTGTTGTGTGACAAAGACCTCTAACTGCACAGAGGTTCTTATAAGACATAACTAGAGAACATATAGTACCATTTGTTCCCTACATCGCTGAGAGATTCTTGCTAATGCAGGATAATTCCAGGCCCCATATTGTGGATGACAGCCTGAATGAGGTAGGAATTGAGTGCTTGGTGTGGCCAGCTCGAAGTCCAGATTTGAACCCAATTGAACACATTTGGGACCAACTTAAGCGATGTGTACGACGGTGTAACCCAGGTCTTAACACCCTTGAACAGTTGGAAACGCATGTTCTTGATGAGTGGGAAAGAATTTCTCATGATTTTATCAGGAATCTTTTCTAAGGAATGTAAAGGCGTTCAACGGACATGATTCGTGCCAGAGGTGGAAATACTCGGCATTAAAGGGTACAAAAAAAGTTTTTTTTTACGTTTTTTCTTTTTTTACTCAATTTTTTTTTAGAAGTAGGTAATAAAAATGTTCTTTTTAAATGGCTTATTTTTACAACCAAACCTACTTTTCGGTACAAATGAATGAACATACATTAAAATTGGTGGTTAAAGGTTGGTGAGTTTATTTTGTCCATCCGTGTATCAACTTAAATCCTTCAATTTTTGGAAGGGGGCGTTTACCCTGCCGCCGGTTCACGTTATCGTAAGCGGGGGAAAATCCGTCCGAAACAACACTGTTACACAGAATGACGTAGATTTACGTCATTGTAGACTTGTAGTCATTAAAACCGAACTGCAGTCTTTTTTCATATTTTAGTTAGTTAACTTTAGTCCATGTGTCGACTTGTAGTCGATTAGAAATTTTAACATGTTAATAAAGGAATAGTAAGTACAAATCATTATATAATAGTATTTTAAACTATCGGTTAATAAATAGATATTTATTATTTTAATTAGGCCTTTATCGAATTATTAACCTTCACGTTATTGTCATGTATTCTATCAGTTTCAATTCGCGGTGAAACGTTTCTCCCATCGGGATCGATTTTTCAAGAAATTTCGAGACAAACTGAACAAAAATCCATCGGCTTATAGTCGTTTTAGGATTTTTGGAGGAAGATCTCGTCAGACAGATAACCCGGTTTCAGGTGGTCACTTGTCCAACTACCTAAATACTTGTGGCATTTTTGAGTTGATTTTTCCGAATTAAAAAAAACGAAGTATTTTTCCGAATTAAAAAAAAAGAAGTGGAAAATGTCATTTTCCGATCTTAGTATTGTTATTCTAGTCTTCCATTTTATTTATTTTTCCACTTGGAAAAGATAAAAAAAATCTTAATTTGTGTGAGATATTGACATTTCTTTAAACTGATTGCCCTCTAATTGCTGATATTTTCGCCACCGTTTGATACAACACAATACTCACATTTTGTCCTTTAACGCTTTTCTAAAAATATCATGTTTTGGCCAAATTTGTTGTCAAAATATTGACACTTAAATAGGCATGTTGACAATTTGTATCCTTCAATTTGCAATCCTTGACTTGTATTGGTTATGGATGACCTAGCATATTTTTATTACTGCATATGACCTTATTACCTTTTTCCCACTCGTTTTACATTTTTTTTTAATTAAATAAAAACCCTTCTGGTTATGTAATGTCCCAGTTGCCAATAATTTGTTAGGTTTCATGAATACCTTATTCATTAAATAATTCTATAATGAGGTAATGAATTTCTCATCGTTTATCCTTTCATTGTTCAACTTTTAACATAATTAATTTCCATTCAGATTCCCATAACGTTTTTCTTTGTCGAAAAAAACCAAAACAAAAGAAAACGAGGTTTCTTTACCCTTGAAAGTTAATTTTTTGTTTCAAAAGCGAAATATTCAATACCCTCTGTTTAGAAAAAAAGTTGTAATTTGTGTTATCACAGACACAGCATATCAGTTTTAATAATGTACGGTGATATATCATGTCTGGTCAAATGCCTAACTGTTGATAAAAGTACTCGGCTCGTTTATTATTTCGTTATCATTGGTCAACAAAAGTTCAAAGCAGCTCGAATCGATTTTATTGTTTTGTTATTTTGCAAACCATTGAATGTACAAATAAATGTTTTATATCCAAAATCTTATAAAGAGATGTGTTTTTGTTGTCTGTAACAAATTGGAAGTGGGGCAGAGCTTTTGGATGACTTCCAGTCAGTGGAAGTGGTATTACCATGGTTCATGCATTATGGGTTGCCACCGTGGTGCCTTTGAATCTTTTAACTAATAGACATTCTCCATGGTCAAAAAAAAAAAATGTTTCTAATAATTTCTAATCAGCAGTGTTTATTTCTTGTACAATAGAACACTATGCATTTTTTTCCGCATGTTTTATTTGTACTCATTGAGTCACATAAATTTCAGCAACTTGTTCTAAAGATGCATAACATTCCTGGTAATTTGAGTTTTCAAGGAGCAAACGTCTTAACTTTGCACTAATAAATCTAGCAATTTCCAATTTTTTGACTACAGAACTAAAGCGTTTTCTCTCTGTTCTACCATTTTTTAATATATAAGTCAATGATTCCAAAGGAAGTAATGCTTACGATAAACTTATAAAGATTTTAACAAATGGATCCATTACAGTTATTATAAATGTGGACAACTTACATGTTAAAGACACATAGTATTTCCTGGTACTCTGAGGCAAAACGTCTTAATTTTGCTCTAATAAAAACATCAATTTCCATTTCTTTGACAATAGTTCTAATCTATATTTTTTAAATGTATAAATCAGTGATTCCAAAGGATGTAGTGCTTACCTTCATAATTCATCTCCCTTTGTAGTAATGCTTGCAATAAAATTTTAAAGGGTTTTGCAAATGGATTCATTACAATTATCAAAAATGTTGACATCTTTTGTGCCGAAGACAAACTCCTTAATTTTGCACCAATAAATCCTGCAATTTCCTTTTTTGGCAGTTGAACTGAACCATTTACTCTCTAATCTACATTTGTTTAAATATGTAAGTCATGTGTGATTCCAATTGATGCTAAAGGGAATAATGCTTATGAAAATTTTTTAATGTATTTTGGAAATGAATTTATTAAAATTATAATAAATCTCAACTTTTGGTAAAAGATGCATGCAATACAAGGCAAAGGGTAAATGTGTTAATTTTACACTAATAGATACAGAAATTTACGTTTCTTTTACAATATCCACCCTAAGGAATATCGAGTACTCTGGGGGAGTGAATGTAATCAGACTTCTACATTTGTGGTGATGTGTGTATATACATTGTATGTTTTATTCTGAAGTTTACAACCTGAGGTACAAACGAGAGGCTAGCATTTTAGGATATCAACATAGTTTTAATATAAAAGCAGTGAGTCATTAACCAGATAGCATTGTCTGGTAATATGAGGCAAAGAGTAAATATCTTAATTTTACACTAATAACCCCAGCAATTTCCATTTCTTTGACAATAGCTCTAACCTACATCTTTTTATATTTATAAGTCAGTGATTTCAAAGGAAATAATACTTACAAAAAATTTGTAATGGCTTTTGGAAATTGATTTGTTAGATATCATAAATGACATTTCTGTGCTAAAGATGCAAAACATTGGCTGGTAATTAGACGAAAAGGCAAACGTCTTAACTTTGCCCTAATAAATTCAGCAGTTTCCAGTTTTATGATGATAAAACTAAGGCATTTACCCTCTAGTCTTTTATAAAAAATAAAAAGACGTATTTATTTTTTTTATTTCCACAATAACAATGAGAATAATAATAATAGGAAAATTTATTTAGCTAATGCTGTTCATTTTGCTCATTCAACAATTTACTTTTCATATTTTTCACAAATTGTTTCAACTTTTTTTTTATAAACTTTTGGCCAATGCATTAAACTCCCTTATTCCACCCTCAAAAATATACTTCAAAGTTGAAACTTCCTTGTTGTTTCCGACTTTTGGATTTTTTTTCCATAAACACAGTCACCCTGAAGAAAAAAAAAATGTTGAACAATAAATAAAATGTGGTAATATTATACAATTGAAACTATTGTGTTCTTTTGTTAGAGTTTTAGGGCTCAGAAATTTTCTAATCTGTACAGGGTGTTTGGCCACTGGTGTTACCAAATTTGCTAGTAGATTCTACATTCCTAGAGACCAGCAAATCGCAGATAATGTACTTGGTTTAGTATCCTTTTTAGTGGTGTAATTGCTTTTTCAAACATTTTTTTTCAAATTTCAACAAATTGATGAAGGTTAAAAATGTTTTTAGTTCTTTTTCATTCAAAATTTCCTTACGTTTTACTTTTTTTTTTTTTTTTTTAAATTTTTCACCTTACCAATTTGTCAACCATGGTTTTTACCTATCCTTCATCAATTTCATCACCTTTGGAAAAAAGTAATTAAAAAATCAAATACACCACTAAAAAGGATATTAAATGGAGTACGTTATCTGAAATTTGCTGTTCTCGAGGTTTGGAAATAGTAGTTTAGAATCACCATAGTAAGTTTTTCAACTTGGAAAAAAATATTTTTCAATGTTCGATTTTAAATGGTTTTCTTTGATGAAACAGTAAATTTGAGTTTAAAAAATTGTTTTTCTCTTAAAAGCATAGTTTCTGTTTCATAAGACGAAATCCGATCATTTATTTACTCGATGCCTAGGAGACTTAAAGCCCTCTTTGAGGCCAGAGAAGGTAATATGCATTATTAAGAACAGAAGCAGGTAATAAATTGTTTGTTAAGTCTTAATCTATCACTAAATGAACTATCTTTTTAAAAAGGATTAAGAAAGCATATGTAATGTTAAAGTTAAACACGAAACAGTCCACTGAGATGGTTTCATGCTCCAAGTCATGTTTCAACTTGAAAAGATTAATTCATAACTTTACTTGACTGGCAAAAGTTTGGTTCAAACTTTAGTTGATAGACTAAAATAACTATTTTGCTCACTTTAGTGTAACAACAACTGTTGAATCATGAGAACTAGTCAAAAAATTATTCATTCACTTACAAAATTACAGGGGGTGAGGTTCACAATTTTTCACATTTTTTAAACCTTTCATATGCAAGGGATTTTTTGCATTTATTAATGCTTGTAATGTTCTTGGCATTCTGCAAAGTTTGAGCTCACTCCTTAAGGGAAATTTAAATTTGTCTCTCCCTCGTGGCCCATACATTATCATTAGGCTTATATCAGGTGACTATGGACTGGCTATTTTGGCTGTTTAAGGTCGTCTTGGAAGGTCTTAAGGAACCAGTAAACTTTCTGGACCCCTTCATTCATTTTTTTTTTACCTCGTACAACCCCACACCATTACACTGTCTCATTCATGTTTCACAATTAGAGTTATATTTTTAACATCAGTTTTCTCGAAACAAATACATGTCTATTAGATTCAAAATCAATTCAAAACTTACTTTCATCTGTGAATATTTTTCCAGAACTCTTAGGGACTTATTGACTGATCTAAAGCAAAATTGAGCCCACTTTGTCATGTTTTTATTGCATGTAAAATTTTTTTTTTCCATTCTACCTTTGAATCCCACTTGATAGAGGCGATTATGGATTGTTTGTGGCACAACTTCTGTCTCAAAAGATGTGACAGGATTTTCTGCGAGTTTCATATGCACATATGATCAGATTTTTTGTAGCTTGTCTCAACTCTTATCATTTCTTGGTTTTCAGTTTATTTTATCGGTAGAACTAGTCTTTGTTTCCCTATTTGACAATAGCTTAAAACTTGCTGAAATAACGAGTCAATTTTATCTTTTATAATGTAATATAATTCTGCTGGATTTCAACCCATCTTTCACATATTTTAAATTGAACTAAACTATTGATAGTAATAATTAACAGTATTTTTATCTTATTCCTTTGTAATATGGCCCTATTCCTTTGCTCAACAATACTAAAAACATTGTTGTTTCAAAACCGTTTTATACGTGTATGAATAATTTTTTGGCATTTAAAAATTATTTTTTGTATATCAATATAAAACCAATTATTTTTTAACAAATAATTACATAAATAGTGAATGAATGAAAAGAAGCGCGACAAACAACATATAAAGTACATATAATCATACAAATATTAGCCCAATAGGAAATTCAGGAATATGAGTGCTGCAGGTAGAACATTACTAAATTCTCGTCATCTGATATTACGACTTTTTCTTATTTGTTCAGTTGCAAACCTGAATATTAACAAATGTGATCAATCATGGGTCATTACATGATAATTGAAGAGTTAGTCATAGGTTTGGCCGATGACACATTATTTTTGGGTCGTATCTGCTTAGTTTTAGTTCAAAGCAGATTCAGGATGAAGAAATTTTTAAAAAGTTGACTAAGATAAAATTAGAAATCCAAGTAGAAAATACGAGTCGTTGAATATATCCATCTATCTAAGCCCATGAGAATGGATGGACCCAGTGAGGTGTCAAAGTGTCAATCAGTTCAACATTAAACATGTTTAATTAAATTTTCAAGGTTTGTATATTAAAGTCATAAACACAAAAATATTGAGATCTGCGGGGTAATAAACCTCCAATTGGGCCACTGCTTGTCCATCTGTTTCTGTCATACCTAAATAATCAAAAATGACCAAACTACGTAAACCCAATAGTATGACACAATATTGGTGCCAGCTGATCAAAAAATATTGGGTGTGTGTGTTTTTTGGTCTAAAAAAAGTAGGTCCAACTGTAAGTAACTGTAACTGTAGACTAAAAAAGTAATCTAACTTTAAAATATAAATTGATCTTATTTTTAATCCAAAACATAATGTCCTTCGTTTTCTATAACTACCAACGTTCTGGCAGCAGAACTACAGTAATCCCTTAACACTCGTGGTTTTGACATTGCGGTTTTCACTATTCACGTAAGAAAAAATGAAGAAAGTTTAGACATTTGCAGAAGTCCGATTTCTTTATTTATAGACAAAACAGTTGCATAAACAATTTTATTTTCATATCCAAAATAATTTTGTAAATATAGATTGGAGGCTGAAATTGATTCTCAGAAAACTTTCGCCTGCTTCAATGTACTGTTCCTTCTTTCTTCTCAGTTTGTTTTATGCTCTCGGTGAATTTGTGTCGCAAAATGCCTCTTCCTCAAAAACAGAAAAAACCTGACCCTTGGTGAAAGAATAAAAATTTTGGACATGTTACATTTTTTATGCAGGCCAAAGCTTTTCTTAAAACAGCTCAGGGAAATTTTAATCTTGAGGGACCAACTTATTAAAAAAGCTATGGCTTTTGATGACCCGTTTAAATCAAAGTTTTACTTTTAAAAGTGATGTCGAGGCCACTTCAGATATTTATGTGAAAATACTGGAAGAAATTAATTATTTTGCGAAACAGCGAACTATTAATAGTTATTTCTTTCCTTGCATATCAAAAAATGAAAACAATTAACAGGTTCAAACATGTCTTCTATTACGTTTATTTTGAATAAACTTTTTTTTTTTTAGTTCTAAATTGTATCTCAATTTTTGGCATCATGGAATATAACCCTCTGTATAGCATAGGCTCAACATTCGCGAATTTAATATTCACGGCAGTTTTATGGAACTAAACACCACAAATGTTAAGGGTACTGTATCCCCTTTTTGTGTAAGTCTGATGACAAAGGAGAACAATCTGTAAGTCCAATTTTCAGAATGTTTTTGTTTAGAAATTCCCTACCTTTTAAGTGGTTGTCTAGGGAGTGGTACAAGTAAAAATCGAAAGGGGTAAGTTTTGGAAAGTATGGAAGGTAGGGCAATTGTTTCCAGACTAACAAGTAGAGTAAGTGAGCTGTGTGAGGCCTAGCATTGTCATTGTGAAACACAATGTTGTGTATATTCACCAGGGCTGGATGTTTTTGTAAGCTTGTTATGCCTTCCACAACGAGATAGTTCTATGATTCGTCCTTCACCATTATGAAAACATCTGAACCATTGATAATGTGGAGATAGTGAGATGCCGTCTGGTGTGACGTAGATTTAGAAAAACATTTTCTTTATCGTTGTTATGTTTTTTTAAACCTACGTCACACCAGTCCTCATCTCACTATCTCCACAAAATCATTAATTAACGGTCACTAAACACCACACATCTGAACCATTGTTGACTCACATGTTCATGTTCAGTTACTACATTATCACACTGTAAATTCCACTTAAATTTCAACAGGCATCTGCCGCCCCTCTATTTCCGAGATTAACTTGTATTGCAAGCAATACCTCAAATGAATTTCATCCCCTTCCATGTCATACGTGCAGCAGTTTATTCTAGACTGACTTGTGGGATTAACTACCCTTTTCTTAAAATCTCTCTCAATAGGGCTTTTCCCACCCTAAAGCTAAGGGGGCTAGCAAGAATTAAAGGATCACCTTTATAAGGCTTAAAGTTGAAATTTGTAAATACCGAGAAAACATATGCACCCTTCCAGTATTTTTTTCTATACCAATATGTTATCTCATGCAGCTTCTTATGATCATAATAAATCACAGTAGTTTGACCATCTTGGTCTATCTTTTCTTTTTTTATTATGTCAGATTTGTTTCATCATATCACCTTGTTCAATGTTATAAAAGTGGTTGATTATTATAAAAATGGACATTGAAGATACTGAAATGTTAAACATGTCTGCCAAACAATGTCAACACTATTAGTCAAACCAGGACTGTTTGGGATGATCATACATCTAAATGTTCTTATTTATATATTTCAACTCTTAGGCCCATTTTGTTTTGATTTTCGACATATAGTTGCAACTATATCATGTTGGATCAACTTGGAGAACTACAGAAAGAAATAAAACAGGAAGACTGTCTAAACATGTACATTTTTTTGGAGGAAATAAGAAACTTCCTGATGTTTACAGTCTTTAATGTTTTGTAGTTTGGTCTGCCAGAAGCATTTCAGCTTCTTGCCATCTTCAGTGTTGGGTCAAGAAGCCAAAACGTCGAAGATACTGAAATGTTAAACATGTCTGCCAAACAATGTCAACACTATTAGTCAAACCAGGACTGTTTGGGATGATCATACATCTAAATGTTCTTATTTATATATTTCAACTCTTAGGCCCATTTTGTTCCACCAAATTCATCACCCCACACACAATAGAAAATCTCAAAATTTAATTTTTTGTGGTAAAAGTTTTCAAGTTGTTAGGTATTATTAATCTAAATTTATGGTGTTACAGGATTGATAGAGTACTTAATATTCTTATCCTTTGGTATACTTTATTGAGTGATATTGAATTATCTTCTCTGTAGTCCTACTTGAGTCAGAAGGTAGGTTCATTGATTGATGTTAAGCCCATAAATGATGTGGGGGGGGGGTGTTGTAATGACCTAGTTGTTCAACCCCAGAGGTTAATCCAGCCAGAAGGGCAGATAAGACTAACATTTAACCTAATTTTGTCAAAAATACCTGAGTTGAATAGAAAAAAAGTTGACTAGCTATTTGTATTAATATAAAAAATATTAATAATTGTCCTTTAAGATATTGTATGAAAGTATAAGGTATGCAGAGTGATTAACCACAATCCTCTCTGATCATTTCTTTTCTCGTTTTCTCAAGGGTTACAATATTTTGCTATCTTCCATTGTGATTTTGTCAAACAATCCAGTTACAACTGTTGATCAATTTGCTATTATAGAAAAAATTCTAAAGAAAAGTTAACACATTCAGTACTGGTGACCTGCAAGAAGGCCACACTGGCTCAACCCGCCAGATGGACAACCTGACATTTGTAGGAATTGGAAATTTTTGTCATTCGAGACGGGGAAATTTGCAAAACCTGGCTGCACTGAATGTGTGAACTGTTACAAATTTTTGATGATTGTATTAATTGTATCATTTATTTAAAAAAATTTAATTAATATTGACTTTATTGTGTTTCAGCCGAGTAACACTTCCTCTTACTGTAGAAGAGGTGAGTTTTCTACTTATTTCACTACACGAAGAAATAAAATTGTTTATGTAACGATATTTTCATTTTTAGTACCAAGTAGCCCAGTTATATTCAGTGGCTGAAGCTAGTAAGAACGAGACTGGTGGCGGTGAGGGAATCGAAGTACTAAAGAATGAACCATTCGATAACTACCCCCTTTTAGGCGGAAAATACAAGACAGGACAATATACATATAAAATTTATCATTTAGCAAGGTATGTGAACTTTACATATCTAATTCGACATGCTTAGAAGTATGTAAGAAAATCCATATTAAAACATTTCTAGCTAAAAAAACCTGTTTCTTAAATTTTACAACCATGTTTGTATGTTAGATGTGCGCAAGTCCAATAATGTATTTAATTTATCCTCAATCTCAGAACCAAAGACAAATCGTATGCAAAATTTTAATCAGTTGGTCATTTTCTTCTGTCCTTAATTTTTGTATGTTGCATTACTATCTTTTTGGGCCGACAAGATTTCTTATTCAAAAAGTTGCCTTAACTGTGATATCTGTTATGTCGGATCCGATTATCTGTTAAAATACCTCTTGTCTGTTTAGTCACAATTCCAGTTAACTTTAAGTTGTTGGTGTACAAATGGAACATTAAGCTAAACAATAAGGATAGCTAGATTTAAAAAAAATATAAGGGTTGAAAACTCAGTTAAGCATTGTCATTTTGATTTAGGGATTTTGTAGCAGCTGGGTTACTTTTGGTGAATGGTAAATTAAGAATTTTTAGAAATATTGGTTTCAGGATGTTGTCTCATATATATATTGGTAACATGATTATTTAAAATTATTACATAATTTTTTATGTTGGTACTACAAATAATTTATTGCAGTTTAATTGTTTTTACAATTTAACTTGAGTTTAATAAAATTTTGTCTCGGAAATATTAATAATATGAGACAACCAAAGAGTACAATAGTTTTTCAATTGATGAAAATTGCCTTAAGAACAAATATTTCCACATAGAAATAGTAAGCCTGTAAATAATTATATATTAAGATAGTATAAACCTGAACATCACAGCTTCTTTGTTTTACACATACTGGCCCTCTTATCTTCTGTTTAGCCTTCTGAAATTGCAGAGTTTTTCAAAAGGAAACACACAACGCTCTAATAAACATAACATTCTTGCTAATTCTCATATTACTTCTTTTGTACGCTTATATTTCAATTATATAGTTATCTATTAAAACAAATTTTATATTTGTTGTATGTTTACTAGGTATAAAACCTTCAAAAATTGGGCCAGGAAAAATAAAACAAATAATAAGAATAAAGGACAACAAAATAAAAAGAATAGCAAATTTGATATTTTATTTACAAGTTCGATGATTACAAATTGTTTATGTAAAGCAATCAAATACTAACACAAAGAATAGCTAAATTGCATAACGCTTAGAACATTATTTGAATCCTGCTCATGACACTACTTTTTTAACTCAACCATACTTTGCATAAAAAATAATAAATCAATTAAAATTTCATCACTGAGGAACATTTCATTGTTAACACATTTTTATATAAAACCAAATCATTATGCTGTTATGCTTAATCTTGAGAAGGAGCTATCACATGTATTTTATGAAGGCTTGTACATATGTATCACGACACTCGTGCCTTAGACAAAGTTCTGCTGTTGTCTATAGATAAATCTCTTGTTCTGCATCTTCCTGTAGGGAAAGAAAAAAAAAACTTTAAACAAGTTTAAATTTTACAATGAAGAAACAATGCCACGGGCCCACTATCTAACTTGTCATGGTATCGTGGAATTTTTTTTAGCTGAGATGTGCAGGTCGACATGTGACAGTCTAGATTATCATGGATTTATGGTAAACTGTGAAGTGACTTGAGTACTTCAACAAACTGTGAGTGAAGACAGACCCAATAAATGACTCAGTGCCAGTTCAGTATGAGTTCCCCAACTTGCAGACCAAGCTTAATTTTATTTTGGATTTGTTGGGGATTGTTCGTAGATAGTGCAAATTTATCTACAAGTGTATACTAGCCTTAAGTCAGAATTACTTTTGTTTAATACAGCTAGAAACTGTCTTAATTGCTGATAAATTATAGCTTACTTGATAAAATTAGGATTAGTATTATATACTAATGCCTTGACAGACATTTTTAAAATAAAACCATCAAAAATATTTTTATTGTTTTTTTAAATGCAATCAAGCTAAATTTCAAATTTCCAAGGGTATTAGTGTTCAAATGGTTATCCGTAGTGTATTTAGAAAAAACAATTATTTGTGTGACATAGCTTGTTTTTTTAACAATTACTTTGTTCTCCCATTACAGTAAAGTTCCTGCATTTATCCGACTTTTGGCACCTAAGGGAGCTCTAGAAATTCATGAAGAAGCTTGGAATGCATACCCTTACTGTCGCACAATAATCACGGCAAGTTCATCACTTGTATCACTTGTAAATTTTTTCTGAATTAAGGGGAAAATACTTTGTTTCTAATTTTATTCAAATCAAAAATCCTTTGACGATAAAAATGCTTAAATTTACTTTTAATTTGTGGTGTACTAAATCAAAATTCTTTGAAACAAAAACAAAATCTTAACTTTTTTAAACAAAATTATGATGTGTAACATTACCTATTTTTGGTAAAACTTGATATGTTTACTATTTAGTATTTGTTCTTTATATAGAATCCTAGCTACATGAAAGAGAAATTTCGTGTTGCTGTGGAAACACTTCACATTGCTGATCGAGGTACAATAGATAATGTAAGTTAAAATATCTATGAGATGCTCCTATCATGGGCGTGGGTAAATGGAGGTTTTGGAAAAATAATACTTAATCATGTTTGTTTTGTCAGCAGCAAGCAAAGTCTGGTGATTACAAATACACATTATATTGTATTATACCATTTAATGTGGAAATGTTCTGAAAGCTTTTGGCTTAATGGGAATGGTCTGATTTTCAGAGATAAACATCACATTGCATTTCGAAATAGTACACACATTTGTATTTATTAGAATAACACCGATTGTTAATAAACAAGTACATTATTCCTCTTAATTACAAACGCATCTCAAGTTTTTTCCAATTAAAGAAAAAACTTAATTATAACATTGGCGTTTTTGCTTCTTTGAACTTCAGAATCCTGGGTATATGAAAGACAATTTCTCCATACTCATCGAATCATATCATATTGCTGATCGTGGCAAACAAGACAATGTAAGTTATCAATTTTGAGCTTTTTTTCCAATTTTCTTTGCAGTAAGCTTTTTTTAATTCGTTGCTGTTAACTCGTTGGAAGAGTTGAAATGCTACTTCATATTTTTATGACAAGGTGTCTACTGATTATACAGTCGCACATGTAAGGTTTTTAAATAAGATAAATTATAATTATATAAATTAATAAGGTTTAGATTTTTAATAGTAAAAATAAATTGAAACTTAGCAATTAATTTAAAATTTTCAAACATTCGTTTTGTTATTTCATTCTTGCCTCTTATGAATTTAGGATTGCTAAATTCAATTATATTACAATCATGTGACTTCACGAACTGGAGTGATAAAATATTTTTGGTAGACACCCTGTGATAACACCTGACTAGCAATGATTCACCTTTTTTAAAAGTGGTATGATGCCTATCAGCTCAAGATAAAATTTTCATTTTTGTTTCATTATTTGTTACATAGTATACTTGCATCTCAAAGTAATTTAATTAATCTAGGTGATTGGAATTCTTTATTTCAATTTTGCATGTTTTTGTGTCATTCGTTAATGCACATGTAACCAATTAGTTTAGTAGTGACTTTATTCCAAATTTCTTTCCACACAGTATTTCTGAAGCATAAACTTTAAAAAAAGATCATTCATGGTCGTTTTTTAAATTAATTAATTCAATAAATAAAGGCATTTAACCACTTAGGCCATTTTCTGCCTTGATTTTAATAACAACAGTACACACTGAATGATATATCCGTGACAGGTGGAAATCACGGAACTGCCGTCCCAGAAGGCAGAAGATGTTGAATAATTTTTTTTTCTTTCGGTTTTATTGTTTATTTTTATGACCCGAGGGATATGCAGATGTTGTGTCGCTACCTCCACATCCCTCACAGGTCTAGGGCTTCAATTTTGCCCCACTGAGGTGCTTCCGTCATACGATCAGCCACATGATCTCGCACCCTGCTAATCTTGAGATCCTATGGAGTAGGAATGTTGTCATTGACCCAAATAATATAAAAGAAATTTTGAAAATTGAAAGTTTTAGTTAAAAATCTGGCAAATGATTTAATTTAACTTGACAAATATTTGTTGTAATTTATATTGTAGTCATAACAGCAAGTACTGAGCTATAAGGCCTACCATCAGATGATTTTCAATATTAATAAATAATTATAAGAAAGAAATATCACTGAAATAATGAAATTGGTTTTATTTATTTAAAAAAATTAAATTTTTAATTTACTGATAACTGAATTACATAAGATCAAATCTGCACATTCACATGTCATATACATGTGAGCATAGAGTTAAGCCTACTCTTCTTGTAGTCCCCGGGCAATTCCAGCTTTTTTAATTTACAATAAATTAGCAGCAGGCCTCTAGAATCACCCACCCACAGGGTGTAAGCAGTCTGGAATCAGACCTCGGTTTTTCCATCCCATCCAGCCTCCTCGGGGGTTGGGCTACAAATGCTACTAACAGCTATGTTTTTTAGGTTATGTCAGCCTCCAACACAATCGGTTTCTAAATATAAATCCATACACACTTTCACTCACTTAAGCTGGTCATTCATAGTCTCGACTTGAGAAACACCCACCCAGGGTGTAAGCAGTCTGGAATCAGGCCTCGGTTTTTCCATCCCATCCAGCCTCCTCGGGGGTTGGGCTACAGATGCTACCAACAGCTATGTTTTTTAGGTTACGTCAGCCTCCAATGCAATCGGTTTCTAAATCTAAATCCATTCACACTTTCACTCACTTAAGCTGACCATTCATTGTCTCGACTCGAGAAACACCCACCCCGGGTGCTGGGACCCTTAGTCTTATCCGTCCAGCCACATGGTTGGGTTCTGTGGGGGGGGGGAGTTGCTGTCTACACCTTGGTCAATTCAGCACCCAAAGTATATAATTCCAAACCCTTTCGTACTTATGTTCATTTTTAAATGCATTCACTTCTATTTACACATAATTCACGATATTCCTTCATCAACCTAATTGAGGCTCGAAGTGGTACTCGATATTCCGTCATTGATCCTCTCACATGACACATTCACACTAACAAATATATTGACTCAACACAAACTAGGTATTCACAACTATTATTACTATAAACAATAGAATATCCCTGTTTCCTCGGAACAGGGACCCAAATACTCGCTGCCATGCTCAGGCATAATTCTCAAATAAGGTGGTATTCCTGCACACTCTCTATATGGAACCAAGGAACTGCACCGTTCATGGTCTCTCCCGGATGGAACTGTGCCGAGCCACTTCACTTCATTTTTCATGCCTAAATTATTTTTATCTTATTTATTCGTAATTTGGCCTTATTTCTTCACTTAACAATACTAAAAACATGTTTTTTCCAAACTGATATAAATATGTAAATAATTTTTTGAAAAATGTTTAAAAATGTCATTTTTTGTACATCAGTGTAACATGTAATTATTTTTTAACAAATAATTGCAAGAATACTGTGTTGTGTTATACAATAGTTATTGTATAAAACTAAACAGTGCAATGCTCAAGCTTTATTGACAACACTGGGCCTTGGTTGTATTGAGAAAGAAAAAAAAAATTAACATACACTGAGAGGCAAAGTAAGTGGCCACCCTTGTATTTTGCGTAACGATGTAGCTAAATAAAAAAATTAAACTGAGTAAAACAATTTTACCAAAAATGTTGCTCTGGAAATAAGAAATTATTCATTTAAGTACTGAGTATTTTCTCCTCTTTCAATGATCACCGCTTGCACATGGATTTTATGAGGTTTTGAATGTAGTGCTGTGGTATATTTTCATACTCCCCCCCCCCCAACAGCGCCATTCTTAATTCCTGCAAATTCTCTGACATCATTTTTACCCTCTTTGACATCTCGTCCCAAAGGTGTTTGGTGGAGTTTAAGTCAGGACTACATGCTGGCCACTACAAACATTGAATTGAAGCCCATTTTAAGTAGTCACCAACGATCACCACCAACCTAGCTGTGTGGGGCCAAGCATTGTCATGCATAAAAACAAAACACCAATTAGTGGCATATAAGAAATAACTTATTCTGATAACACATCGTCAATGTACTGTGCAGCTGTTAGGGAACCAAGGGAAAGTTTGTGCGAATGTTCATAGAAATGTCTGCCCAAACCATAACACCACCACTTCCATAGCTTCTACAAAGTGAAAATGTATCGGGGATATGTTGCTCTCCTGTTCTCTGAACCCTCTCTTGGCTGTCATAAAACCTCAACCAAAACTTGGACTCAACCAAAAACAAGATTTTAGCCCAATCTTGCTCAGACCAATTGATGTGATTTCTTGCAAAACTAAACAGAGCTGTTCTGTGCCTTGATGTTCTGGACCAGTGGCAGGTCTTCTCGCATGTAATCCAGCTTCTGAAAGTCTTCACCTTGCAGTAGTGCATAAAATGACTTTAACTAACTTGTTGGAGTTGTTGCTCATTCGCACTCTCACTCACCTAAGCTAGCCATTCAATGGAACCATGCCAAGCTGCATCAGTTCATTGTCGTGCCTGAAATTAGATGGGGGATTCACAACTACTCCAGTCGCTCCAATCCAGTCTTTTGATGAATTGTTCACTTCCTCTCAAAAATCTTTCTGTTACACTACTTGTTTGTACATAAGGAAAACCGAAAAGAAAGCCGTGTAAGCAGTGGCTCCTGAACATAACCAACGTCAACCATGAATTTTATGATAGAACGTGTTGAGTTCTTGTGTTTTTTAATTTCTTTTCGCCCTGGTTGTTGGCAGTCCAGGATCAGAACTCATTCTTGTCCATCCAGTCGAGGTTGGGCTCCAGAGGCTATCAACAGCTAGTTCATTTCAGCCCCCAACACAATCAGTTCTTAAAATCATTCACACTCACAATTTTTAATTTAAATTCTAATGAAGTTTGGAATAGTGCAGTAATTATTAAATTAGTTGTTATTAAACAGACTAATGGAGTTCCTTTTTATTATTTGTAGTTGTGTGTTAATGTGACTAACTGTCAGCATGTCCGCTTATTAACGTAAGATTTGTGTACGGCACCCCTCGGGGATCCCGGGTGTCGGGGTTGTATTTCCAACTTTCCTGGCTATTCCCCTCCTTCCGTGCCCAGTATTTCCTAGGTTGCTTTCTTTTCCAGTCCATCCACACTCGTCGTCCTCCTTATATCATCCAATCCCTCCAATTCAACTCACCCGCTCATCCCCAATCGACCTTATCCTTCCGCAACATACAACCCATACCTTCGAAAGATCCTTTCTGATCCGAGCCCCTAAACTCTGGAACTCCCTTCCCCTATCTATTCGTCACGCTGCCTCCTTCTCCTCATTTAAATCCCATCTTTATAATCACCTCCTCTCCCTCCAAGCAGAGACCTCACGATAACATTTATTATTTTTGTCTTTGTTTAATATACCTCGTAATTTTCTCTTCTGGCCCGCCTTACTGGCATACATTGTGCCACGATTTCTATCTATCTTTTTTTTTTCCTTTTTTTTTTTTAAATTATGTGACTTCATAGAAGGTTATTATATTTTGTTTCATGTAAATTCTTCTAAGGGGACACCAGTCCCAGAATAAAGTTATTTTTCTTCTTCTTCTTCTTCTTCTTATTCATGTACACTTGCATGCAATTTATTTTAAGCCTATTTTTATTTTTTTATTCATTATTTGCATGGCAAATAAAATCTTTTCAGAGATTGACATTAATGCTAAATAGGTAAAATAATCAAATGCAGGAAATTCTATGAAGTATGAAAATAACATGAAGGAATCTAATTAAATACAAACCGTCAACAAAATCGTAAACCGTAATTGTTTTAGACTCTTTGGAATATATTTTTTCTAACACTGAAGTACGTATTGAAATATGGAGTACTCATCTCCATTCTTTTGTATAGTTTAAGAATCCATCATTTTCATTAAATTTCTTATTTAAAAAAAAAAAAAAAAAAAGATTTAGTTTTTGAATTGTTTCACAGTATTCATTAAACAAAATTGTTTAACCATTATAAGCTATAATTATTATTTATAATAATACATTATAGATTTGTTCCATCACACAATCAAACCATCAGCAAAAAACTGGTTGGGCATGCGCAGTTGAATTTGGGAATTCCATCATGCTATTACAAACTCAACTCAAACTATCTATCGGTTGTTCCAATACGTTTTCAGGTTAGATTTGTGACTGATTTTTGACCGTCAAAACAGCCCAGGTATTTTGACTAGTGACCTGGCAATCAGAGACATTTCCTAGCTCTTTCACTCTCGTTAAATTGCAAAGTTCTTATTCACTAGCGACTGGATTTATGTATGAAATAAAATATGTAGATGTGTATATGCATTTATTTGTGAACAAATAAATTATTTGTTTAAAGGCTTAAAAGGCTCTTATTATTTGTTGAGGCATTAAAAACCAGTTCTCAATGGAACATCATGTCGCGTTGGCAGTGAATCAGTGGGTTCACTTTTATAACTCGTGTAGACATGTAGAAAGACAACCTAATTATGAGCGGTTAATGCTTGAAATCCGGATCGTTGTAAACAACAAATCTCTGAGTTGAACTATCATTTATAAAAAGTTTGGGACACATTTTGGCAACTGGTTTGTGATTATGTGTTGGAACAAACCTAATATATTGATTTCATATATTAATTAAACTTGTGTTCATTAATTTACAAATGTATACAAAATCATCTTTAAAAAGGACGTTTTAAAAAAAGTTATTGTTTGTAGTTACTAAATACTACACACGTTTTTTAAATTGGGTTTACGGTTTTAAATTACATCTGATTCCTTCCAAATCATTCTTTCTGTGTGAAGTTTATTATCTTATTATTTAATCTTTTTTATTCGTACTGTAAGGTACATGAGCTCCCACCTGAAAAACTGAAAGTTCGTGAAGTGATCAAAGTCGACGTTGGTAATGATCCTGTCAGTCCTGCGGACTATAAACCAGATGAAGATCCCGCTAAATTTCAATCTGAAAAAACTGGCCGTGGCCCACTCGTCGGAAACTGGCAGGAAAATGTGAGCCTTGATTTAACAAAACAAGTGATGTAGACGGTTTAATTTTGTCTTTTATTTTAATTATTTATAATTTTTTATTTTTAGGTTGAACCTGTCATGACTTGTTATAAATTGGTCACTGTAGAGTTCAAATGGTTTGGACTTCAGTCTCGTATAGAAAGTTTTATTCATAAGTCTGAACGACGGTTATTTACTATTTTTCACAGGTATAATATATTTATAAAATTTGTACATAATTACAGTAATTGGTTTGATAGTTCCTGAGTGGGACACCTTGTCTCTCAAAGAGAATTCCTGGTGTCCTTCCAGGGTTTGCTTTGCCATGGCATGCTACTCTACTCAGGTTCCGCCTTTGGGCGAGGTGGCGGGTTCCGTCAGCCACAGAGCTCTGGTGGGTCATCAGATCTGTATATTTATTTGTATATAAATTTATATATTCTTTACAGTTATGATTACAAACAAAAACAGAAAAAGCAGTCAGTATCGAGGCTCTCAAATTGTTACAGTTAAAATATATATCATAATATGTACATTGATATAAAACATATATAAATATATATCAATAAATAAAAAAATATGCATGGAAAAAAAAACAAGAAAAAATATACAGAGGGCTGGTGATGACCTAAGCTGTTTGTCCGCCCATAAATCTCCCATATTTTATATCCCAATTATTAGGGAGAGAAAAGCTCTCATTGTTAGTTTGAATGACTGAAATATTTTGCTACTGTCAACATGTTTTTCTATTCTTCTAAATTACTTTGGAATGAAAATGTATTAACATTTTGAATCACTGGCTCTTTGGCAGATTCAAATTTGAATGGATTATTTTGACCTTATTTAACAAAACAATTTTAAGTAATGCCTCAGTAAAAAATCACTTTTATTTATTTACAGTGAAACTTCCCTATAATGGACACACTTGGCAAATGAAATAGTGTCCGCTTTTAGGATAAGAGTGAAAAAAAAATGTTCAGCATTACAAAGATGGGCCACAGTTGTGATTACCAAAATATCGACACCTTTGAAACAGCATTGATTTTTAGCCTTTTCTCTGACCAGAGGGTTTTTCAAATTTAAATTTCAGCGAGCATAATTTTGCATAAGAGTAAAGTTAAACATTCCTTTGAAACTTTTCCTCTCACTCATTTTTTAACTGCATAGTTTTATCCAGAAGTGCTCTGAAACAGTGGTATTTTACAAGCCTGAGCACAGCAAAAACATTCAAATACATCCTGACCTATGCCCGAACCAGACGTTTTAGGAAAAAATATGTGGTATTGGTGATTTCCGAATTCATAAAATTTATCTAAAAGTTTCTTTTTATTCTTTAGAATTTCACTTGCCATCAGACTTCCCCATCGAAAACTTCGCAGCCATGTCTCACAGCCATGTCTCACACACTTAGTTTTTCACTTTTACTCTAATTATATTGATATTTTCAAGTGGCAAACACACTGAAAGAAGTACTTAAATATGTTTACACTGTGGCATAATCAAAATCTAGGAATATTTGAAAACAAAGCAAACAGAAGAAATGGTGTTTCTGAGAAAACATTCATTTTCTGGAGGATGCTGTCAGCTTTGGGTTTTAGAATCAGAATATTTACAAAATGGACAAGCTGTCCTTGTCCGGTTGTGAACAAACTATTAAGAAAATGGTGTCTTAATCAAGGGCACCTCACTACAGCAAAGGAAACAGCTTTAACAGTAACTGACAAAGTGAGAGAAAAACTGAACTTTGAAAGAAACTTAGCCCCAAGTTTCAGGAAAAGGCTCTAATATGGTACACAGATGGATCAAAGATGGAAGGGAGTAGGTTGGTATAGGGATAAAAGGGCACGATAGAATCCGTGTGCAAGATTTTATTACATGTGTACATTTTGGGCTAACTGAAGAATCATATTCTGAAGTTTGCAACTTATTGTGTTTCAAGAAAAATATGGCTGCCTTTGGGACATGAAATTAGAGGGCTAGTCGTTACAGCTCTGCTACCACTTAATGACATAATATCGTATGATAAGGAAGCACTGTGAGTTACCTCTATAATATAGGAAAAATTTTGAGCACTTCTTATGGCTTCTTATGGATATTATTAAGTAAGAGTTTTAATGATCAACTTATGATATAAAGAGGCCAAAAAGGAGCAAAAGTTTTATAAATATAGACAGACGGCCAATCAAAATTGACAAAACCACAGAATAATGCCTTTATCTTTTGTGTGGCCGCAAGAGAGAAAAAATATCTTAGGAGGGGGCACAATTCTTGTTCATTGAAAAATTTATTAGGGAAAAATGTACAAGAAATGGTTATTAAAATGAGCACCTCACGTACTCTGTCAAAACGTCAAATCAGGTGGAACGTGACTGAAGTGCAGTCCAAATGGCAGATCTATGATGAACTGGGGATCCAAGTTTGGCGAAAGCAGACGGAGAATTCCCCTCAGATATCCAAGCTTGGTATGTTTTAAGGCAAGCCTCCTTTTGTTTTTCCCCTTCTTCCTTTGATCTATTATATGCCACCAATAGGGAATTATAGAAAAAAATTTCCCTATGCACATATCCTTTTTATAGGGGTTCCACAATAGATCTTGATTTTTAAAATTCTTTATTCAACCCCTCAAACCTAAAAACAAGACATCAGGGAATCATTGTCCGTTCTAGTTAAGTGTTTCAAAGATGTGTCCATTAAGGGAAATTACACTGTATTCCTATAGACAAATATTTTGCTGGATTGATTGATAGTCGCGATCGACCGTTTGAGCACCCCTGGTATAGGCTAACATTAGAAATCTTAAAGCAATTAATAGAGAGAAAAAACTTTATTTGAATGACTGAAATATTTTTACTGGTAGTCCGATTGATTTTCTATTCTACTAAATTGAAAAATTATTAAAATATTAATCACTGCTCGTTGGCACATTCAAATTTAACTGTGAATTATTATTTTGACCTTCACAAACAAAATAATTCTATTGTAACATGCCTCACTGATAACCTTTTTTATTGATTTATAACTATAGACAAGTATTTTGCTGGATCGATCGATGGTATGGGCTAACAATGGAAGATATTAGAGCAATTGAAGAGAGAACCAAAGAAGAACTAGATAGGGTAAAATGAAAATGACATAGAAAAATAAAATATGTTTTATTGTTTTAATTAATTTTATTGATAATTTTTTTACAGCAACGAAATCAAGGTGAAGTTCGTGGAATGAAAGCTGATACAGATTAAAAAGGATCGAGTACAAATGCTATGCTTCCTGTGTGAAATAAATCCACTTGGTGTTCAGTTTAAGTGTCCTCTAATTATATTTTGCCTAAAGACAGGGATAGGGATTTAATTGGTTTTTACAATATTGTTAGTTTCATTAAATTTCAATGCACAATTTAGTGTCAATAAGTTCATTAGAAAAAGCATTATATTTTTATTTGGCTAATGGAAATGTCTTAATGTGAAGTAAAACATAATAAAACCAGTCTACATGTTTATTAAAATAAAATAAAAACCTAACTAATATCTACCAAATATGAGTTAGGCGCATGAAGTTACTTCATAAGTCCATGACGATTTCTATATTTAATTTTTTTTTTTTTAATTTATTCCTCATGATGTGAAGAAATTATTCCATGTAAAGTAAGCATTTACTTGCAGTACGATAATTTTTACCTATTATTCGTTTAGGCATGTTATGTTTATAAGAAATTTTTTTCTTATATTTATTAAGAAATATTTTATAAACTCTGTTAAATTATTAATTTCTTCAGTTACCGAAAGTATTGGTCTTGATTTGTATGTGTATATTGTTAGAAATGAAGATGTAATAATAAATTTGTATATTGTTTGTATAAGATTTTTCTTTTGTTTTAATCTTCTATAGTGACCATTGTAGACACAACATTGTAAACAATGTTAGTTTGGCATGCAAGACTGACTTGTGTTAGTTTTTAGGAATACCTAACTGTGCATGCCATAAATTTATACATTTACTGTGATTTTGTAATAATTATCCCCAGATTTGTAAATCATAATTTTTTTCAGTGTGCAAACTGAATTTTCAACTCTTTATTTTTAATATCCTTTATAAGTTAGTAGAAAGTTTTGTATCTTTGTATTTTGTTTAATCTTAGTTCTGTGATATTACCACAACTTTAAAGCTATTTTTTCTTCTTAATCTCATTAACAATTTCTCAATTTTATGTGGACTGGTTTCTTAATTTATTTTTTTTTAATTCATTCGGTTGTTTATAACAGTTATAAAAAGGATGAAATGGATTAATGATATAAACAAATTTGCCCATTAAATATAAGTAGCCTAGAAATGAAGACATTTATGGCGTTCTAGAAGAATGTCAGATGTCTTTATAGTCAGTAGTGTATTTATAAAGTACCTAGGCATCATGTTCAACTTTACATTTGCAAGTACAGAAATAACATTATTTATTTTATTTTTTTTTAACAATGCGAGCAAATCATTGAAGTGATAAACGCTCTTTTAGTTAATGTTCAATAATTTAAACAACTTAAATGGTAATAAATTGATAACTGTTAGATTAAATTGCCATTACAAAATTATTTTACAGAATTTTTTTTTACTTTATATTCTAGCTCAATGATTAGAAACTACTTAATGCTTGTTACTTTAATATTTATTTAAATTATTTGCAAAAAAAAGTGTAAACCAAAATTTTATGTTAATCTCAATGGTTAATAACTAAAAAGCTATGAAATTTGATTATTTAAATAAAATACAAATAAAAAAAGTGATTTGGATTAAATATTCTGTAAGCGGAATTATCTGTGAATCGCCCTTTTTAGACATATTAAAAATTTTAGAAAAATCAAAAGTATACAAGTGTCATTGAGTATTATTTGTATCTAAAATTTTATTCTAACTCAAGAATTCTCCCAAAATTAAACAATGTAATCCTACACTGTGAACATCTGTGTACTAAATATTTATAATTAATCAATAAATTTATTAATATATTTATTTTAAGATGACTTTTAAAGCTATTCTTAACTAAAAACTACTTCCTCACATAGTTGACGTATTTAGCTTTAATGTTATGAGAATGTTGAAAATTTAAAAAAAAATGTTTTGAATTGTAAAATGTATAGTACGAGATGTGATCAAAAATTGCACTAACCATAAAATATTTCATCTTATACAGGCTTAGAATTTATAGAACATCTCAGGATGTTATAATGTTACGGGTGCAACATGCAATATTAGTACTTAAATAAATAATTTGACTCATCTGATGGATTTAATAAAGCCCCTTTTTTTTCTAATCCCCTTAAACTGTGCCGAATATCGGTAAAATCATGATTCATTTCGGATCGTTAATTACAAAATATCTGTTCTTGATCATTTTTTGATCACATCTAAACTATGGTGAAATTTGTATTTTCACGAGGGAAAAATAAATCAGGCAACATTGATTAAATGTAAAATTACATCCTAATCTGATATAGAAATCTGCATTAATCAGATATATTAAATATATACAAGAAATAGATGAGGTATATAATATGGGGAAAAAAAGTTTTATCTCTTCAAGTGGGTTATACCCACGAATGTTAATAAAATTCAAGTGGAAAGGACAATAATAACATTAAAAAACACGATGTTCTTACCATTATATAAAAAAAGTAGTTGCATGATCATATTTTGATCAAAATGTAATCAATGTTTGTGTTTAGAGTCGTTCAATTGAATAGGAAATTGAACGAATTTAAAATTGTCGCTAGTGATAAATAGGAACGATATTGTAATTATGAATTTAAATGACACAAGAGAGTATATTTATATATACCAATTAATATATTAAATTCCCTATATATTGAAAAAACTAATAAATGAAGCAATAAATGATATATAAATAAATTAACCGTATATTGGCCGTTTTAGGTGCATGATATATTAGGTGGTGGTCTAGTTATACTCATTCAATTCAGATGAAAATATTATTGTGTCCCTCCCTATTACAAATACAATAAATTAATATTGTTTTAAACACATTTGTCATTTTGTATTTAAAACTGGTAGTTGACTTCCTTCCCCCAGAAAATCCAATGAGTAATGCATTTTAAAACAAAATTTTTATTGTTTTTAAAAATTTGACAGCTTATGTGTAAAAGTGCAATCCTGCTTAAATGTTTATTAGGTTTTTTTAAAAATATTATTTAGGTGCAAATTATAAGTTCTTTATTAACTTTTAATTGGCTTAATCAAAACAGTAAAGAGGAACCAGCAAGGTGAGACTCATCACAGCTTAGTGTAAATTAAACTCAAGGAAAATAAAGCCCCATACCCTCCTCAAGCTTCACCTTAAGCTAACCTTAACCTTAATTAAGGCAAGGCCTGAGGAAGATGAAAAGCTCAAACACTTCCCTCTTTTCTATTTCACCCCCAAGTTTATGATTTGTCATGGTCTATCAGTGTAGAGTCTCCTTAGGTTCGGCGGGGTGGTGGATGGTACAAAACATGCTCCTGATATTTAAAACTTATTTCTTTTCTTATAATTATAAGTGAGATTATACATACAAATAAGAGAAGAACTAAAACAGCTGTAATTATAAAAATATCAAAATATGTAAAATTTAATTTCTAGAAAAATTAAATGCTAGAAGGAGCAAATTTTTCAAATGTTGCACGGATTTTTCTTTCTTAAATTAAAATTTCTATAAATAATCCCATCAGACTTAAATGTTAATCTTGAAAGCTTAAGTGATTTTCTGCATTTTAACCAACATTCAACTTGATAATTTACATAGTGTTGGTAAATGTGTATTATAATTAATTAATTTTTAACGAAAGAAGGATGAATTGACCGTCAGGATATCACTAGTATATTCTGGATTAGGGATGCAGTAATAATTTTAATAAAATATAAATCATAATAGAAAAATATTATTTTGTTGCTCTTGCGCAACCTTTTGTTTTAAATGTCTTTAATAATAAGTGTCGATATTATGTTGAAGCTTGTATGTATTTTACATTCTTGGGAACTATAAAGCAATCAGAAGTTGCCAAGCCCTAGTTCTCGACTATTATTGTACCAAGAGGGCTACTAAAGTACTAACAGTAATAATCAGATTACAATTGGGCTACCATAGTCCACTCCCACATTTAATGTAAAACCTCACATCTCAGCTTAAAAGTCCATCCTAGTTCGCGGAATTTGAAGTTGAAAGACCGACGAAATTAGGCTTCTTGAAATCAAACATGGGTGAAGCTTTTAATTCCTTGTGAAGAGACCAGTGTGTAAATGTTTCAACCCATAGTACGCCATCTTCTGGATGCTGTGAGGTAATTTTGGAGAAGAGAGCCGAAAAATGAACATGCCAATTACAAATGTTTTCAAGGGTCAATAAGAAGGAAGATATTTGTTGGATAAAAATTTCCAATGAGCAAAGCAATGAGAAGACTTAATTGTTTCCAGTACTATGTTTCTTGGTTCAGATGAAAGCATCACTTTTATTATGAAAGAGAAATGAAGCTTAAGTGTGTAAACAGACACCAAATAAAAACTTTGCGCAGTGGCAATATCGTAATCAATGAAGTTCTACTGAGATACCATTTATCTAGTTGAAAACTATAACCATGGGTATTATAGGCAGGTCATCAAAAATAAATCAAAATGGTAATGCTAGTGCTAAAATACAAATGCTAAATAAAAGTGAAATAAAATACATAAAAAAAGAAGAGAGACATGGATATAGACCTAAATGGGGAAAAACTATGAAGGATTATTTTTGTGTAATTGCAAGTTTGCTTTTTTGACTGTAGTTCAGTGGGTATTGGGTCGTTACAATTTAGCTTGGAATGATGGTTTTCTCAATGAAAAGTTTGATGTGGCGATTTTGTTGATTTAACAAGATAACTTGACCGACAGGTGTTTTTGTTTTAAATATCAAAATGTTCAACTAAAAAAGTCGTTAATTATCAAGGGCGACGAGTTTTTTCATTTGCACCAATGTTTTAGATGTACGCGTGAACCGGATGCGTGCCATCTGCCAGTTGTCGAATGGGTCGAGCGGACACACCCTCTTAGCAACGGTCGCCAAAAGGGGTCCAATTTCCCCCCTTTTGCAAATAAGGGGACCAAAGCGTGAAAACCCGATTGACCAAAAAAGAAAAAGTTACAATTATTAAACAAAAAAGGTTGTTTTGGTCGGGGGGGAGGGTGGCGTTCGGGCGTTCCGTGCGGCGGAGTGTCGTGCCGTCTCCCTCTCCACGGCCCCACCACCGCCCGGCGGTTTCCCGTCTCCCTACATCTTCGCATGCGAGGCGCCATTTTCCTATCGGCTCTCATACACCAGTCGCCTATCAGAGCGGATCCATCTATCGAACCGGCCCTCGGCAATAATCAGAATCGGATTGCAGTTTGTGTCGCCTCGGCTGGCAGAAGCGTACGGACCGTCTCAGCCGACCAACAGAAGAAACTCGGTTTATCGACGAAGCTTTCCGCCCTGAGAAAATAAAATCAGCGGAAAAACGTCACTTTTTCATCCTCCATCCGAAATTCGCGTTCGCCTTCAGCCTCGAACCTCGGGGAACGTAGCACCTCAGCCGAGATGAGCACCCCGGTGAAAAAAGTACCCATCCACCTCCAGGTAGGTTTTTTTTTTATCGATCTTTCTTATTGCGTCTGTTATTCAATTGATTTCCATCTTTTCCGTTGTGCCAGGACGATGACCCACCCGCCCCCTCAACCCTTTTATCCGCCGCGTCGCAATCCGAAGGGTTTGTTTACCAACCAATCTCCTTAATAAGACCTTCCCTCCCCCCTTAACCGTCTTCAGTTTATTCTCTTGTTGTTCCCTTTGGGGATTATAAAACCGGCGCGATGATGAAAACTTAATCCGGTCCAAACGTTGGCATAAACGGAAAAAGGCTTACTGCACGTTCATTGAAATTCTCTGAACGATCCACTGGTTTCCTTTTCGGCACATCATACCATTGTCTGCCGGGAAAGGATAGGCCCTTTTCCGATGGTCGATTTCCTTGATGGGCCACTCCTAACTGACAACGTGCACATGGGTTTGTTCAGAAGGAAGAGAGGAAAAGAAAAAAACATCTCTGAAAAGATCTGGCCGTAACTTGTCTATAATCACCGAGAGAAAACCCTTTTCAAATACGATAACGTTATATAGTAATTAGGAGACACATCTCAGGAACGATATACGGTAGTTACGTGCAGTGATTAAAAAAATTAATGAAAAGCAAAGGAAAACCTCTTTTTTAAAATTTATTTTAAGAATGATACATGCACCATATGTATGTAAGAGTGGGACATCTCAAGAACGATATTAAACGGCCATTTAGCTAAATCTGAAAAACGAAAGCTTTTGATTATCTGGAATATTTGACCCATCAGAATACAACGGAGGAAATTTCATTTCTAAGCGAGCAATGATTAGAAAAATTAATGAAAAACAAAGGAAAACCTCTTTTTTAAAATTTTTTTAAGAATGATACATGCACCATATGTATGTAAGAGTGGGACATCTCAAGAACAATATTAAACGGTCATTTAGCCAAATCTGAAAAACGAAAGCTTTTGATTTTCTGGAATATTTGACCCATCAGAAAACAACGGAGGAAATTTTATTTCTAAGCGAGCAATGATTAGAAAAATTAATGAAAAACAAAGGAAAACCTCTTTTTTAATTTATTTTAAGAATGATAATGCACATATGTATTTAAGAGTGGGACATCTCAAGAACGATATTAAACGGTCATTTAGCTTAATCTGGAAAACGAAAGCTTTTCATTATATCCACTAATTTCGTGGTCCGCTTGACCAATTAATATATTACAATTATCTCAACTAAAAACCTTAATTAATTGCTTTTCATTATCTGGAATATTTGGCCCATCAGTAAATAACTGAGGAAATTTCATTGTAAGGGAGCAATAATTAGAAAAATTAATGATTAAACAAAGGAAAACTTTTTTTAAAAAGAAATATACGTATGTACATACACATGTATGTAAGAGTTGGATAACATCTAAGGAACAATGTTATTCGGTCTTTTAGCTAAATCTGGAAAACGAAAGCTTTTGATTATCTACCCATCAGAAAACAACGGAGGAAATTTCATTTCTAAGCGAGCAATGATTAGAATAATTAATGGAAAACAAAAGAAAACCTCTTTTTTAAAATTTATTTTAAGAATGATACATGCACATATGTATGTAAGAGTGGGACATCTCAAGAACGATATTAAACGGTCATTTAGCTAAATCTGGAAAGCTTTTCATTGTCTGGAATATTTGATCCATCAAGTAAATAACGGAGGAAATTTCATTTTTAAGAGTGCAATGATCAGAAAAATGTAAAACAGAGGAAAGCCTCTTCAGAAAAGTGGGAAAACAATCTCATAAACGATATAGTCGTGTCATAGCTGTAATAGGAACAACGAAGCTGTTTATCTGGAACATTTGTCGCATGTGTAAAATAAAGAAGGAATTTTCGGTTGGTTCGCTAATGATAACGCAGATAACTGGAGAACGTCCTAAGAATCACCTAATTTTATTAAATTCAGTAAAACAACCGAGTAAAACGAGGAAGCGGTGACTATGTTAATTGAGACGTTTATTTTTTCAATGAAACAGAATTTGACTTTTTCTTACAATAACAACGTTCAATTACTTATTCTTTGTTATTTACAAGTAGGTTGGTGACTCAATATTACTTTATCACCCTTTCTTTTTAGGATGTAAATTCTATTTTTCCCTTGATGTGTACATGTTGCAGTTCCTTCATTATTTCATACTCGTACAAATTGTTCATCGGAAGCTTAAAGTTTTCGCTTATCTCTTGCCGTTTTTTCTACTTTATTGAGTATATGTACATATCGTTTCTAAATCTCTTTTCTTTACCTATCCTTTGTTGTTACTGATAAGATATATTGTGAGTGATATATTTTGATTTGTTTGATAAAAGGCACTTTTCTGACCGGCTGTAGAAGAAGAAGAAGAAAAAGTAAATTTATTGAACTTACATTTTCGTTTTTACAATTAAATTTACAAACGATAATCCGGGTTGGTGGTTTTTCATCTGATAATTGTACATACATCGTAAATAAAAACAGAAGAAAATGATAGTTATTATAACGATATATACTATATTCACTTTGTAGGTATACTTCGTTTTTAACTTACAAGTAAAATCGTGCAAGTTTTACCATAAGTAATAAGTTATTTAATTAAAATAAATAAATTAATAATAATAACAATAATTTATCTATGTTTTAATTTTCTTAAATAAGAGTATTAACAAATAAATAAGAGTATTAACAAATAAATAATATGAAACACGTGGACTTACATTAGCTTGCAAGTAAAATCGTTAATGTTTTAATGTCCCTAATAACAAATCTTTTCATTCAAACAAAATATTCATTTTTTTAAACAATCTACTAACAATAATGACATAGTAACAATAACATGAAATAGACAAAGCAATATCAAATAACATTAGATGTAAGGTATATTGGGAGGATTGCTGTTCTTATTGTTTATACTTTTTTTAATCAATAATTTTATTTGCAAAACACCGCTTAAGTCTATCTTCGGGGCCATTTAGAACCTGCAACACATATTCGAGGTGGAGTCCCAATGAAAATTGAAATATCGGCGCTCGTCCTGTTTCCAAAAGTGGTATATAATTCGGTGTATTAGATGGTACAGCGAATAACTTTAAAAAAAAGAAAGGTTGTACTTTTTCTAATTTTTTTGTAGGCATTAAACCCCCCCCCACACCTGCGCTCCGTAACAAAGTGTGGACTTTGAACCTCTTATGTACTTAAAACTTATCAACGATTGGGGTATATCGTTCTTTAATATGTGATTTCACTAGATACAGTTTATGCCAAATGTCCCTTGCGTTATATTTTATCAGTATTCCTCCTACCAGTGCCCCATGCAGGTCATTCAAAAAGACCGAAAATTTCATTTTTAAGCTTGCAATGATTAGAAAAATTAACAAAAAACAGAGGAAAACCCCATTTTTTAAAATTTATTTTGAGAACGATACATACACATATGTACGTAAGAAAGGTACAACGTCTCAGGAACGATGTTGTACGGTCATTTAGCTAATCGGGAAAACGAAAGCTTTTCATTATCTGGAATATTTGACCCCTCTGTAAAATAACGAAAGAAATTCCATTTTTAAGATTGCAATGTTTAGATAAATTAGTGAAAAACAGGGTAAAACCTCATTTTTTAAAATTTATTGTGAGAAAGATACGTACACACATGTATGCAAGAGTGGGACATCTCAGGAACGATATTATACGGTCATTTAGCTAAATCTGGAATACGAAAGTTTTTGATAATCTGGAATATTTGACCCATCTGTAAATAACGGAGGAAATTTCATTTCTAAGCGTGCAATGATTAGAAAAATGAATGAAAAACAGAGGAAAATCTATTATATTTATTTTATTAAATTTAGTATAATGAAATATTTAAATAAAAAGTAAATTTAATCTTAAAGAATTGCCAAAAATAAAAATTAAGAATAATATTCCTTACTGTACAAAAATTAAAATGTTAGGTGCAAGTGATGTAACAAGTTACATTGGAATGAGCAGGTATTAATTTTAAGATTATTGTTTGATCGTGAGATGTAGGTTTAGAAAAACATTTTCTTTATTGTGCCAACGTTTCGATCTTTATTTAGATCATCTTCAGGGCCTGGGATTTACAAACATTGTTTGGATTATACAAATACATTTAAGATGTGAAAACGAAGTTGTATAAATCTCACGATCTCCAGATCTCCAAATAATCATTAATTGATGGTCACTAAATACTGCACATTAAATTCAAGGATGAAAAAATATCTGTCAACAAAGTTTTAACGTATATAGATAAAAATATATATAGATAAAAAAAACACTCTTCCTAACACTCATAAAAGTCTGGCATTACTACCCCACTGAATAAAACATTACAGAAACTACAAAATAAATGTAATATATTTAAATTAAACATAAAAACGGATGGTGGAATAGATGATAAATTTAAAGTTTTTAATGTATTATAAATTGAAGAACTAAAAACTTATTCAATTATAAGTATTGTACAAAAAAGTTTTCTATGTGAAGAACCAATATATTTTTTTTAAACAATTAGTAAAAGATGTATGTAATACTGATCTTAGAAGTAATTATTTTCGACTTACTGTTCCTTGCCACAAATCTGAAGCGTGTGCAAAATCATTTAATGCAAATAGAAAGCGTTGTATTATATAATAATTTATATAATGACTAATGATTAAAAAAATATATGGTAAACAAGATTTAAAAATAGTTATCTTACTGATATATGAACAACATAATATAATCATTTTAATAATATAAAAACATTAAATAAAAAATAAAATAAACATAAGCACAATATTTATTATTTTCTCTATTGCATTACTACTTATTACTTTATTTTTAAGACTGAATTCAATAGCTTTATTTTTGTTAATTAAATTATGTGAATATTTTTTATTAATTTATTTTAAAATTTATAAATGTAATAAATGTAAGATGTAAACAAAACATAGTATTTTATATTTGGTTTCGATCATTGTAAAAAGTCGTTGGATGTAAGAGTAGAAAAATTGGACTAAATCACTGCGACTATAAATAAATAAAGCATTCATTAAACAATCTCTGACGAACTCACTCATTCTCTTTCTCGCTCTCTCTCACTTTCAGTCTCTCATTTTCAATCTTTCTCTCTCTCTCTCACTCACTCACTCNTCACTCTCTCTCTCTCTCACTCTCTCTCTCTCTCACTCTCTCTCTCACTCACTCACTCACTCACTCACTCACTCACTCACTCACTCACTCACTCACTCTCAGTTTGAATCTCTCACTCTTTTTCTCTTTCCCGTCTCTCCTCCTCTCCCTCTCTCCATCTTCCTCTTATATAAATATGATAACATTAGGTATAGATTTAGTAGACATTATAATTCTTTATTTGTTTTTATAATCATGGACCAGTTAGCAATATCGAAAATCACGTTTACGTACATAGTGAGTTCCCCGCATAAGATCGGCATCACAGTTTCTCTATGTCTATTTTTTTAAATACTTCATCCAGCACATATATAAAGGAAACACTGAAAGTTGCTTAAAACATTATTACAAGCTTTCAGTGGAAGTAAATAAGAAAAAATATATTTATGTTCAAATTCTTTTAAAAGTACAACAGCTATCATGTACACGTGTGTGTATGTATAAATTATAAAAAAATCTTTCTTAAATATGATAACATTTTATTTAAAAAATGGTGAGAAATAGAAAACCTTTTGGGAACGATACAAGTGAGTTTATATATATTTCCATGTATGATGTATCAAATAGAAATTATAGAAAGAACATTTTTTTTCAGAAACGATGCTTACATGTAACATAATCTCAAATGGTAAAAAACTTTCTTCTTTTCAAAAACTTTCTCTGTGGCAATTAAATAGTTTCTTCGACCTTCTTGGCGTTTGCAACACCGGTTCTTAGGTTCTCAGGCGAAAAAAAAGAAAGTTAAAAGAAGCGATTTAAACATCATCTGAGTCAAATTAGACTGCATTGCAGTCTAGTTTCCCATAGAGTATAACTATTTCACCATTGCCAATATATTCAACTATTTCCCTCCGTCTATAATAGAGTTTTCTAGTTTTCCAAGAGAGTTTTTTAGTTTAGAAGAGAGTCGGTGTAATTAGTAAACACTCTTTATTAATTAAGGGCACGTCTGACTTCCTCTTTCACTCAATTAATAGCACAGTTACCTTTCTCTTCTCATAAATTACCAATTAAAGCATTCACGATCAAATGGGCCTTTTTCATCGTTTAAATTTAAACAAACTTGATAAAAAAAACCTCGAGTATCAGGCAATTGAACTTTAACGAAACAATAACCGGTGGGGATTTTATAACATAAATATTCCTTTGGGTGTAACCGAACACCACTGGAGGAGAAAAAAAAAGAAAGTTTCATATTCGTATAAGCTTTAAAAATAAGTAGTGGACTGAAAAAAACAAATAAATAAAAGAGAGAGAAATAAATGATAATGATGGGTGATTCATATTTATCACGAACCGATGTAAATAACGACTCGATTCTCCTTGGCTTGTGTCAAGGACGAAAGAGAACCGGTGTTTAACTAACTCATTAACTTTAGATATCACGAACATCTTTAAATACGTCAAAACAATTAAAAAACACCACAAAAAGGAAAATTTTAATTAAAAAAATAAAGAAAAAAAATGCAAAAACAACGGTCCATCTTCCCGCAATTCCTTTCAACAGGAAGTAAAAGAATGAAGAGTGGGATGGGTACAACGACCGGCAAAACAAACTGTACCGTAGATAGCTCGAGTTCTGAACTTAATTAAAAAATGATCATAAATGATCAATGTGGTGACGACAGTAATTTTTTAATATATTAACTTTTCCCCTTGCTATACGTTATCAATTGGTTTTATCGATTTAATTATACATTTAGTGTTTTGTAAATAGTCATTATCTGTATCGTGTTTGCATCTCATGTGTATTCTCTCTCCTTTTTTTTCCCTAAGAGGCAAATAAAAGGGGTAAAATGATTCACAAATCAGGGAAAACCTCTTGAAAACGATATGTGATTATAATCGAAAAACAAAAGAAAAAAAAATTCTATATAACTATGAACTTATCAAAAATCGGGAGAAAACTTTTCAGAAACGACCATGAAAGAATCCAGGAACTTACTTTATATATTCGAAAACCACGTACAAAACATTTTTTGTGTAGTTTAAACCAAAAATGTGGGAGGACCCTTCGAAAACGTTATTTGCTTATAACGGAAAAGCTTTTTAAAGATGATTTGTACTTTAAAATTAAAAAATACTCGTTGCAAAAACTTCTCAGAAACTTTTTTTACATGTAATCACACAACGGGGGAGGGAAGAGGTATCTGTAAAGTTATTTGCTTATAATCTATGAATTGGAGTTCAAAAAACTTGCCAGAAATTATGTACTTATAATCTCAAAACAGGGGGGGGGGACGGTTCAGAAATGTTATTATTCTTATATGTAATGGAAAAACACGATTTCTTCTACTTTAAAATCGAAAAAAACAGGTTATCACAAAATTTCTCTGAAACTTATAATCACAAAATCTGGGGGGATTCCGAACGTTATTTTCTTATAATCAAAAATTGATTAAAAACATCTCAGAAACTTTCTGTACTTATAATCACAAAACTGGGGTGGAGGGGTCCTTTCAAAAAAGTTATTTTCTTATATGTAATGGAAAAACGTTTTAGAAACATTAAATAGGGGGGGTCATATAAACTTATCATTGTGTATGTGTATTCACACATAATGGGGAGGACCTTTTAGAAATGTTATTTGCTTATAATAGAAAAAACATTCCAGAAACGAAATGTGCTTATGATCAATAAATTGGGGGTCAAAAAACTTAAAGAAACTTTGTGTACTTGTAATCACAAAATCAAGGTGGGGGTACCTTTCTGAAAAGTTACTTGCTTATAATGGAAATACATTTTAGAAACGTTTTTTATTTATAATTAATTAATAAAAGCAAAAAGCTTTTCAGAAACTTTGTGTATATGTAATCGCAAAATATGAAGGGGTAATAGCAAAACGGGGGGGGAGCACAAAACTTCTCAGAAACTTTGTGTACTAACCCTTGACACATAAAATTTTATTTATCTAGTGTCTTATGGGCCAAAAAGTTTTGATCTAACTCGGGATGGGTGTAGGGCTTGACTATTACTTCAAATGGCAGGATAGCCATATATGTAAATTCTTTGAAAGATTTTTTTGTTGCTGAATTCAACAGTACAAATGGTTTTTAGTTAGGAGCAACCATTCTAAGGTTATTTGCAAAAAATATTTCTGAACATCGCTTTCTAGAAAAAAAATCATTTACAACATCTTAGACCAAGAACTACTTTGTTTATTATTTAAGAGATAGAAAATTGATTGCTCTCTCTCCTCTCTCTCTCCTCTCTCTCTCCTCTCTCTCTCTCTCTCTCCTCTCTCTCTCTCTCTCTCTCTCTCTCTCCATTGCACTCCATAAGAAGGTGATCCACATAATATTAAAGCGAAAGAGATACTCCGCCAATTTGCCATGTCCTGTCAGGATTTGAGTAAGCCTGTAGTCCATTCGCAGGTGGCTCATCTGTAAACGGCATGAGACAGAAAAGAATTCCCTGGTCAGTTGTCCCTGGATAGAGTTACAACAATTTTCATCCCACCTAGCCAAGCTGTGTTGATTCAGCCATCTCTTAACTGCAGATAGAGAGACCTTTGAATATGCAAATAGCAAATCTTTGTTTTGGGAAGCCGCCTTAGCCATTTGGTCAGCGATCTCATTTCCCGCTGCGCGCGCATGTGTGTGTGTGTGAAATAAAAACTTAACAACAATTTTCTTAAATGACATAAATTAACAGCAAACTTTGGCAGTAGCTCATTAAAGTGCCTGGTGCAAATTTCGGGTTACGAAATTTGAGGGAATGGTTAAAATTATCTTGATGATTGCCAATCTTTGTAAGAAGAAGGCACTTTAAGAAGAAGAATATTAATGTATATATTTCAAAAGCAGAGAACTAAAGACCACTCTTATGCTATGTAAATGTATATATCCAAACATTAGATATTGAAAACTTTTTATTTGTACTCAAGGTAGTACTAGGACTATCAGAGTTTGTAATAAGCATAAACTTTGTAACCTTACAATTTTTTGCGGTCATTTTCATACACATAATAAAATACTGGAACATTTTTTCCAGTATGATTTATTAGTAAAGAAAGAGAAGACAAATTTCTAAGAAATGATTGTATATATAATCACAATACAGTCGGAGGGTGAAAACATTTGAATCAATTATGTTATTATATATAAAAAACTGTCCTATCCATTTCTATTTTATTTTACATAGTTCAACATGTATGGGAAGCTGACCGATTCTTTTCCAGAGCTCTACATTGCTTTGCTCAGAGCGCCATATTCCGAGAATCCACTGCAGGCAGAGGTTTATAAAAACCTGGAGAATGCTTGCCACAGTTTTGGTGGCTTTCTAAGTCTCAGATCCAAAAAACAGGATGGACTTGACAGTGTTTGAAAGCGTTTGTTGAAACCGCCTGTAGATGGTTTCGTTTATCCATATTGGATATAATTGTATAAATACACAATTGGCTTTCCTAATTCTAATCTTCACATTGTCCTCAGTACCTCCAAATGTTGACACCTACACCTACATTGGCTGTAATGTTTAGGGCCATTATTTTGGCCTGCTGGTCGTTTATCCTTGGCCTTAAATGCTGAATTTATAATTATAGTGCAAGCAACAAAAAAAAAGCTTTATTTTGTTTTCTACACTCATCACCTTTCATTATTGTCCTATCCGCCATTATGTCCATGTCTAATTGTACAGTTAATAAATAATTTAAACAAAAACCTAGTCAAAGCTGATTTATTCTTGATATTTTTGATTTATTGCAGAGTTCACAAAATCGATTGCTTTTAAAGCATGGGAAGGTGGTTAATGCTGATGGCATCCAGGATGCCGATGTGTTCATTGAAGATGGATTAATTAAGTAATTACAAATTATATTTATTGGTTATGTCTTAATGTTCAGTTAAAAAAAAGTTTTCAATTTTAGGGAAATAGGAAAAAACCTAATTATACCTGGTGGTACTAGAGTGCTCGATGTCCGTGGCATGTATATTATGCCAGGTAAGTTTAAAAAAATAAAATATATCTTCTGATTTTGCTAATTTTACAGTAAGTTTGAATTAAGATGAATTTTAGCTTTTTTTTAATCCATTTGCGTTCAAAATAAGGGTAATAAAATAATAATTGTATAAAGCAATAAAATGCGATTAATATTAGCAAAAACATGTTCAATGCCTTGAACATATATTGTTTTCTGAAATGTCACATGTGTGAAGGCATGGGGTTCAATATCTCTGTTTTTATGCAGAAACTTACATACTCTTCAAAAGATCAGTCAATGCCATTAAGGATGTGTGTTTGAGGTAGTTTTTCTAAACACCTTTTTCATTTTTTTGTCGATGTCTTTATATGGGTCATCTTCAGGGCCTGGGTGAATTACAAAACATGTTGATTGGAATAAATACAATGCAGATGTAAATATAAACTTTGAACCAAGTTTTCATACTTAATAAAATGTGGTGCTATTCTTGTGGTGTCATATTGGTGTTGTGTGAAATTGTTGTGTGATGTGAATTTGTATTCTGCTGTTTTTATATGATTGTGACAGATTTCCAAGATTTACCACATCCCCCACCCTCACCCTCTCACAATCATATAAAAACAGCAGAATACAAATTCACGTTTCACTGCAATTTCCCACAACACCAATATGACACCACAAGATTAGCACCACTCTTTATGTGAATATGAAATACTTGATTCAAAGTGTATACTTATTTTTTCCAATCAACATATGTTTTATAATTGACCCAGGCTCAGAACCTGAACCGAATAAATGTCGAAATATCGGCAAAAAAATGAAAAAGGTATTTTCTTAAAATACCTCATTCTTGACCACTCCTCACGAATCCAACAAGTCATTAAGGATATTGATTCTCTCCGTACATAGACAAATCAAATTTGAGCAATTTACTTAGAATTAAATTGAATCCAAATAATATAAAACTTTTTTCAGTTTGTACAAATCATGTTTTATTCTTTTGTCTTTGTCGGTTTGTTTTGGCTCTTATTCAAGTAATCCGCTTCGTACTGGTTGACAATTGACTAGTAATCACTAAATAAGTAATTCCAGGTCAAATTTAATACCTAACGACTGTTATTTCAGGTGGCATTGATCCTCATACTCACTTACAATATGAATTTATGAATACTGTGACGGCTGATGACTTTTATCAAGGGACGAAAGCAGCAATTGCTGGTGGCACCACTATGATTTGTAAGCTTTTTTGTATTTGGTAACTATTATAAATAGTAATTTAATGTTTGAGTTACTTTGAGATTTTATAATTGTATGTTTATTATGAAGATAATAATGTAAATATGTAATGCAAAGTCAGTCATTAGGCAAAAAGTATGTTAATTAATAAGTTAGGGATGGTTGGATGATTAATTAGAATTTAATTACTTTAATGAGTTCATTAAACTTTGATCTACTTAAAGAGATGAGCATAACAAACATTGCTTTACAACAAGGAATAATGAATGTTGTTTAATTTTTTTTCATTTTTATGTATGTGTAGTTTTTTAATTATTTTGATAAGATTTACTATTATTTTATTATTTTTTAGTTGACTTCGCTCTACCTTCCAAAGGTGAGTCTTTACTTGATGCTTATGAAAAAGTGCGAAACAATGCTGATGGCAAGGCTTGCTGCGACTACTCATTGCATGTTGGTGTAACATGGTGGTCTGACAAGGTTAGATAAAATTAGTATTAATTTTTTATAAAACATAAATATGGTTTTTTGTTATTTATTAAATACATTTTTTATTTAAAAAAATCAAGTGTTGAGATAACTATCCATTGTGACAATAATTGATTGTTTTTTACAAAAATATTTGGAGATATCAAATGCAATTGGTAAAATGAAAATCAGTAAAGCCACTGGGATCGATGGCTAGCTGGAAGAGCTATTTGGCAAAAGATATTCTATAAAGTACTCCGTAACTTAATTATATCCATATGTTGCAACAATGGAAGAAGACAATCTTGTGCCCAATACACAAAAAAAGGGGATCAACTGGAGTATTCAAATTACAGAAGCATTTCACTTCTGTCATTTCACATGTGCACATAAAGTTTTTTGAATCCTCTTTAACTAGCCTAGCTCACCCCCATAGCGAACAGACGAAGTGGAAAGTATAAGGCAGACTTTAGGAAAAATAACAACACCAGATATTCTCCTTTTGGTTGATTCTTGAAAGCGGGATTGAATTCTGGCCCACACCTTTTTATAGATTTTAAAAGCACTTATGATAGCGTCATAAGCCCAAGACTGTAAGAGGCAATGCAAGAAATGAATGTACCATCCACGCTCATTAGGTTGGTAAAAACGATGATATGTCATGAGTAGTCAGGCTGATGCATTCCCTGATTTCGAGACAGATAAAAGGACTGAGGCAAGACGACTCTAGCCTACCTCCTGTTTAACATAACTCTAGATTAATTGGTAATCAAACTCTCCAAATCCATACAGCTATTTTATGCAGATGATATATACATCATAGCATTCCCAGAAATAAAGGATGTTTTCCTTACTTTACAGAAAGTAGCCTTAACCGTGGGTCATTAATGAGGGAAGACCTATATGTAGGAATTGGTAATGGCCCACTGAGAGATGGACTCTAACTACTTTAAGGGAACAAATTTATCTATCTTTGCTCTCAAATTACCTCTTTTAATAACATCACCCAGGAAATCAGCAGGAGAAACACAGCTGCTAATAATAGCTATTTTGGCCTTTTGAAATATATGAAAAGAAGCTAATCTCCAGAAACATGCAAATCAGATAAAACACTTGTCCACCTAGTACTGACTGTTTCTAAAACTTGGACCATCCCCAAGACAGATAAAAAGAATCTCTTGATCTCTGAAAATTTGAAAAATTTTCAGTACCATAAAAGAAAGGGACGGATGGTGAAGTACGAATAAGATATATTATCTTCAGAAAAAAAGTGAACGCCATGAAGTTATCAGGACTTGGGGGAAGAGGACAACTAGACACGAGTAGAAAGGTTAGAAGGCCTAAGCTTAGGTGTTTTGATGATGTACGCAACATTGCGACTTTATTCTAAGATCTCACAGCTGGAAGGCAGCCACAAATGACAGTAACTTCTGGCATAAACTTACCATGGAGGCCAGTGCCCACAAACGTCGTAACATCCTTAAGATAGATGACATAATATTAAATGAAAAATGAAAATGCTGAACTGATTTTTAGTATATTGCTAGAAATGTTTTTAGTTAACATTGCAATTTTATTCTTAGGTAATGGAAGAAATGGAAGCACTGTGCAACAACAATGGAGTCAATTCTTTTAAAATGTTCATGACGTACAAAGACTTATTTATGCTAAATGACAGTGAGCTATATAACGCTTTTGCAAAATGCAAAGAACTTGGAGCAGTGCCTATGGTTCATGCAGAAAATGGTCACATTATCGCAGAAGTAAGTCATTTTTCATTTTGAGAATGTTCAGCTCATATACATCACACATCTTGCATTGAATTAGCTATTCAAAAGCTTAACCCGTGCTCTTCCCTCTTGGCAGGGATGTACAAATTGTACACTAGCTCACTTTACATATATAGCTTCAGTCAGCTTAAAGCTTTAATTACAAGAGAAAAAAATTGATCAAAATTTTATTATTACTGGTTCAATTTTCTGCCCAACAGAAAGTAGGAATCAGTATTAACAATAATTGAAAATAAATTTTAGATTCATACCAAACTATAATTCTTTATATAAAAAGTGTGGTGATTAGTGACAGTTAGTCTATGATTATTTGGAAATCATGAGATGCGGTCTGGTGTGACGTTCGTTTCAGAAAAACATTTTCTTTATCGTGCCAATTTTTCGATCTTTATTGAAATCATCTTCAGGGCCTGTGATTTACAAACACATCCATCAAAAAACACGTTCATAACGATGGTTCGACACTGCTGTGTTAACGCATATTTTACATACAACAATTAATTTTACAAACAATTATTTGGCATAGCCATGGGTAGTAATCTAGGCCTGATACTTGCAGACATAATTATGACACATCTAACAAACACAGTTATACCACAACTTCCTTTCATATTACTCTTCCTCAGTAAATATGTAGACGATATACTGACAACAGTTCCCACAGATCAAATTCAAACTACATTAGATACATTTAATAGCTTTCACCCATGCCTACAATTCTCACATGATATCGAAAACAACAAAACAATACCATTTTTAGATACACTCGTAATAAAACAACCAGATGGCACAATCACAGATTGGTATCAAAAACCAAGAAACACATATCGCTACCTCAACTTTACATCTCACCATCCTCTTCATACAATAATAAACACGGCCAAAGGGTTACTTCACAGAATTATTACCCTAAGCCATGAATCATTTCACCACAAGAACATAAAGATAAACAAACAGATCCTCCATAACAATCACTACTACCCTAAACACATAATCAACAGAATAATCAACAATTACAACTCAACACTAACACCATCCACTAGTACTAATAATACTACATCAACTCTATCAAATACAGACAAACCAACATACATTTCCATGCCATTCATTCACGGCCTATCACATAAATTAAACACATTTCTCTCGCCCAATAACTTTAAAATAGCTTTCAAAAATTATAAAACAATTCAAACACTTTTTTCCAAAATTAAAGATCCCACGCCAATAACAAATAAATCTGATGTAATCTACAAAATCATTTGTTTAAACTGTCTGGCAACTTACATCGGTCTTACATCCCAATATCTCGATAACAGAGTAAAACAACATATCTATGATTGCAAAAAACCCAAGGAAATCCTACAGCACTCGCTACCCACCATTTTGAACATAAACACAATTTCGACTTCAACAATCCAAAAATATTACACACAGAACAAAGCAAACATAAATGTAATTTTTTAGAAATGGTTTACATCAACAGAGATAAACACAGTATCAATTACAGAACAGACACATATAAACTCAGTTGCAGCTACGCCAATATCATTAATCAAATTCAATATCGATAACATACATGTATCATCACATCGCACAAAACATATAATACAACATATAAAACAATCATCACATTCCACACATCAAACATTTTTACATAGTCTAATTTTTCAACAATTTAGCTTTCCTTTTTCTAATTATCCCCGTCTATATAATCCTGAAAGTATAATCTGGCTGAACCATTACCAACGTTTTTTCCCTTCGTCGGCTCTTTTCATCTCAAAGAAACCGACTCCTTATACAAAAATGTCTTTTCTATACCCACTTCCTTCCCCACCCCTTCAAAATCCAACATATATAAACATAAAACAGCAATATCTCACTGGCACTCTCAACACGACACACAAAAATGGCACAATTGCGCAGAAAACAAACACTTTGAGTGAGTAGAAACACTTTGATTGAATAAAAAATTTTTTTTTTTTTGCATTGTATAAATTCACTTTTTTCCACACCCTACATGTATTTGTTAAATTTAGACAATGTTTGTAAATCCCAGGCCCTGAAGATGGTCTCAATAAAGATCGAAACGTTGGCACGACAAAGAAAATTTTTTCTGAAACCTACGTCACATTAGGACCGCATCTCACGGTTTCCAAATAATCATAAAAAAAGGTGAAGGTATTTCAGTGCATGTTTTTTTAAATTTACAAAATATACAATTGTTTGATAAATAATGCATTACTTTTTGTTGCATAATAAGAAATTTGAATTTCAAAACTATACCTTTTCTTTATATCTAAAATTTATTAACAGACAACTGTGTATTTGCTATATTTTTATTATTTATTGTATTGTTAAAATTAGTTCATGTATTATCTTATATCTTTTATTACTATTTTTCCTTTATATTTGATGTAAAATTGTTCGCATTTAATTTCAACTGTATTACACATTAAAAAAAAAATGTTCCAAGACACACCAAACACCACATTGTAGAACAGGGACATTACTTTTATGGTTAAAGACTGCTTAATTTCTTGTCGAAAACAAGCTATTCTTGTAGAATTATAAAATAGTTATGAAACGCTTAACAAGTTTATTTTTATAGTCTAAATTAGAAGTAAAAAAGTAGATTTTTAAAATTATTGTTAAGTAGAGGTGATGGGTTATTAAAAACTAGGTCAAGACTTTACTGTGTTCTTCTTTTGAATCTTTTGGTCATTTATTCATTTCATCTGTGCAAAATCTACAATAAATTGGAATGATCAGTTTTATTATAGTGATATTTGCTATTTTCCATGGGGAGTTGCCTCAAACTATTTTAATATAAACTGTTTTCCTGGAATTATTTTTTTCTTTTGTTGAAAAATATTTAGGATGCTCTAAAATAAAATTGAAATAAATATTTTTTAAATAATTAATATTAAACAAAACGATCTGTCATTAGGGAATTAGATAATTTGGGAAACTGTATTTTAATGTTTCATGTAATGAGTAATTTTCTGTTGAGATTTAAAATATCAGTTTTATAAAATGGTAATATCTTACATTGGCGGAAGGGGGTGATTAATCCAAAATTATTAACAATCATTTTTTTATCCATGTTCTACTTTACTTTGTTAGTTCATGAAAAATAAAAAATATATATACATATATAATTTCAACTAAGGCTTAATGTACAGTAGAAATAATAATTTGTGAAGTTATCATGAATAATTCCCAAAAGTATAAGTTCAAAACTTAAATTGTACTGTTCTAGAACATTAAGTTACTGCTAGAAAAAGGGGTGACTGGACCCGAGGGTCATGATATGGCTTGCCCTGAGATTGTTGAAGCTGAAGCTGTTAATAGAGCGTGTGTTATAGCAAATCAGGTATTCCAAATATCTCTGGATAGCTTCGTTGAGTAACTAATTTTTGAGACCAATTACCACCTGCAGAATAGTCGTGCACTTTTAGAGTTTGGTTTTTGCTCCAGTTTTTCCCCCCTAATTAAATATATATACATATATTTTTTAAATAAAATTGTAAGTTCTTTATAACGACTTGATTAGAGTGAGGAATTATTTTTATAAAACTACTTCACAATTGTGCCTAATGCATGAAAACTTTTGCATATAACATAATATGCAATACAATGTACATATATTTATTTCATTGCATGGGGATTTTTTTGTCTAGAAGCTTTTTGTGTCATAATCAAGTCCTTTGTTTATCATTTGACAAAATTCATTATAATATAATTAATTTAAATTGATAAGTACTTGTGTGCTGTAAATGTCTGTTGTAGGAACAAAATGCATTTAAATTTAAATTTTACACATAGTCAATGAACAAAGATAGTTAGAGATGTTAAAAAAGCCAAATGCTATGTATTATTTAATATGACCATTTGTTTATATTAAGTGTGAATTGTTTTGAGGTAACAATTCATTGTAATTAGTAGTAAATGGCTCGAGCGAAAGATTTGTTTCGAAATTTTACGTCATATCAGATTGTTACATCTTTTGCACACTTTTTTCTTACTCTCTTGTTTTCAGATTTCTCTTATTTAAAAGTGAAAAGTGAAGCATGTGTACATTTAAAATTCTTTATTTTGTATATAGTATTTGTATGATAGATGCATCTGGAAAAGAGCAAATCATGATGCTGGACTCACCACAAATTTGTCTTTACTTGGAACTTTGTTGGAAATCTTATGGCACCAAATGTTCGCTGAGCAAAGTATATGGTAATTTGTGGTCCCCCTAGTATTATTTATTACTTTACTTCTTAACATGAGATATAAACTTATTCTAATTTTTTTAAGTTGGTGGTTTAGGATGTAATTATCTCTAATTGCTTATCATATCCAATCTAATATTTACAAACTTACTAGCACCATAATTTACCATGTTAAACATACACAATGAAACACATCCCAATTCATACATCTATCAGGGATAAAAGTTAGAAAGGAATTATTTGGGGCAGAAATTATTCAAAATATTTTAAGTTAAATCTGTGACCCTTTCGTCTTTTAAGCAATTGTGTCTGTCAGTTCTTGACATATTAACATCACATTATTATACCATAACATAAAATGACATAAACAATTTATTTAAAATCAGTTAAATGGCAAAATCAAACTCACTGTGAAAGCAAATTAAAAGGTTTGTTCCGTCAAACCATCAACAAACTGTCTGGCGCACTTGCAGTTGAGTTTAGGGTGTTCCTTCATGCTACAAATGCAAACTCAAATGTCAGTCGACTACCTTACTATTACTACATACTATATGACTATACTTCATACATATTACCTCAAAAATAGTAAAAAATAAGCATTAAAAAAAAAAAAAACTACGTTGAGGAGAGACCTAATAGATGAATGCATTGGAGCGTAGATAAAAAATAAATAAATAAACACAAAAGCAAAAAATAAAAATGTTTACTGGTTCTTGAAAGACCCACAATGGCGGTGCGAGTTTTAAATTTTAATTAGTTATAAATTATAATATTCATTGTTATTGCTATTAACCATGTAATGCTCTAAAAAATATTTGCTTTAAATATACATAGATTGACTTTATATCACTATAATAGTTTCTAACTCTCCAAATTATTATAATTATTGAGGGTACAAGTAAGTTTTAAAGGATTCCCCTCCCATCTTTCTGGCAGTATACAAATTCCACGTTGAAAGAATGACGGGTCGAGGCAATGAAAGAATCGACTAATTTACTTTGCATTCCTCTTAAGAACGGAAGTGCTGCTCAGACCATGAGTCATTGATCGGATATCCCATTTGAATGTTACTAAACAATTTTTGGCATTACAACAAAATGTGGTCGAGCGTTTTCATGTCTTTGGTCATATTCTATCTGTTTCTCCTTCAATGCTCGGTTCAAACGTGTCAATCGTTGTCAGTAGCGATCCCCTGTTTTGATTTTATTTGGTTTTAGCTGCTCTATATACTACATCCAGGTGATTCCACTAAATACAAAGCATGAGCTTTGTCCATGAATATTTTGCTTTGTTGATGTTGATGCATGGCCGAACTTACCCCATGATTTCTTACGATTAGGATTGTTGTAATGAATCCATTTTTCATCAGCAGCTGTTCGTAAACAACAAATCTCTTTTCCACATCTCTTAGCTTTAATTCTTACAACACACAATTTCTTTGATTTTGGACTATTTCCATGGCTTTGAAGCGTAAGAAATTCCTTGTTGACTTACTCCCAAAGAGTCTGCAAATTCTCCTTGCGTTTGCCACGAGTCTCCGTTCGATATGCACCCTATTTAGCATCTTAAAACATCTCTTGCCTTCCTTCACATTTCTTATTCTCCATTCAAAATCACCAATTTTGAACCGTCTAAACCAGTACTCACAACTTGAAATTGATGGAGCCTGGTGTCCACCTTCAGGTAATTTTTTCTTCAAAAAACTAAAGCTTCCCGCAAATTGCATATTGTTGGCACATCTGTAGTTCAAATAAACTAGGTTGCTTACTCTGAAAAAGTAAAGCCTAATGAGCTTTAACATAAAGGTGATTAGGTTATGGTCCATACAATTTAAAACCAGTCATGCCCTCTCTTTTAAATCCTTTAAAACTTACATGTACCCCCCAATATTTAACAGTAATTGTAGTATTGGATAGCAGTAGAATGGGATGAATGACTTACCATCACTTGGAAATATTGAGGAAATCATAATTGTTTGTTAAGTAAGTTCATAAGTGGTGTGTCAGGGTGTTAAAAAAACTATCAATTTTAGCATTTTTTGTAGTAACTACTTTGCACTACCTCTCCTTTTATGAATTTTATTATTCATGCTGAAATAAATCATAATTTCATTTTTTTAATTGGGTGAGTATAATAAAACAAATGAAATAGTTAAAAATAAATTTGTTTTATAAAACAGGTTATTTTCAGTCTTTGAAACAGCCGATCATGATAGTTAATTCTGATCTACAGGAAAGCTGCTCAATTCTCTGGTAGTATCACTCCTTGGCATTTGTGCTGTGTGACAACATTTTTTAATGATTGTGCTGTTGCTTGGAAGAGGTGGTCACCCAAAGGAACTCAGTTCATTCCTTTTACAAAAGTTTCTGATTCATAAGTCACAAGTGTGTCAGTGTGTTTTAGAACAAAACTTTCTTCCGATCATACAAACCTACTAAACTTAGTTGCACAATAATTTCTTCTTATGAAATCATTTGGATTTGGAAGGAGCAACCGGCTTGATTCCAGAAAATCATCTTGCTGCAAGGAGTGCTTGTGTAGAACACGGCCTTTTTCACTTTCCTTTACTCGTTGCTCTTGATGTAGCCATTGCCAAATTTTTCAAACCACCTCTGCTGAGTTTATCTTCAACACAGATATAACTGTGGATTCGGTGATAATTCCTTTTCCGATATTGAGAATTTTCCATTTATTATGGCAATGTCAATGTCATTTTCTTTTAAGAATATCAACCTTATGCTGAGCATACAAATTATGTCCACAAAATGATTCTATAGTACCGATTACTGATTTATATAAACTCAAACATATTGGTACAGTGTTGAAATTATCACTTTTCGCAGCTCACCAGCTATTTGCAATGTGCAATAAATTACCAGCAGGTCTGAAGAATCACACACCCTGGGTGTTGGCATTCCGGGGTCAGACCTCAGTCTTATCCATCCAGGAGATGTTGGCCTTCAAAGATTATCAACAGCTGGGTCATTTCAGCCCCAATTCAATCAGTTCCTAAATCCACTCACACTCTCACTCTTAAATACATTCTTTCCTATTTACACACCATTCGCTCAGAGTAGTGGAGCCCTCTCACACTATGCATTCACACTAATAAATACATTCATCCTCAACACTCTACTAGAGGACACAAATATATCAGTGCTATATGCAATAAAACAATCCTGTTTCCTCCAAGAATTGAAACAGGGGACCCAGATACTCACTGCCATAATCAGGCACCATTATCATATCGGGATTATCCTACAGTAAAGGATTAAAATGATATTGATATAAATAACATTGTAAAAAAGAGTGGGAAACAGTCATTATACATTTAGAAATGTTCACTCATTTTTTATCTTTTTATTTTTACTATTCCTAATGTTTTGATTTGTTTCACAGAGTTTGATTTGTCGCCAAATAGTATAAACCATAAAATAATCATTAACTTATTTAATGAAACTAATTAATAAGTGCTTGTTAATTTAAAATCACAATAATATACTAAATAACTTATAAGAAGAAAAAATAAAAATAAGCAAAAACAAGATGTTTTGTGTTTTTGTATTAATAGCTCAGATTGCCATTTTTTAAAATTAAAATTTAGCTTCTTTTATAAAACACTGCTAATTACATGTAAATTTGGTTGTTATTGCTAACCTCTCCTAAGTGTCTGGTTTATTCTGTTTAGTTAGTGCTTATTAACTTGGTGTGTGTGCTACTTATCACTTTATCTGTACTGTTTTGTTTGCTTTTCTTTCACCCTTTTTTAGTACTAATATTTTGTTTGCTTCTCACCTTATTTACCTAAATCTAACATTATAAATTAACCAGCTCTGTTAACAATAAACTGTTAAAAAATTTCCAATTGATATAGCCTACTAAATAAAATTGTGTCAAACTAAAATACGTATGTCAAATTGCTTAAAATTTTTAATTTTATATTCCTTTATAAATTGTATAAATTGCATGAAAGCTTACAAAAAATGTTTTGATGAACTTTTTTAAACAATTGTTCTTTGTGTTGCTTGTATGCTAATCTTATGTTTGTTGTTTCGCCTAGTTATAATTATTTTACATTATAGTTGTTCATTTACAGTATGTAATCTAAGTTTATTTATGTTACATTATACAATATATTGACAGTATTTTGTATTAAAAAAATAAACAAACATTTGTTTGAATAGTGTTGAAAATGTACAATGTATTGTAAAGAATTATTATTTTAACAAGTTTTCATTTATGCGTGGATATTTCATTCAGCTAGAAATTAACAGTCATGTTATAATTAATTATTTGCGATATTCTTAAGATTTTGCTATTGTTGGGAAGGGTTGAAATATTTGTAAAAGGTTAAATTTCATAGGAAATAGTCGATAAAAAAAAATTAACTTTGAAATTGCAAGTTTGGTAATTTTTCAATGGCTTTACTGTTAACATTTTATAAAATGTAAAAACCTTTGCTGATAAGTTCACTTGCGAACATTGTTCTAGGTTCAGTGTCCAGTTTATTTAGATGGTTTAACAAGTAAGACAGCTGCTGATATTGCAGCTAATTTTAAAGAGGACCCTAAAGTTGTTGGTGCTGTAATGGCATCATCATTGGGAATCGATGTACTTACACCATCAGTCAATACTGTCACAAGTCCTCCTATCAGATCACATTCCTCCTTACATTTAATTCAACTTCTTGCTGAGTATGTGTTACTGCATTCAAATAAATTTATTTTTGAATTAACAATTGACCATACATACTTAATTTTTTTTAAATCACTTTCAATTCAGTGGCTTTCTTCATGTGACTGGAAGTGATCACAGAGCTTACACTACTGCACAAAAGAACGCTGGTAAGGGTGATTTCTCAAAAATACCACCTGGTGTCAATGGCGTGGAGGATAGAATGAGTATTATCTGGGAAAAGGGAGTCGAATCTGGTGCCATGGATCCGACTCAGTTTGTAGCGATCACTAGTGCGAATGCAGCCAAAATTTTCAATCTATATCCAAGAAAGGTTAATCATTGTTTAATCATCAATCAGAGTTATAATTACAATGTGTAAACTTTTTTTTTTTAAATCAGGGTTGCATTGCTGTGGGTTCTGATGCAGACATTGTGGTGTGGAATCATTCAAAAACTCGAACCATTTCTGCAGAAAGACATCATCATTCGTCTAACTACAATGTGTTTGAAGTAAGTCAGTACAGTTTAATTGTATACTTTCAGATTTCAAATATTTATGTCATTTGTAGGGATTGACAGTTCATGGAGTTCCCGAATATGTAATTGTTAACGGACGTGTATGTCTAGAGGAAGGAGAAGTCAAGCCAGTGCAAGGATTTGGACGTTTCGTTCCAACACCTACATTCCCAACTTTCCTTTATAACCAAGTGGAAGTAAGTATTAAATTGGTAAATTTTTTTTAAATTGCATATTATAAATTAATTGTTTTACGTTTATCGTTATTTAAAAAAAAATGGGTAAATTTTTGTTTAAATTTGAAATAATTTAGCGTTTTCTAGTGGGTGTGTGTATAAGTTTTTTTTTTTTTTCAAGAAAAAAGTCCAACTTTCAAAATATAAATTTGTATTATTTTTAATACAAAACACAATTTACATAGTTTTTTTTTATAACATACTGCCTAAGTTATGGTAACAGAAATACCCCCTTTTTGTAAATTCTTTTTTGTAAAAAATTGGGTGGACATTTTCCCTTCCGCACTGCTCCAAGACGGTCTTCCTGGATGCAGAGTACCTCTGCCGTAAGGGTTTGCATGGTAACACTTCTCAGTAAATTATTCCTTGATTATCCCACCGAACAGACAGTAGGACTATATGCGGGTGCAACCCTACTCTTGATGTCATCGGCAGCGTTTCATTCTTCTTGCAAATGGTCCTATAGCATTTAACATTTTTGTAAAGGACTTCTCATCCCCAGTGACCAAATAGGAACCCTTTCGATTTATTCCTATTCAGGTGTGAAAACGACAAGCACGATGTCTTCCTTGCTCCCCCATTTTCACAGCATAGCCCAGAGATCAAATTATTTATTTCTATTGTTGTATACCTAAAACTTCCCTGATAGCTAGAATTTGCCCTCATCCTTCAATGCCACTAATAAGCCGTTGGTTTTAAGCTTGTTAGGCCTTCCACAACAAGGTTTGTCTTTGATTCGTCTCTCTCCATCACGAAAACGTCTGTACCATTGTTGATACACACATAATCAGTTACTACGTTATCTCTGTCCACATAAATTTCAACAGGAATTTGCCGCTCTATGCTTCATGATTGAACTCATACAGCAAGCAATGCCTAACATGAATTTTATGAGTTTTCGTGTCAAATGCAATTTATTCTAGACTTTTGATATCGACTACTCCTTTCTTAACAAAGTATTTTAATGGAGTTTTCCCACCCTAGATGTAATGGGGCTAGCAGGTAGTAAAGGATTGTCTTTATTAAAAGTGAAAGTTGAAATTACAAAAAAAAAAACTTATGCACACATCCAATAGAACAGTAATGCCGGTGGTTTTGGTTGGTCTGTGAAAGGATGAACACATGAAACTGATCGAAACATCACTTTTCTGCGTCCATTTACTTTCAATGTTTACATTTCACTCAAATTCACTTGGATTTGGGCCACATGAAAATAAAGAACAATTTCTCACTGAAGTTGGTAATTCACTTGGATTTGGGCTACATGAATATAAAGAACAATTTCTCACTGAAGTTGGTGTATAGCCAAAACACGTTTGAGTGTGTAGATGGACTCAGTAAAGTGATCAAGTGTTGAACTTTATTTAACAGAGAAGTAATAAATATAAACATAAAAAAATATATAAATAGATAAACAAATTTCTCTCTTGTATAATATTAATAAATATACATTACAAATAGGAATCACAAGCTGTAAATGGTGATGGACAGGTGAATAATTCACAACATAGTGCACACAGTGTCGAAGATAATCACAGCGTCAAATCTGATGAACATGTAGAAGCGGCAGGTTTTATGTGGGACAGTTCTGTTAACAAACAAACTGGTAAGGGCATGAGACAAGAAGGACAGCGCAATTTGCAAGATTCTACATTTTCTATAAGCTGTAAGTTTTTCCATGAAAACTTTTTTTAAAAGTATTTCTTCATACAGAGTGTAATAATTAAATCAATTTCTCAAACTCATGAGTCTGTCGTTTTACTTTTGAGAATTATTCATAGTATCATTTTTAAATTAATAATTTTTAATATTTAAAAAATAAACAAATATTTTTACTCTGATGTTATAACAAGATTGTAGCGTGCATTAACTGATGAGTTTGAATCACATGCCAGTGAAATAATACATAGTTTCTTAGACCTTGTATAATTTTACGTGTTTTATTTTTATTGTTTTTAATCTTTTTAATAATCAAAGCTATGATTTATATAAGCTCAATTCTGCACATGGATATACACATGTGTGTGTACAGAGTTGAGATGATTACTCCTTGCAGTCCACCGACAATTTCAGCTTTTGTAATTTACAATAAAAAACCAGCACGTCTCGAGAATCACACACCCCTGGTCTAGGCAGTCTGGGTCAGACCCGGTCTTATCCACTGAGGTCGGGCTCCTGGGGCTAAACAGCAAGGTTTATTCAGGTTATTTCAGCCCCCAACACAGTTTCTAAATCCAAATCCATTCATTCTCACTCACTTAAGCAGGCCATTCATAGTCACACCAAATGGAACCGCATCAGTTTATTTGGTGTGCCTGAAATTTGAGGACGGGGATTCACGACTGCTCCACAGTCGGTCCAGTCCAGTCTTTTAGTCAATTGTTCACTTCCTCTCAAAAACTCTTATGTTACATGTACTTTTACATGTGCTTGCTTTTGTACATAACAAACAAAACCCGAGCCGGAAGTGGTGTAAATAGTGGTTCCTGAACAGAAGCCATACCAGCATGAAATTTATTACAGAATATGTTAAACCCTTGATGCAGAATGTGCTTTTTTAATTAGGAAAATATTTTTTGAGGTGTTAACAACTATTTGGTTATACGAACCTTCGTGGTCCTTGCATTTTTGACAAACAGCCCTTTGTCAAATTCAGGGCTGCTGGATTTGAACTCGACATCTTTAACTTACAGAGATGAGTGCTGTGTCTGCCTTAAGGGGAGCTAAATGCAACTTAGTAATTTTAATTTAATTTTTTCATTTTCTGCTTTTCCAATCTTTCTGAATCTTCATATTCTCGTTTTTTACTGTTTTGTAAACATGGTAATATACTTAAAATATGTTTAGAATATACGAAATTTTCGTTTTTCCCCATAAAAATAAGTATTTTTACCCTTCTAAGGATCTTTTATCAGAAACTGTTTGGGCAAAATTAATTGAACTTTGCACGAGTGTTCTTGATAGGTTTCTACATTGATAGATGGAGAGATTTTAAAATCAAGCCAAAAGAAAAAAATCAGGACAGTTTGAAATGAAGAGAAAATAAATACTTTTTTTAATGTTTGCAATTTTCTTTTTTTGTTACTGTGAACTATTTAGAGAAAAACCCTCGTCTCTCTATGCAGCTAATCATTGTCTACATCTCATACGATATTCATTTGAGAAATGATCCCTTTCATTTCTAAAAATGTCATTTTTTGGAATGATAGATGTTCTCAAAATCTAAGCCCCAATGGCTTGTCGATATTTATTTAAGTTCTCACTTCTAGGTTTACTAGTTGCTTAAGGTGGTCAACACTTTGTTTTCAGTGTTTTGAAAGTGATTTTAGTGTGGTGATTTTTTTTTTGTCCGTTTGCTGTCACAATAAAAATACAAATGTAGGTACTTATAAACTCTTACTGTGAGGGTTCCTCGCATAATAGCTCCGTACCAAAAACGTTCAAAAATAAAATAAAAATATTTCTGGTTGTCAGAATTATGTTCTTCTGGTGTTAAAATGTCTAGGAAGAGTTGTAATTTTTTATAAGATCAAAAACAAGCAATTGATTTTTTTTATGTGATGTGCTCCCTTAACCGTGTTGTGGCCCCTAATTTTTTTTAAAGTTTTTAAATTTAAGTCGGATTTTAAAATGCCTGCAAGCTTTAACAGTTTGTATGGAGGAGCTAGCCTATATACAGCTAAAAAAGTTCCTTAATTTTATGAGTGTTATATCAACTGTAGTAGAAAACTTCAGACTTTATTCATAAGCCACATTATTCATATTTTGAATAATATACTCAGTCATCGAAACCTATTATCCAAAGCTGGGTATTGCTGCATTAAAACATTGCAATCATTTTTTTTTAACATGTCTTTCTATGTACATCGCTGTTAACAGAATTATTGATGATTGCTAATCTGTATTTGTAGATTTAAATACAGTAAGGTCCCAATAATAAGAACAAAATAGGGGGAAGGGATTGTTCACATTATTGAATCATTCAGATTACTTATAGATTTTTATTAATGCAACAATTATGTATTGCACATTTTACTCATACATAAAAAATTATAATTATTATATATATACATACATACGTACATACATACAAAAGTCAGTAATTTTCCTCTGAATGCTGGCATCCAATTTCTAATCAAAAGCTCTGTTTCTTATGCGTCTCAGCAACATGATATCCTCACTGCCCTAGATTGTTCTTGGCCCAACTACTGGGCATGCTACTAGCTTTAGCAGCAGATGTTGTTGGAGGGGGAAATTCATCATCGACTTCTTCCTCTTCTGCTTCTTCATTAGTAGCAGCATGCACAATTTTATCAGTTAAAATGTCTTGATTTCTTATTTCTTCGTCACAACCACCCGATGCCCACCTCGGATTTAATTATGATCGTGTTATCTTGGGCCAACTGAATGACAAGTGGGCTAAGGATAATTTCATTTTCATTAGATGGAGGAGTATCGTCAACAGCAACCAAGTTTGAACTAAGATTTTTTCAAGACGTTTGAATCAAATGCGGTGAGATGGATGTCAAACAATTTGCTAAGTTGAAAACGACATCTTTCAGAAAAATTTTCTTTAAAGCTGCCACCAGTTCAACTATGTGGAACCATTTTATCACGTCTAACAAATTAGTATTTTGATTGACATACACAACTGATGAACAACCCAACAGACAAACGATGAGTATGTTTAAACAAGGCTTAAGGAAGCAAAATGGAGACAAAAGAAAAGGTAGAGAGGATCAGAAATTGCTGACTTAACACGAGTTGATTGAGGATTACCATTTGGATTTCGTACCCTGCTATATATTCATTTTTTAACATGCCGGTTTAGTTGGTGTTTTCACTTTTTTCCCGTGGACACTTGATTATATCCTTCTATTATAACTTAATGAAATATAAAAGCCATAAAAAAGTGAAGATTATTTGTCATCGATTGTAAAATTGTGGACATAAAATATGCCATCTTTTATTTAAAACCTCTATTCTTTAAACTTAATTCAATTCATATGAAATTGGCAGAGTTGTTGCTTAAAGCATAGGATGGACACTATGCCAAACAAAACAGTAAGAAAAAGTCAGATTTGCCCAGTCAAAAACTAGCCAACCTGCCGAAGTACCACTTGTCCATGCCAGGTTTTCCCATTCCCAGACCGCGCTGTAAAAGTTTGGTCTGGTCGAATATTTGATACTCTGTGCTATGCCGGTTCAGGATTCCCATTTGACATGGGCTTATGGAGCAGTGCTGCTCCGTTTGGGTGGTTGGAGTGATTATTAATGACTGGCTTTAAATACATTCCTTCCTAGTTACATTACATACCATTCACTCAGGGTAGTTGAGTACTTGATATTCATCCATCACCCTTTGCACATAACTAAATCTAATTAAGGGTCAAAGGTTAACTTTGTAAATAAATATAACTATATTTTTAAAAGGTTTAAATATTTATCATAAATGTATTAATATACTAAGTGAAGATTTATGAACCTTAACAAATCAAAGCTTTTTGTCATTTTGATATGGTGCTGCATACCAGCATAAACAAATTGTTTATATTTCATTACAATTTATTTTTACTCTTAAAGTTCAGTTAATTATTGTTAGAAGTAATTTTGGTTTACATTAATTTCACTCACTGTTTGGCACATTCCGGATCACCTAGTTGTGGTTCTGGTCACATGGATGAGAGAGTCACTTCTTCTTTGGCTAGTTGGTCATTCCTTCTTAAAGCCAGAAACACTTACCCGATGCTACGCCATGTGACGTTACCTGATGCTACCCGACGCAAATCCAAACTCCGATTTTCCATAAGGTTGCATTACCCCCGTGCACATCTATCCGATGCTACCCGACGGAAATCCAAACTCCGATTTTCCATAAGGTTGCATTACCCCCGTGCACATCTACCCGATGCTCTGCGATCCCCACTGTCCAGATTTTCGTCGGGTCGCATCGAGTACAGTCGAAGACAAAAGAACCGGACACTCATATTTTTATTCAAACTACATGTATTATTGTCGTTATATTAATTACAACATACTTATTTTAATATAAACCAAATTAACTGTGATTAAAAATTAATTAGTTTTTATTTAAAAAATTAATTTTAATGGTTTGGTAGAAAATTAATCAAAACACCGGAATACGATTTTTTGATATAATGAATTTAACTAACAATTTATTGTACTCGCTTCGGCGGTACATATACTAAAATTGGAACAATTTATTACACGGTTTTGCTCATAAAATTTAATTAACAATTTATTTCATAGTTTTGCTCGTAAAATTACACCATTTTGTAATGTCGGGTAGCATCAGAACAGGACACTCATATTTTTTGTAGTTTATTTCAAACTAAGTACATGTAATTTTGTCGTTATATTAATTACAACATGTTATTTTAATGTAAACCAAATTAAACGAGATCAAAAATGCATAAGTTTTTATAAACATTGTTTAATTATGATGGTTAGGAGTAACTTTATTTAAAACAATTAAGTTTAACAAACAATTTATTAGATGGTTGTGCTCATAAAATTTAACTAACAATTTATTACAAGGTTTTGCTCAAAATAGTGCATTAAGAACAAAAGATGCGTTGCGATTGTGATCGTGATTATTGTGATAAAGGCTGTGGACTGTACGCGACGTGTACTTGCGTCGGATAGATGTGCACAGCCCACCAAAACGTGGCAAGGCGTCGGGTAAGTGTGTTTCTGGCTTTACTCCTGTGCACAGAGATGCATTCCATGGATCTCAGCTTGGAAGATAGTTGGAAGTCAATGGGATTTGGCTAGGGTGTAATTCACTTCACCCCTTTACCTACCTTAATCCCAGTTCCACACACTCCAGCGCACGGAGTTGTGGTACTGGTCCCCTGGGAGAGAGGGTTGTTCTCACTCATGAACTCTATGTTCAGTTAATTATCGTTAGAATTAATTTTGGTTTATGTTATTTTCATTAATCAATAAATTTAAAAGAGCAAATATAAAACAAATCCTCAAGTTGTACTAAACGGAATTTTTTAAAATAAAAAGTCACTCACAATGTATTAACTAGAAAGTAAAATTTGAGGGTATGTCTAATCATGTGAAAAAATTTAAGTAACACATTTTAACTATTGTTTTCTGATCTTTGTAATTAATTTTTTTTTTGTCAAATAGGTGAAATGGATGATACAGAGAGACGATCATGCATTCGAGTTTTCAATCCTCCTGGCGGACCATCTTCTGGGTTTTGGTAAACAGTAAATTTTCAAGCACCAGTTAATTTAAATTGCTTTGTAGACATTAACCAAAAAAATATACTATTCATATCTTTAAAAGTGGTGCTTCCCCCTCAAAATGTTGTCCCTCTTTACAAATTTCACATAAAATCATAAAAGAAATGTCTGTCTGAAAACTGTCTCAACATACTAACTTCTTAAGACATTACCTGTTCTAATTAATACAACATGTGCAATGTCTGTTTATTAAGATTTTGTACTTTTATGACAATAGTTAGGCCCATTACAAAATATTTCAATGATGCTTATTTCACAAAATAAGCTTTTGTAACAAAAATTTATAATTCATAATTGCAGAATAATAAGTTGCTTAGAATTTGGAATGTTTTCTAAATTTTTAATATTTTGTTAATTGGAAAGAAACAGCTTACGTCTTGTATAAATATTTAATTGTTATTTGACATGTGGATTTACTTATCCCTTGAATTATTATTAATAACAGTTAGATTTTGTAGATATGTGTTGTGTTGTATTGTTCATAATTTAAGAAGTTATAATACAATTATTTTTTATTAGATTTATTTATATGCACAAATAATGTGATCAGTAGTTTATTATTTCATTGACAGTAGGATCTTCTAACCGGGTTAAAATACAAATTGACCACCCTGGTTAATGGAAGGTTTACTGTTGCTTTCTAACAAAAAGAGCAATTATTTTTTACTTAAATTTGACCATTTTTGGGGAAAAATAAAGTCTTTAAGTCAATTACATAATTTATTTATAGTTTGAATAATATACATTAAGTAATACACTTTATTTCACTTGTCTGCTCTGTCATGTGTTATTTAGAGTGGTTGATCAGCATAAAAATAAAGCTTCAATTAACAGTTTATAGCTCTTGTACTAAACTACTATAAAACATCCGAAATTAATGAAAATTTGTATAATTATATAAAAATACTAGCTAGGACAAAATACAATAATTGAAATGTCATGAAAGAGCAGTAAGATTGTACTCACAAATACTTAGAGTAAGTTATAGATTTAGTTAGTGGAAGACAAAAACAGGCTAGTCTCAAGTTTAATTTATGGGCATTTTAAAAACCAGGGTGAAATATAATCAACAAAAGTTAAATGCTTAATTTGTAAAAATATCAACAACTTTTTTTATATTATTATTGTGCTAATGGCTTAATGTATTTGCCTTGTTATTGATTTGGTTGTGATATTTAAGACTTGATTACAACATGCGCAAGGTAAGTTCAACCTACATATAATTCCGATGATGTACCAGACTTGAGTAAAATTTGTTTATTCACGTGGCTAATATTTTTTTGTATTGTTATCCTGTTGTGAGATCCATTACGTTTCAAATGTTTATAATTGTTTCTTTGGGTTTCTTTTTTGTTCATAAATTTACATTAGAGAAGTTTTATTGTACATAGGTTTCAGTTAGAGTTCAAATATCTTTTTTTTAAAATAAATGTTATTTTTAAAACACAGTTAACATTTTTATCGTTTTATGTTTTTTCTTCCGTGAAATAAATGAATATAAATTATTGTTAATTGTTTTAAGAATAATTCCAATCAATTTTATTTGTTTATGTTAACATTGTTTGTAAATGTTTAACCATTTTTATGATGTTAATGTTTTTTCTGTATTGAAATAAAAATTGTCACCGATTTCTTGGTTTTTCCTTGTCGAAGAATGTATTTTGTGTTTTTCCTTAAAAAGTAAGTTATCTTTTTTTCATATTTTTTAACGAGGGTATTCCAAATCTGAGGTTACATGAACCCACAATTATTCAGCCTATTGATGCTATATTTAGCTTATTGAGCACAGTAAAGTTTGTTTTCAGAGTGAAGGAGCAAGCAAGAATATGAACAGCTCAAATTAATGTATGTACGTATTTTAATGAGAGGAGAGAGAGAGAGAGAGAGAGAGAGGGGGAGAGAGTGAGAGAGAGAGAGAGAGAGAGAGAGAGAGAGAGAGAGAGATCAATATTAGCTAGTTGTTAGTGTGTTTTTGATGGAAGGGGGCTGTGAAAAAAATTCTAGGGGTACAGTGATAATTGAACCCATGACCATGGGGTCTATGAGTTGAAAGTCTTAACACGTTGGCCACTCAGATATTGAGGTAATTTTAAATTTAATTACATTTCATAAATAAAAGTAAGTAAATTTTATTGAAATTCATGATGGTTTACTAGATAAATTGTATTTTATGCTTCATTGTATTCACTTTTTCATGCAAATGTTCAGCCCTATTGCCTCATGTCCAGTGATTGAGTTTTTCTTTCTCAAGCCGTTTTCATTCTTTCTAGCTCCATCTTGAGCACAAACTACTGTGCGCAGAGTTGCATGATTCTCAGCATGGAAGATAGCTGGAACCAGTTGTGGTTTTGTTAGGGTGCCCTTTACTCCTACAGATTGTCAGTTCGTCGGCAAAGAATGAAAAATTAATATGTAAAAAAAGAAGATGAAATATCATTTGTAAAAAGTTAAAAACAAGAAAGGCCTAGTAGTGAACCTTGAGAAACAGAGGGATGGAAATGTTTTGAGTTCTTACACGTTTTCAGTTTTTTAGGTTTCTGTTGGTTTTACCATTTGGCATATATTTTCTAAATCTTTTTTCTGTAATGTGGTAGTTGCATTTCTTTGTTTTCCATTTTTTTAGAGGGACAGTCAGGATTTGTCCTTTTTTATTGTCAAATGATAAAAAATTGAATAATTGAATTATGCTGTGTGTCTTAATTGTTTTTCAACTGTTGTGATTGTTATGATAGTTTATATCCAACTTTTTGTTTTAATTTCATTATTTTAAACATCTTTCATCCAATTCAAAATTATACATAGGAAATGTTAGAGGATTTTATTTGTTTTTGTTATATTAAATTTATTTTATTTTATTTGTTATAATTTTTGTTGAAAATTAAACAAGAAACGACCAAGTAGTGAACCTTGAGATCGGTGGGGACGGGAAGGACGGGATCGTTTTCGATTTTTAGACACATTTTCACCTGTGTAATTTTTTTTAAAATGTGGTGGTGGTGTTTCTTCGCTTTGCCTTCCATTTTGCCCTTTTTTGAGAGATAGAGACAGTCGGGATTTGTTCGTTTTTCAACTATCCATGTGGATTGAATTTTTCTATGTATTATGTTTTCCCAGTTGTAATTGTTATATTTATATCTGTGAATTTTAATTTTATTATTTTATACATCTTTTACCCAATTCAAAATTGTACATAGGAAATGGTAGAGCAAGAGGATTTTTTTTAATTAAACAAGAAAGGCCCGAGTAGTGAACCTTGAGATACTTCGGTGGGAACAAAAAGGACAGGAACGTTTAGAATTTTTAGGCACATTTTCACCTGTTGAGCTTATGTTTGTTTTCACATTTCTACTGTATCAGTCATCATTATTTGGACAATTAATTAAGGTTTTTTGGTTGAGATAAAAAAGTCAACGGCACGACCGGGATTCGAACCCACGATCTTCGGCTAGATACGCCGCTGCTCTACCACCACACCATTTGAAAAATGGCAAAAAGGAGGGAAAATTCAAAAGGTGCGGTTGAGATGGGAAGTTGGTGTCCGAGTGGATCGAGGTCACGATAGCTCAAGTGGTAGCAGCGGCGTATCTAGCCGAAGATCGTGGGTTCGAATCCCGCTCGTGCCATTGACTTTTTTATCTCAACCAAAAAACCTTAATTAATTGTAATACATATATTAATTGGTCAAGCGGACCACGAAATTAGTGAATTTAAGGCATTATTTGGACAGTTAAAAGCGAAATAAATTATCGATTGATGAAAAAATGAATCCCATTTTTTAAACTGTCTTTTTAGAACTTTTCTGCTACCTTTCAGGCAATATAGCATGGTTTTTCGGGCAAAGTATTTATAGGGATGAAGTTTCTGTTAATGTGAAACTACATTTTGGTACAGAAAAAAGTTCTGACCATTAACTTCAACCTATTTCCTTATTTTCTCTATATTTACATTTCTGTAATATAAATATTTTAATGATGCTTAACTTATAGACATGAAAAAAATCTATAACTTTATTTCGAGTTAGTTGTACCCGACAAAAACTCCGCGCTTTAGAAGATTTTTTTGATAAAATACCGCCAAAGATAAAATTTGAATTAAAAAAACAAACAAACTGATAACATGCCACACCTTTAGAGTCGGTCCCACTTGCTCTCAGTGTTCAACGGGTTGAAATAAGTGCAAACGATTTTTTGAACCGAATGCTATTACGCGTGGATGCAAAGCCAATAATACAAGATTTTAGTGAGGAAATTTTCAAGGTAAGATAAAGCACCTTACTGCGTTAAAACTAGTTTACAGTTAGTTTATAAAAATTGAACAATTACTGAGAGCTATTTGAATGAATGCATAAATAGATTCAGTTTTTATTCTGCTTGTTTCTACATCTTAAGAACAACCTTTGACCATCTATGGATGATGCATCTACAGTGATGGATAAAATTGACACACCACCCTCAAATTTTAATGTAAATCATAGCAAAAATAGGTTTGGTTGTATAAATAAGACATTTAAAAACAAAATATTTATTACGTAATTCTTTAAAAAAATTATTGAATAATGTGTGGTGATTAGTGACCGTTAATCGATATTTATTTAGAAATCGTGAGATGCGGTCTGATGTGACGTAAGTTTCGGAAAAACATTTTCTTTATCGTGCCAACGTTTCGATCTTTATTGATATCATCTTCAGGGCCTGGGATTTACAAACATTGTTTACACATAACAATTACATTTTGGATGTGGAAAAGTGAATTTATACAATTCAAAATATATTTTTTTATATATTCAATCAAGAGTAAAGCAACATATCTACGATTGCAAAAAACCTTAGCAAAATCCTACAGCACTCGCTACCCACCATCTTGAACACCAACACAATTTCGACTTAAAAAATCCAAAAGTATTACACACAGAACAAACCAAATATAAACGTAATTTCTTAGAAATGGTTTATATCAACAGAGATAAACACAGCATCAAGAACAGATACATGTAAACTCAGTCGCAGCTACGCCAATATCATTAATCAAATTCAATACAGATAACATACCTATATCATCACATTACATTCCACACATCAAATATTTTTCACATAGTCTAATTTCCCAACAATTTAGCTTTCCTTTTCCTATTTATCCCTTTCTATATAATCCTGAAAGGATAATCTGGCCGAACCATTACCAACACATTTTTTCCCTTCGTCGGCTCTTTTCACCTCAAAGAAGCCGACGCCTTATACAAAAATGTCTTTTCTATACCGACATCCTTCCCCACCCCTTCAAAATCCAACGTATATAAACACAAAATAGCAAAATCTCACTGGCACTCTCGACACGACACGCAAGAATGGCACAATTACACAGAAGACAAACACTTTGAGTGAGTAGAAATACTTTGATTGAATATATAAAAAATATATTTTGCATTGTATAAATTCACTTTTCCACATCCAAAATGTAATTGTTATATGTAAACAATGTTTGTAAATCCCAGGCCCTGAAGATGATCTCATAAAAGATCGAAACGTTGGCACGATAAAGAAAATGTTTTTCTGAAACCTACATCACACCAGACCGCATCTCACGATTTCTAAATAAATTATTGAATAAAGAACAAAAAATAAATAAACCAACAAAAAATCTAAAACAAATAGAAATGTTTAAAAAAAAAGTATCCCTTTTTATTCTGAGAATTTCCACCTTTGGCACGAATCACGTCCCTTAAACGCCTTTGCATTCCTTAGAAAAGATTTCTGATAAAATCATGAGAAATTCTTTTCCATTCATCAAGATCAGCCGTAACCAATTCTTCTAGGGTGTTAAGACCTGGGTTTCGCTGTCGTACTCGTCGCTTAGGTTGCTCCCAAATATGCCCGATTGGGCTCAAATCTGAACTTAGAGCTGGCCACACCAATCACTCAGTTCCAACCTCATTCAGGTAGTCATCCATAATACGTGCTGTGTCCTTGCATTAGCAAGAATCTCTCACCGATGTGGGGGCACATGGCAATACATGTATTTTGGTTAAGTCTTGTAAGTACCTTGTGAAGTTAGAGATCTTCATTGCACAACAACCAATTCGGTGTGGGGGTACAAGGAATGCCACTCCAGAACATCAATGACCCACCGTGGAATGCCACCTGAGGAACCTTCCTCCTGAGTGTCTACATATGAAATTACGCCCATCTGAAAATCTAAGACCAACTTTCACCTTATCTGTAAAGAGAACTCGTCCCCAATCTTCCAATGCACGTGTTCCCGTACGAAACGA